TGATAATCTCCATAGCTGCATATTTATTACGAGTACTAGATTCGATCCCCGCAGCCACGGACAAATTTATCAGCGACTAATAAGCCTTATTTTCAAGATCCAACAATTTTTGTCTCTAATATTAATTAATCTAGAGTTCTCCCGTGTTCCGATCTATCTTGTTTGTTGCCTAATTATTCTATTACAATCGATCGCTCGGGGTTCCTGTTTTAGAGCTTTCCTTACTTATTCGTCGCTCTTGAGAATCCGGACAGAGTCCAACTGCAAGAAATGCGAATCTATTTAAGTTGCTCGGAGCAGTATCCTTCGAAATTCTAAATCTTAGCTGATCGTGCGGTTTCCACCCGGAGGTCCAAATGACGCCTTGCCATCTCTGACGTCATTGGTACAGGCTCGCACACGGCGGTCACGTTAGTCATGGTCGGTGTAAGGGGACGAGTGCACATACAAGAGCAAAAATCGACGTATCACGCGTGCCCACGTGCACGCGGCACTTTATACCCGACCGCATTATTCGGCACACCTGATGCGCAGACAGAGCGCATCAGTTCATGTAACATTCGGACGAGCTCGGCGACGTCCATGTAACCGAGTGGCCAACTGCGACCTTTCATTTTCTTCTATGAAAACTTCAAGATGATCTCAGAGAGAGTGCTGCCTCCGATTTACCGGCTCTCGCGTCAATCGTTAACCCGTTAGAGCTGAATTGAACGACAACAAACGATGGAAATAGTCATGGTTGAAACAGCAAACAATATGACGAAGTGCTCGGTCCGAAGTATCGCCCTGTATCTGCAGAGGTCTTCGAACTCTTCGGCTAATGTACTCATGGTTGTAAGCCGACTACAGAGATGTTCTAAAAATTGGGTGATATTCTTGCTGCCATTGTTATGTTATTTGTGATTATATGAATGACGGAACTATAACCTATTTTTTGTTAAGTTCAATAAAATCGTAATAGAATTATAATTCTCTGCTACAATGTTGAAAGGTGATCTCGAGAAACAATTTTTTCGAACAAAAATCTATTTTAAAAATTTTTTATCCGCCATTTTGTGTTTTAAAATTCTGTTGCTAGATTTGGATTATAGTGCCATTATGTAGCGTAATAAATAGAACGATTACATATGTTAGTATGATATTTTAATCCGTCATTCTAGGTATCTAGGAATACAAAATTAATTGATTAACGTTCGAGGTTGACAAATGTATAGGCATGAAATTGTTCACAACTGAAAAGTTTTGGTCGACTCTTCCATCTATGCGGAATTCTGGACATATGGCATACGGTTAAATATAACCTGGTAGCCAGGCTATCTGTATCTCGATTATACCTACGCATAAGCAGCCGGTAATTTGCGATGCAGTTGGTCTTAGCAGGCAGATATGATGACCCAACTAAAAATATTCGTGGGGTCCAATCAGCAGCCAACTGGGCCAATGGAGTAACCGTGGCTCAACGTCCCAAATATAGTCCGACATCTACATAACGACCACCAGTAGTTGGCATTGGACGAGACGGTAAAAGGGAGCCGGACATAATATTTCCCTTTTTAGTAAGCATCCCTGATGTATATATGTGAACATAATGTAACAATTGGACCATGCTTTGGGAAATGAAATAACTTCTCCCCGAATGAAGAGGATTGCTCATTACCACAGTTTGACAAGTGGCTGACACTTGCGTCCCACCCCAAGCACCGCACAAAATGGAATATCCGCATATTACGCGTATAAATTAATTATACAGGTACACCAAATGTATATCATCAAAAAAATATCTTTTGTCAGTATATTGATCTATTTTATGCACATGGCTATAGAACACAAATCATAAATATCTAAACGACATATGTAAATATACCATGTAACATATATTATATATTACATATAACTTGCAAATACTTGTACTTATATAAGGAAACCGTCGTTGCCAAAACGGTATGTTTCGTGACATCATTTTGATTTTGTATGAGCTTTGCTTCGAGTCTTCAGTAGTCGTAGTAGTAAATGACGCACATAACACACAGCAGAGAAGCATTTAACGCACCACTTTATTTGAATATATCTACGCACATAGGGCAAGCATTTATTGTATTATGTACTTTATGAGAAGAAATACATTGTACTGTACGTTTGTTGTTATGCGTATTGTAACGGGTCCAACGGTGAATGTGAGCCCCTGTACTCGGTACATTATTTCGGTGCCATATGCGCATGCGCGGCAGTACTAGAGAGAAGGTGGGGAGGCCCTAGGAGAGGGAACCGCGGAATATCGCGGACTAGCATACTTGGATGCGAGTACTTGTAGCGTTGACAACGACTGTGGATTTCGAGCGAGCAAGGCAACGAAGGGCCAGATGCAATAGGGAGTATTTTTCTGTTCCAAGACCTCATTCTCCAGCAGGTCTGGCTCAATCGCCACTCCTGCATCTTTCTCCCTCCTTTTGTCCCTCCAAAACTTCCTTACACGCTCCCTTTTGTCTTGTCATTGCGACAATTCGCGAACACCTTTACCTGATACCAACCCTTTTGACCAGTCAATTGCCGCGACTGGATAACTTACAATAAGTGGTACTAATCACCGTAGAACACTGCTCCGGTAAGAGACATCGTTTTGCAGCAAGAGATAGTCCGCGAGCCCAATTTCAGAAACCGTTCACCAAAGTGAATTATACTTCGATACCAGGCTGATCATGCAACCCGAATAGGGTTAAAACTCTCAATTCGATTCCCAAAAAGGGAATGCTTGCTTTATTCAACCATACTGTTAAAGAAAATATTATAATTTTATAACATATTTTCAAATAAAATGTATAACATATATTATAAAATTAGTAGATGTGTAGTAAATTTATTGTATATATAATTATGTATATAACGTATCATATCCGGATATCTATCTCATGTTTCTGTCATTGTTTCTGTAATTACATAAATGCGTTTAGAATAACTTTGCAATGTGTAAAAGCACAGCTCCATGGATACGGTACCTATTGGCAAAGTTACATTTTTCAATTTCGATCGTTCCAGAATTTTTGTTCGATAGTCATTTTATTTTTAAATGAATTTAGACGAAAATCTGCTAGAGGCATCGACGGAGGTTTTGCTTCCGTCACAAAAATCGAAGACGGAAGATTCGTGACGTCCGCGAAGCGAATGTTATAAAACGATTTTACCAGTTTTTCGATGCTAGTTGAGACGTTGGCAGGTTTGCAAAAGGCGACGAGCCTCGTGGGGAAACGTAGAAAACTCTCATCTATCATGTCGAAATGCGTAACGCGAAAATAGTCGCAAGGATGCCGCGAGGTCGGAATTGCGACGCGTCGCTGGCCTTGCAGTGGCATCACCGAATCCGTATTTCTGTATACCTTGCACATCTTACCTGAGTTATTGGAATATTTTCAGAAATTTCCTACCTAAGACAAACCGGATACTACTTCGGAAAGATTTCGTCACAGTGGTTGTTGAATTCTAATAAAACTGTATTCGGTACTTTGTGATTAGAAATTGTTTGAAGTAGAGAAGAATAGCTACGAACCAGTTTGTAAATCCGTTATAATATTGCTGTTACAATTACTATTCATTTAATATTTTCGTAATTATTCTTTTGAATAAATGTACTAAACATACATTTCCACTACTCCACTCAGGAATAGAAAAGCAAGTATTTCTAAAATGCATATCAACTGAAAGTTATGTAAAGACAGCATGCTGTTGAATGTACAACTGATTTGTTACAATGATTCTATATACGTATATAAGACGTAGCCATTTGCAGTTTCATTTAAGTTTATTACAAGCCACATTAATTGCCACGAAAAATTGTACCTACCTGATATGTAACAGTTTTATAACTGTCCTTCAAATCCAGGTGACGTGGCAATCAACGTGTAAAACGCAAAACTCTGGGTGTAAGGTTCAATACCACACTTTCTTGATTTATGCATCAGGGTTACTGCAGCTGAAAGTATAAATTAGGCAATAGACATCTGCTAATAAGTAGAGTATTGCGGAGATTTGTCGTGCCAAGCCAAGGTTGACTCTATAGCTCGTCTAAAAGTATCGAAATAGAGATATTGATGCATTTAGGTGCACATCGATAGTTCCTTCGACAGACTCTAAAGAATAATATCGTCAAATAAATCGGTAGTTAAGAAATGTTCAGAAATATATTTTGAGAGATTCACTCGCGGGTAACTTATTTGACATTAAAAAAAAAAATTTTTATTTAGGACACTCATTTATTCTTAATATTACAAGTAGGATTAATATAAGTGAAAGAGATTTAGAACCAGGTAAACAAATTATAATAAATGATGATGGGAACACGTCCAATGAAAGGAAACTTAAACCAAGTAATAGTGGAGATGAAAAGATGATTTCACAAGACCAATGCACGACAGGGAAGCGCATTTTGAACGCTTCGTTAACGCTCTAATAAAACGACAGAACGTTTACTTTATAGCTGAAAAAAAACTTTTGAGGAAGATTGATGTGCCCGGAAATACAGGATATTTATGAACTTTCGCGGCACCGCTTGGTATATTTTTACCCGGCCATCGCACATAGCTGTACACGTGGCAAAGAAGTCTTGTTATCCCAAACTTTTCGAAGCCATACGTACGAAAAGTGTGTAAGAAAAATAATATATATCAAATTAAAAACTGCACCCGTCATGTTCGAAGTTGTTGGTAATTAGGAGTGACGGTAATTACCACCACGGAACAAAATCTATAATATACATATATAGAATGTTTTCATACCTATGGAATGTTTCAGTGTATCAGAAGTTAAAAACATATTCATAATATATATTTACGGAACGTCCAAAATATTCTATTGGATTTTAGATAGCAGCAATCTCGATTATGAAAAATTTATATAATCTATAACTCGCTCTAAAAAATTTATAAAATATATCAAATGCGTTGCAGAATGAACTTTTATTACGTTTCGGACAATTTATTTTATTTACAAACATCAAATTTCCTATAAACATTCACTACAGCCTTCTCTCCGATTTAAACTTGCCGCTGCTGTGGTTCGTGGTACCCTATCCCACCACCTGACGGCGCCATATACAAGAGGAAGGCATTCATGACCGCCAGTGTACCTCCCTCATAGATAAGAAACATACATACTGCAAGTGCAGGAAAAGAAAACATTCATACCCGATACTGTAAATACATATATACTATACTTTTCTTAACTAGACCGGATTATAATATAATTTTAGCCCGACTGTACTAGATTCACGGGCTTGGAGTTGGCAATACTGGGTAGTTAACAATTAATAGTAAAAATGGTTGTTCGTCACCGTGTCGAGGGCTATACAAAATTTGAACCATTTATGAAAAAATTCAAGGAGGATGAATCAGTAATCGTCTATTACACCGGCATGAAGCTTGCAAACGGAAAATCTTGGTGTCCGGATTGCGTCGAAGGTAACATCGAATTTCTAAAACGCGACATTCTGTGACCTAACCTCTACTTTTTATCGCCGGCACCTGCCAAAGAGGACGCGTACCTAATTATCAAATAAAAATACTGCGTCAATAATCGTTATTACATTTGTTTCAGCCGAGCCTTTCATTGAAAAGGGACTTCAAGCAGCTCCAGAAAACTCACATTTTGTGGTAGTCGAAGTCGGTGACAGAGCTTTGTAAGTATTTTGCTATAAGAAATGTTTTGTTCTTGCTTTGGATGATGCAAAACAGTTTTGTTGGTGTATATGAGATTTTAAAGTAATTGCTGAAGTTGTATGCATGAGTGTACTACAAGGAAAGTATACTGCTCTTTGCAGTTGGAAGGATCCGAAATGTCCATTCCGTACTGATGCTACTACGAGGTTAAAAGTTTTACCAACTTTGGCTAAATGGGAAACCCAAAAACGTTTGGAGGGTGACCAGTGCTTAAATGTGGATCTTATAGAGATGTTGGTAACAGATGATGAGGATTGATTTATCAAGGGTCACGTTTCGATTCAAACTCTTATGAATGACAGGTGAGGGTGATCAACAGATAAATCTTGAACCGTGAGAAATAATTGATAATGCTAGATCGATATATATGTATATTATAAAAGACCAGCTTTCCTTTTATAAGTATAACAAAATCTTCTAAGAAGCAAATTTGCTTTATATTTTAGTTATAAGAATTGGGCATCGTTTCTAATTCACATGAACAATTTGGCAACTAAAAGTCATATTCTAAGATTGTGACAATGTTTCTTTTGTTTGGTTCTGAATATTTATAAAGTTTACAATAATCATTACACTTTAATCAAAAATACTTTCTGACACACGTGACATATATTACACCTAACAGTTCACTGTTGTGCTAGTAGAAGTTACGTAAAAACGACAACATTTACATTCTTTTATTTGTAATTTAAGTTTCGGAAAGTGACACTTCTTGCATAGGGTTAGAAGGTGGGAGGAGTCGTATAGAATAGTGAATCTTTTTACTCCTCAGCAAACTGTAGCTATTGTCAAAGACCACTGAATCTGAAAAAGAGATGACTGATTATTTTGGTACTCTTTAAGAACAGAAAGGTTCTGAACTTTTTTCTGTATTGAAATGCCCATACTTTATAGTGACTATATAACTTACAAGTAGCTGGTGCATCACAGGGTAACACTCCAATTTCTTCCATCTGATGAGCAGCTACTCGATGAAGAGGTATAACTTCGTTCTGTATGCCGTCGTTGTTCTTCTTGATGACTCCAAATTTGATGTCATGATTCTCTGTCTTAAACTCCCAACTGTTTGAGAAAAAAAAATGGCATAAGATCCCACCACATCACGCTTGTTATTCAAAGTACTTTTTATGAAGATGATATTGATATTGGCTATACATTTACCTTAACACCGAGCCATTTTCATCGGGTGAGAAGTCCAACTTCAGCTTATCACCTTTTCTTACAGTAATCGTGGTAAAATCCTCGTTTTCTTTATCCTTCTCGTCTTTGCTCTTGTACATTTCTTTAGGAACTTTTCCACCCTGGCAAATCTTGGTGGCTAGTCGCGGATTGCCGTCAGGATCTGTTAACGTCCCACCGAAATGCGCCGGTAATTGATCTTGTGGTACTAATCGTAAAATTGCAGATTTCCATTTGGCTGGGTCTGATTTGAAGATCTGAATTTTCGATATTGTGTACTCGTTCATGAACTTCTTCGCCACCGAAAAAGCGAGGGCAAACACTTTTGGCGCTGTAGGCAAAAATGAAAGAAAATTTGACATCACATCAACTACATTGTTATCTATGTTAGACTTTCCTTTGTATTTAGTTTCTGTTGGCGAGGGAAAATTGAGAAGTGCAATTGATAGATAATTCATACTCACCATTTATAATAAAGCAGGTTTTCAGAATTTCAGGATAATTTGCCTCATACATCTGTATTAAGGCAATGACAACTTCCCCAGCTGGAATAATTTAATAATGTAATGATTAAATCTTTAGGGTATGATATCAGGAAAGTAGGTAGAGTTTCGTGCCAAAGATAAATTATTAACCGGGAACAAAAACTCATGACGTACTTGCAATGCAATTTTTACGACAAGAGTGTTATTAAATGAATAATTAACAACCTGGTCTCCACATGTATTGTCGGAGATTAAATCCTTCCATGTCGAAAATGACGGTGACCTGACTAGCAACTGGTCCATGCTTTTTACTTTGTGCCTGACAAAGTTTAAGGTATTGTTCCAAATGTTGTATAGTGATTTTGATCATGTCTCTGCGTCCAAGTGCGTGGAGTATACCGTACAAATCCAGACCCGCAAACGGAACAATGACAACTGTAAATTATAAAAAGTATATATGCATTTTGCTAGACAATTTTCATGTCTTACTCAAGCGTAAAGTACGATTCACGTAATCATCGCGACGAATATTATGTGTAATTAATATTGCTGTTATCGGATCTTCAAGAAGCATTTATTTAATTTTTTTTATAATGTATACGCCCCATATTGATTCATATTAACAATCTTATGAAAGTTAATGGACTTACCAGGGGCTCCATCCTTGTCGAATCCGCAAAGACCATGTGGTAAATGTTTCTTCAATAATTCCGGGGGATCCCATTCTTCGAGTTTGTCCACATCCCATTGTTTCCTCCACTCCAACGACTGTAAACAAATTGTTCTATGAAAAAAAAAAAACATACAATTCTAACACGTGAACAAAATGTTCAAACAAAAAATCTAAAAAACTCTGTCTAATTTATCAAAGTCATTAAATCAGGTGTCATTGAACCATAAAAAATTCTCTAATTAGTGTTCAGGAAAATTATGGCTTTTAGAGATTGGTTATATGTACGAATGATGAACTGGGTCGTTTTCATATTCGTACCTCTACCTTTCAATGTTAATGGATAGTATTTTTATTTAATTCTTTTCGTAGAAAGGCAAATATGAATTTGCTTGTTCTAAGTAACACGGAGAAAGGGGTGCTTTCGCATCGCTACGGTTATTAAGTTGAGCTCGTTCCTCTTGTTAACGTCACTGATTATGCTAACTAGGAAGAAGGCGTTCTTTCCAACTGTGAATTTGCAAGTAAACTCAATCTGTCGAACACGAGTACACGCATACACAGGCACATGAAAAAATCTTCTTTACTTACAATGTTCCTGACCTACTTGACACCCACTTAGAAATATTTTTCTGGTTTCATTAAATTTAATTTATTCAACAAAAACCACAGACTAGGGTACTTAGTAATGTATCTCTATTATGTTTAATTTGAACTTAAAAAGATGTAGCGTTGAATTCTGTTAGTCTCGCTTTTATTAACTTTAACAACATATTCTTGTCGAAATAACGTTCTCGATAGGTTCGTAAGAAAAGTTGGCTCGACGGAACTTAATGACTCGGCTGTTCGGAAAGTTCATGACACCAAAGAATGAGTGTACCTTTTCACAAGGAGCAAATATCGCAAGAAAAGATCCGATTTGCAATTCTTTGTGCCTACACTATGACAATTGGGAGTAAGAAAACAAAGAAAGGTTAAAAAATTCTTCGGCATGTTGCTTAATATTATTGTTAGGCAAATGTATTTTTAATGCAGGGATATTTTCTTATCGAGGAGGCACTTACTTCTCTGAACATTTTCTCGGCTGCCATTGGGTCCCAGTTCCTTGCTGAAATGAAAAACAGATAGGATATTAAACTATAACGTAGAGTTTGAATGCGACTAGTTAATGTTTCATTACTCTCAAGTGCTCATTTACATTGCTTGTTAATAAAAAAAAATCATATGGGATATGTCGCGTACCTCTGAGCCAGCGAAGAAGGAACTGGTCATCGTGATTTGGCTGTAGGACATCTTGAACATTTCGCCTGAACTGAAAGATAATTTATAAATGATCAACTAATTGCCTAAAACCTATTTAGAAATCATCGTTACAATTTTTGGCGGTACAATATACAATTTTTTTTATCCCTAATTTCGAGATTATATTTTTTTTTCTTTATAGAGTAATAACGTATCGTTGAAGTGATACGAAGTGAATTATCGTTAGGTAACATTGGAATATTCCTAGGAAGCATTTAGCAGACGTGTAGATTTGTCGCATTTGCGATTGGGTTGTACAGTTAGGTCGATTCGATTGTATGGAAAACCAGTAAACGGCTACCAGTAAAAGTATGTCGATGGTGATGTACACGTGGAAAGATACTGCCTTGGTGCAGGATTTACGGTATAATCGTCGTCTTTACGAAATTCGATAGGACACAAAAAGATAACGACTAAAAATACTTTTTTCTTCGTGTGACTTTTATTACCGTCTCAAAAATCTATAAATACTGTTTTTTGCCCTCGAAGAGTTATTCAACACGGCTTGATTAGTCACTGTTTTTTTTTGTTACTATTGTGCAAACATCTCGAGGCACAAAAAATTGCAGCCTGGCGTCATCGTCTCGCAATCATTCTTTGAAGGCTTTTCAACTACTACAACATAATTGTACACACGTGTTGTAATTTTGCACGTACAGTTAAGACTTTGGTCTTCTTAATTTTTAATATCATTTCCTTTTCATCCATACCGGTAAATAGAGCACACGAGCATAAATGGGTAACACACAGTTGTGATACCTGTATACTCTGATTGATCTTGATTTATCTTATCGTATAGATCTTTCTGTCGCCTCTTTGTACAGCATGGAAAAATGTGTCCGTCAAAGGCGACTCAATTAATTACACCATTAACGAAGAATGGGTATGAAATGAAATTTTCTCATCGTTAATCCGAGGAGAGAAAACTAGAAAAATGATAATGCACGAGGTGTGGCAAATTATATCGCATATGTAGCAGTAATGCGCGAACTCATTACGTCCAGTGAACATGCTATAAGAAAGGTCAAGGATGTCTGAACCCGTTCTGCAGTTATGTCATTTCCGTTCAATCAAAAGGGAACTTTCGATTGTTGGTTTATTACACAATCCCGCGGTAAACGGCAAACTTCGAAATGTGTGTTAAGACGAAACGAGAAAGTTGCCGCATTCAAAAGTGGTCCAAAGTAGAGATCCAACGAGTCTTTTGGAGGAATCGAAAAAAACGAGTAAAGGTGGATAATCAACACCCGAAAGTACTACATCCCGATGCAAATGTAGGGCTCTAGGTTGCTCTTCTTTTTCGGCTCTGCCGAGAAAGTCGTAAATTAGGTCGTTCTGAATTTCGTGAAAGATCCGCCGCGTCTTAGAAATTACATTTCTAATATCCCAAAGATGTTTATCGTATCTTTTCCAATGTTTTATTTATTTTCTCTGTTTCGTAATGATTCTAATCGTAATGAGTAATTGTTGTGGGTGATGTGTGCAAGCAGTACAAGTCAGCTCTGAGCATTTAGGACAACGAATGATATCGTGGAAAACGTGGTGTCGCGCTTTCTCCCTTCGTGGGTTTTCAATTACATCGCGATGAGTAAAGAAATAATTATAGGTCCATTAGAGGCACATTCACCTCGTGGTTTACTATCGCCATAATGGTGACTGCCAATCGTCTGGCTGCATAACAGTCGACCCGCAATACCGGCACCTGGAGTCAAACCAGATTTAACGTAATCCCTGCGTCTTGCGCAATTGATTTTTTTTTTAAAACACTCGGTGTTGAGCACCACAGTCGGGATATTGAATTCAAGGCTAACTAAATAAACTATCCACTAAGAATCGAAGGTGGGTTATTGGATGCAATTTATGGCAATTGATTCAATTTAATATGATTGAATTTCACTCGGACTAGACTTAATGTTAATCAGGTTTAATATGACTTGATTTGTTTAAATTGATTATCTCTTGGTAGATACGCGGTAATCCGATTTTTTTTATCGGAATACTTTCGACCAATTGATGCAAGACTTCCTTACACTTTCACTCGGTACGATCGCGGGGAAAGAGAAGTGCGAATGAAAGGTCTTGCCTTTGTGAAAAGAAAAGTGTCTTACAATAGTCAATACAATTCGACACGACTGTCGATATAAAAACCAACGTCGGAAACGTAGTTATTTAGAAAAACTTGTTTTACCGACGTCGATCAAGTTCCTCGATGTGTTTCATTTCACCTGAACAGACGTAACTCGAAGTTGCATTTTTTTGCGACATCCTATCAGCTTCGGTACTTACACGTGTGTGTGTGTTTCAAATTGATTTAGACGCACTTCCGGGTACATCTCTCGATGATTTAGAGCTAAGACTGCACAACGCCGAGTTCTTCGTGCAACGAACTGTTTTCTTACCCGTCATATTAACTCATGCACGAAGAGACCCATTCGCTCTTGCACAGTGTGGTACTATTGCGCGAATTATACCCGGGAATCCAAGTGCGATCGGAGAAGGTCCTCGAATAGAATTCAGTTTCCGAATGGTCTTTAGAGAGTCGCAAAACGAGGTGAAGCAGTCTAAATCACCTTATGCAAGAGGGACCGATCGTCGACTAAAATTCCCCGAAGGAAATTTATCAGCCAGTGGATGTAACGTATTTCAACACTTTCCGCCATTATGGCGCGATTATGTAAATTGTCAAGAAAGTCTTGCCACTCGAAAAATCGTCCTGGAAATATGTCCAAGAGATTTCCCAGTATCCTTAATAATCGAAGGGTACAAAGGGATAGACCAGCCGCGGGGATATAAAAATATACGATTTAAAATGTGAATTACAATGATCAGCTGATGATAGGAACGCGGAGTAGAACGTCAAGGACGCGTAGAAGAGTAAGACAGCCCGTCCAGAGTAGGTCAATGATATGAACTCCATAAACCTGATTTTCATTCATTTCACTACATTTTTGTCCCATCCACGCGTACACGTGCTATTGAAGTATAGGAATAAATGAATTAATTGACACGTGGAATGTAACAAAAAAATAACCGTCGGTAAGCAATAATGCATCTCAAGATATCGGAATTACCGAATAGCTTGTAAATGATTCGAGAAAATGTACTGACAAGTTCAGTTTCAAGAACCGCGCGTGTTTTCCGCGATCTAATCTTACGGAGGATTAAATGTCAATGTCAATGCGAAAAAAAAAAAAGATCGGGAGAAAAACACCCGTGTTGGTGATTTGTGCGCTGGAATTGCTGGATCTTTTTCATCTACTAGGGATTAAAACCTTATTTGTTTTCGACGAAGATCGACGGTACAAGGAAAATGGTGATTCAAGCATCGGTGTTATTGGCCTATAAAACTACCGATTAAAAAAATTGAAATAAGCTGTCTTTTGTTTATTGACTTTTTAGATAAGCCTTACGGCGGTGTCTCGAAGACGATGCTAAAGCCTTGGGAAATGTTCGTACGCTTAGTGAACGTATCTCTGCAATGAACGAAAAGTCGAGTCGCTTTTACTGTACAACTTACGTCATCGAATCTAGGGCAAACATTACGAGCATACGAGCACGCATAAATCGAACATATACTTTGCGTGAACTTTCTTTTTCATACCGAAAATAGTTCTCTGCGGATCCTTTTATGCACATGTGATTGTTTGATAATTCCGTTCTAAAAAAAAGAAAGAAAATTAAAAACCATTGCTATGCAAAATTTCGCCATGACGAAGGCCGAATTCATATCATGCATGGATAATCGATTTTTTTTTACGGGACACATTATGCTTAAACAGATTTTAAATATTATAATAGAACGTTAACATCAACATTACTCGAGGTTTCAAGGTAAACTTCATTTCTTGTTATGTGATTCCATATGTTCCTTTAAACGCACTCACGTAGAAATGCTAAGACGCATGGAATACGACCTTCGTAGATACTGTACAGTTACCGAAGGAGTTGCTCAGGAATTCCACACTACGCGAAGTTGCAATTTTGTTCAGCCCATTTGCTTGAAATTGAAGCTCTCCTCCGCCTTCGTTTTCCTGCCTTTAGATTAGCCGCCAGCGCAGAAATTGTACACGTTGGACTGTGTCGTAAGAATTCTCGACTCCTCTGAAGGAATGTCATTAGTTTGGAAGAAGGAAAGAAAGAAAAAAAGGAAGAGACGAGAAAATCTTGGATTAACCTGCGCGATCGAGCTTCGTCTCTTTTAAGCAATTTAACCTTGTTATTCGCGGTTTTTTGTCACGAGAGGAAACGTACGGATATGTAGATTACAGAACTACCGATCTTTTTTTATACCGTCTTTTTGACGTCATACTGTACTCCTGCTAAATTTATTTTTATGTAAATATGGTAATGATGATTCCCACAAGTAGCCATGATGGTATCTTACGTTAGCTGCGATATCGAATAACTGCTGATCCGCAAGATTCTCACGAATTGACGGTGGTATAATTTGCAGTGGCACATAGCTAGAAGCTAATTATTCTGCAAAAAGGAAATTCTTCTCTGCGTTATAGTGGTTTACTCATCGTATGATTAATTTTTTTTAATACAGGGGGGAGAGGAATATTATTTACCACAGTTCATTCGAAATTTTAGAGAAATTAATGCTTAATTAATGAGGGGGTCGAAATGACTTGTTTCAAATGGCTCATCCTATACAAAAAAATATCTGCCTGTGGTTCTAGTATTAAATTAAACTTGTTCTGTAATGATGGACATTTAATAGTTTAATGAATAATATATTTAAGATTTTAACCCGGCTTGGGATTTTTATGACTCGTTTAGAGGTCTCCAATCACTTTGTCATACTTTTGGGGAAATGTACGGTTACTCTGTTGATTAATTCACCATTGGACTGCTATAACTTTCGACCCGTTTATACAAACGCGGTACAGACCTTGAATTTGAATATCGAACTTTCAGTTCAGTGGCCTTTCGACTAGTGAGTAACATACGGGAAACCGAGCTTTATCAACGCGACATGTCTTTTTTTTTTTTTTTTTTTTTTGGCCAAATTTCTTTTTTTTGGGGGGGGGCCCCCCCCCCCCCCCACAAAAAAATATTTTTTTTTTTTTTTTTTTTCTTAAAGCACGTCCATCGCTATCGACTCTAAATAATGCATTTGCATGGTACGTGTTTCAATTTCCATTGTTTACTAAGTGTATCCTTTGTCATACGTGACCCGCTGAACCTGCCGTTGCGTTATCGAAAGCGAAGATTCAGTAAATAAACAGTTGCACGTTCTTTTTTTCAACATATGCATACAACAATGCGTGATTCAGGGACAGTTGAAAAACCTATTTCAGGGCTAAGGGACTGCTCTTTGCTTCCAAGTACCGCAATTTCTCTACAACGTTACCATACCAAATTTGAAACTTCATCCCCGATAATCAGGCGCTTCCCATTATCAAACGAGAGTCCCCCCTCTTGACTTACTTTCATCAGGGTGAAACGTTCGTCGTCTGCCAATTGCAGGGAGGATTTCACGGTGGGCGGCATTCTGATCGGTTGGTTTTCCGGGTTTGTCCGGGAAAAATGATATATTAAATATGATCCAGGGGATTTACGTCCTTTCTTTCTTCCGGCTCAAAAAATGCGCTTCCGATGCACGTCTTGAGTGTTACATGTTCGAGCCAGACGGGGTTAAAAATCGCGTCCGTTTCCGATCGATCGCCCGGCACGCCGCCCTTAGCGAAGGGCTCCTATTGGTCAGCTGCTCCCGGAACTCGGCCGCGATTGGCGGATCCTCCGCGAATGAGCGTCCCACCTTCGCGAGAGCCGGCGGCCGACTGCACGGGTTCGCCGAGTCAAGCGAAGTTAAAATTCACGCGGCCACCAGCACTCCGCAGGAGATCGGGGCCCCTCCATTGCCGGGTCGACTCGGGTACGACGAAAGAAAGGAGAAAAAGCTGCGTAGGAACCGGGAGAGCGTTTCGTCGTCGAATCGAGAATTAGCGACTTCGACAGAAACTGGAGAAGCACCGTGGCTCGCGTGACGTTGCGCGCGCACTTAAGCCATACATGTATCGCGTTTGACACCATGGTCTATGGTTGACGCTGTACTCCTGGGCCCGGTTGCACCAACATTCTAATTAAAATTCTTAATCAAGGATTACTTAACGCGTGATTAGAGTTAAGGTAATATGAAAGGGTCATTCTATATATTATACAAGGTGAAAACAAATGTTTAAAACTTTCCTCCAAATTGGGTGCACCAGATAATTCGAAACCTCAGCACGTGATTAGAAAGGCCGTAAGGAAGAACGCGATGCTCGTGAAATTTCGTTTCTCAAGGAAATTTTTTTTGTATTTAGCCTAGAGTAGGACGAAGATCACATTTTTTGTGAATAATGAATCTTCACGAGCATTGCGTTCTTCCTTAGGTCCTCCATAATCGCGCACTAAAGTTTCAAATTATTTTACGTACTCAGTTTGGAGAAAGGTTTTATACATATTTTGACGCTTTGTGCATATAGAATGACTCTTTCATATCACCTTAACACGTGATTAAATTCGATTGATTTTTCTCGATTTTTCAACATTTCTCTCTTCCATATTTTCATATGTTAGAGGTACGTCACGATTCTCGAGAATTCTGCTAAGAGCGAGTTTTATGCGCCGTGTGGTTCACACTTTGATATCCTTCATTGAAATTTACTTTAACGTATGTGTGCGTGCGAAACAGGAAAACCATGTTAATGTAAACTCGATCGCCTTCGACGAGTTCTGACGTCCGCGAAATACCTGATTGTCTTAATACGCGTTTAATGTTTCGGTTGTGGGGGCATGTGTTAATTCCTGCGTTGTTTCATTGTAAATTATGAAAAAGTTACATCGATTTATATTTTCTTGCGAATTGTCTTTGCACGAAACGGCTGACTACATCTCATGTGTCTTGATACTGATGTCTCAGATGATAATGCGGGACTGGCCAGTAAGAAATGCTCTATACATGCGTTGAAATTACTGCATACGAAGTGGTTTCCAACGGATGCGGTGATTTTTATCTCTTGCACTAACATTCACCTTAGAACAGAACGATAAAAAAGGATTTCGCCTTCTGAGAAGAACAACTGAGCCGTAGAAATATGTTAACTAAGCGGAAACTCGATTTCCTGATACAGTTCATTTTATTTGGCTACAAAGTACAGTGATACATTTGAAAATAATACGAACAATGTGACTCGAGGTAAACATACGCGTAGACGAATAAAAAGTGCAAAAACCCCGTCCGAAGCGTCCGTAGAAAAAAGTTAGTACATACTTCCTGATCTTTTTTTCTACTACCACCGTTTCCGAAGTCTCGTGCGCTTGTTACTGATAAGATACTGATTTGGTGAAAGTACGTATAAAATGGAATAAGAAAATAAGAACGGTTGTATTCTTTTTAATGATGGTTTTACTTAGAAAAGTAGAGAAACTTAAATTCCCGCCGAAACCTACAGAAGGTAACATTAAAATCGGTACAAATCTCTCTGGTACAAACTGCAGGTTCCATATGTTGGAAACATTACATAATAAGGTAAGTGAAGGGTAAAGTCAAAGAGGGCACCACGAGTGTTCTTCCCTTACCATCAAAAGCGAGCAGGGTCGGCAAGCGTAGGTAAGCCACCACCGTCAACTGCCGCATGGTATTACCATCACGAGTACGTGAGCCGCCAACGGCGACTGGTAGATGGCACCGCCGTCGCGAGCCCCTATCAGAAATCCGTTGCGTCGCCCTTGGGGGCAAAAAACGGTGAAAGCTAACGTACAAAATCAGAGGGCAGCACAGGATGCGATCGCGCGACCCTGCCCGCGAGCAAGCTCCTAACTCATCTCTGTGTCAGCAGACAAGCCGCGACGGGACTACAAAGCCAAGATGGCCGCCCTTGGTCCCTTCCCCCACTCATACCCCTCCGTATCATCTTATCTGTTAATTCCATGCTTCCAGACGATGCGCGCGCAATTACACCGGGCAATTCGAGGAGCCTTGAGGTAACCTCAACCTGCCCCAACGAATGTAAACGAGTCCTGTTCTTGCTTCCTTCCTTTCTGACCGACTTGGACAACCTTTCGAGTATATAATCTCTGGTACTTACGCGGGCGCACCCCTGCGTCGTCGGGGAGCCATGACACGATCGAAATACTTGGAACCAGTCGGTATGCCGAGAGCGGTGAGGAGAGTCGGATGCGCGACACCGACGCCGGTCTGCGTTTCGACCACGAGGTAGAGCGAGGTTGACAGACCCATCGGACGAGGCAAACTCCGCGGATGCGTCGCACGCTGCGTCCTCGTCGTCCGATGCGCGCGCACCCGAGATCGACTGCGAACGATCGTGCGAAGGTAGGCCACGAGCTAACTCGATCGCTTTCGCGTGCAGACGGGCGCGCTTCGGGAAGGTGCAGCATGTCGGACCGGCCTACGGGTCCATTGACGTCGTCGCTGCGCCGAACCTGCGACCTCCACGACCCGAGGGGAAGGACCTGAAGCGCGTATCGATCCAAGGCCGACTTCGACGGCGTTCAAGTTGGTCGAGAACAGACTCTCTTTCCCGTAAGTGTGACGTTTCATTGGAAGGCTCCTCTGGGGGTACGATTAAAATTTTGTATCTCTACTTCCTCAATGTTTTATCATCCGTTGTCGCGATATTGCCTTCTAGTAATTAATGAGGGGTCGTCGTATCTGTAATCACTTGGAGAAGAAAAATAGAAACGGGGATGTTCAAATTCGACTGAAACCGGGAGTTTTTTTTTTTCCAAAAGTCTCATGGTCAAGGATTAAGGGCGAAACGCATTATGTTCTTGGTAGTGATAATAATCAAATTCTGTGTTATTACTTAGAGATTAAAGAGGTAACTCTCCTCTGGGGTTTTACCAATAATATTCTCGAAGCGTCTGGTGGTTAATCGCGGTCGACGATGCAAAAGCTGAATTTTAATCGTCGAGTTAATCTATCGCGCTGGGTAAGTGACGCGTTGATCGGTGCAAAGTTAACACGTGGTCGAATGTTAAACAGATTTAGGCAGCTACACAAGCAATCAGATTTGCTCTGCAATAGGTGGTTGGACAAGTGATATGTAATTCCGGCAATCTCGGCCGATCTTGGTCCGGTTGCGGTCCGGCACGCGACTGCGCTCGCGTACGTTGGCCGCACCAATAAGGGGCAATAAACGCGCATTCCCCATGTAACAGGGACCAATTAAACCGCGGGGACCCGTGGCGGGTTTTCGCGCGCATGCGCTCCGCCTTCCGATTCGAGTTTTTCCCACGGCGAGTCGCGCGCGCGCCGCTGGAGACTCGCGGCTTAGCGCCTCGAAAAGGCGCCTACCAGTGCGAGAAAGTCCACGGGGTTAAGCGCAGCCGATCGCGCGCGCAGGGCAGTTAAGCTCTTAGGCCACGATCTCGGGCGTCCACCGCGCATCATTCATCTGCGATCTTGTCGCCCTGCGACAGTTACTTCGCGTAAGTTGTCAAATCTTCCTGGACATACTTTAGATATTAAGCTTGGTGTAAGAAATTATAAAGAAGAGATTGCAGAAGTTCGGGGTATGCTGGAATACAAGTAAGTGGTGTAAAGAAAGAGGGTAATCGCCTTGATTCGATATGCACTGAGACATACATGGCTTAATCTTTGAGACGGAGATAAGAAGGAGGTTATGGGCAGAAAGGTCTTGTGAGGGAGTCCAACGATGTTTTGGGGGTGAATTACATTATAAAGTTTTTGATGGAAGCAATGTATAATGGTCATTGGGGATGTTAGTGAGATGTTTCGAGAATGGGATGATCGAGGCTTGGTTGGAGGAATGGCGGGTAAGGTTAATTAGGTGCACTGGGTCGCCGAAGCGGCAGTCTTGTCGCTGGACCCCGGTTTTCCCGCAAATGATCCTAGAACAGTTTTTATAGAGTAACTGAGGAATGAGTATTGTCCTGCTTTGTCGGAATGTGAAAAGTCGTAAGTCAGAAGTTCGCCAGGTTGCGCCGGAGGAAGGTGGGCTGAGTTGGAAATTAATCGCGAGATTCTCCGCGTGTGCGGTCTTGTTTATCTATAAACGAGTTATTTATAAAAAGGAATTACCGCTGCCTCTTTGAGCGGGATGCATCGGTTTAGAACGGACGCGAGTCCCTCGATTTGCAACGCTTTACGCAACGGCGAAGGTAAAAGGATCGGGCTCCTCTTTTCTGCTGGCGTGTATATATATAAAAAAATATATATGGATCGTGAGAATATACACCTGGAGGGGTAGGCAGGATATAAAGCTTTGATATCCACGGAGATCAAGGATCAGAGTTTTTTTTCAGTACCTTACCGAGGAAGTACTTGGAAGTAGAAGTGCGACTTTGTTTACGATGTTTACGTTATAGGGAAACCGTTACTACACAAGTATCGTGTTGAACTTCGATCTGCCGTACTCGCATTCGGGTTATGAGATCATTCGCCTGACCAAAAAGAGCCAACAAATCGAATCAGTGCTCCTATGTAAGGTTTCGGCCGAAAGTATATGTATAAACGAACTAGATCGCATCCTGTAGGTATGAGCTTCGAGTGCTCCGATTATGATCGCTGTATATCGTCGGAGTACGTACGGAAAATAAATATCGCGTTATTCGGCAGATCTGCGATACGCAAGGCCCTTCGCCTGACCAAAAACAGCGAACAATTCGAATCGACTAACCGATATAAGGTTTCAGCCAAAAGTATACGCTTAAATAGACTAGACTGCACCATTGAGAAATGGGCTAGGGGTGCCCTGACCATGACTGCTGCATCACCTCCTCCTAGGAGTGGTTTGATCCTGGACCATTGCCATCTTCGACTAAGTCTCGAATTAAATTATCCGTCCAGTATACTCGTTCCTTTGTCCGTGATTAAGAGGGTGTACCACGGTTAAAATGACGCGAAACCTCAGGGACGATTCTTGATAACGAAGGCGAAAGTATTTCATAGGTAGTAGATATTTGGCCACTTGTCAGAAAAAATTAGTGTTTTTTTTTTTATGGAAGGTCTAAGTACGATTGCTGCCCTTCGGAAGTACCTCGTATATATGAGAAGCAATCCATTCGCCATATTAAAAGATTTAATCTTCAGTGGTTACGTTGTAACTGGTCATGCTATGTGAGAACATGCAATGGTGAAATTAATTGGATCGCTCGCGATTACATATCCGTACATGTCCGGTATTTCCACATGAACATACCTGTATAACCATGTACACGTAACGTGTGCTCGTGCAATATACGCGCGTTACGAGATGATTGAGCGAGCACAAATCATGTGTCCCAATGTTGGTTATTATCTGTTAAGTGTTACCTTTCTAAAAATTTAAATTGGCCGATATGCGAGAGGGTGTATAATGTATGTTCTGAGTGAATTTCCGTCTCACATATTTATGGTGGATTTGCCTCGTTTCTGTTTGCATATTTCCTTATTTTTATGAAATAATTTACGTTGAAGGTGTACACGGGTATCGACCAGTAAAGAGGACACATTCCGGTGTAACGGCTCCTGAAAGTTTGCCAATTCGAAAATCATCACAAATCGCGAACTTTTTCGGACTGCTTACCTCCGGTTCTGTCCTCTCCTTCTATTGGCCGTTTTCCAATTCTTTCGAGACCGTCGCGAAATCGTGAACGCTTTATCGCCCGATTTAATCCTCCTCTGACTCAGAAATGAGATCGCGTTCACGTATATAGTTTCGTATGTGTATATATAGGAAAAGAGAGCAAGGATGACGAAGAATGCCTAAAAAATCATTATTAGTAAGAAGCCACTAGCATTGACAAATATGATGTAAGTGCCGGAAATGTAAATACTTCTCGTACCGTATAAAATAATTTGTAAAAGTGATGCATTAGTATCATTTTGAACTCGTAATGCAAATCAGTCTTGTACCTAAAGAAATTGCAAACGTTAATATTATTCTGCGATCCGCTTGTTTTGTCAAGAATTATGTAATATCAAATTGACAGTAATAAGCATCGTTGATGCGTCAACGCGCAAAGCAATTGCTGAGAAAATTTGCGGATAAGTACGTGCACTTTTCTTCGAAGATGACAGCCTGCAATTTTTCTAACGTGAAAAGTTAAGAGGATTGTTTTTAAGCAACAACTGGGCTGCAGACAATGCCAAAATTACATCAATATTACTTAATGCATACATCGGGAGTATCGCTTGGTAGTTGCTAGTAATGCGTGTCACACGTTATTTTAAACGTTAAAACACGATCCTGTGTAAGCTTCTTTCAAAAAATGGGTACGAATAATTGCGCACTTTTCCAAGAACCCATAATTGCCTATTGACTGTAATGAAACTGTTTGGAACACCAGCACGTTGGCCAATCACAAAGGAATTCCAGTTTCCCGACGAAAACAAGAAATTATATCTGCGAGAAATCTCGATTAATTAAAGATGATGAAAATAGGAAACCTTATCAGGTCACCTCCTGTGCTTAGATTTTTCATTGATAAATTTCAACGTGCATGGATACAATACTTTTTTTGGAAATAATAATTTTTACCTGAGAATAATGATTTTCGTGGGTATAATCCGGACAAAAATCGTGAATCGTAAGTTTTCGACGGAATTTCTAAAATTCCTATGACTAAGGAGCTTTCCCGGGAATTATGCAATCGCTCATTAACTAACGGAACACTTTGGTATGTGAGGTATCTATTAATGAATCCATAGCTCATTCAGGAAGTTACAACCGGAAGTCCTTAAATTTAAAATATATATACACATGTGAAATTTGCCAGTACTCCGTTGTACTCTAAAATTGTACGTACTCCGTATAATTCCACGTAACTATTGATAACCAGAGAATGTCCGTTGGTTTTCTAAGAAAGATAAAAAAAAAATCACGGTGGTTATTGTTTTCTAGTTAAAATGCAGGAAGAGATTGAACGGTCGATTCGTGCGTCATTGTAAACAAAAAAGAAACTTGTCGTTTTAGATGTCCCACCTTACGTGTCGAGGTCGAAGGGCTTTCTAAAGCGGCGGATCTTACACGCAAACTGTTCGCCCTTCGAGGTATTTTGAAAGTAAGCGTTCCAAGGCCATCGGCGAACCAGGAGGCATCGATCTTTCCTTCCGCTTGGGTTTACGTAATTATTGAAAAACGATGTTTCTTTTTGTTCATTAACTTCTCACTCCTACGGTGAATAATTATATTGTTTCGCGAAGATGCAGAGGGAACGCAGCATGTAATCATGAAAGGCAAGGTGTAGAATTAATTTTTCCAACGGAAGGTTCGATGTTGGCACGATGTGCGACTATGTAATGAGTGGTATTTCCTGCAAAAATTATATGATTTTATGTTACTTGGGCTAGGTATAAAGTGTTACAACCTCTCATTAGAAATGTAGCTCATCATGTACGTAGAATCTGGGGAGTTTCGAAAAATGGAGTGCTGCCTATTAGTTCACTCCCCCACGGTAGGGAGGCGCTACTATCTAACGACGCACTCCAGGAAAATCTGGAAGTAGGAGGGCCAATGCGAGGTCTAGATATATATGGTCTAAGGTCGCGGGCCCACCCGCCATGTTTGAATCATCGATAGCCGGTCGAGAATCGAAGCTCGCGGTATCTCGATTCTCGAAGGCGGCGCGCTCGCTCGCCTTGAACTTGGGAGCACGCATGCGCGAGGGACCTCGCGCCCGGCGCGCGACTCGGAGCGGCTCGGCTAGGTTCGGGCGCGCTCGGCGTCCCCGCCAGTCATTTGTTTTGCGCCCGCCGCGCGACGCGGACTCGTTTCCGTGCAGTTCGCGTTTCGCGTCGGGATGTCGGGTCGCCGATGATCGCCGATCGTGTCCCTCGCCGCGCAGCAGGACCCGTTCTAAAGACGCCTCCTCGGCAGGCGTGCCAACGTAGCCGCACCTCGTGGGCCCGCAGTCCTGCCAGTCCCGTCTGTCCACCATGGCAATCACCGTGACATCCGAGCCGGTAAAAGAGCCCTAACCTGAAAACTGGCGCGGCTCTGCCCGAGGTTGTCCGATTCTTTTTTTTTCCCCTTAATCTTTTCTTTTCCGATTACCGAGTCGGGCACAAATGCGTGATCCGCTTTTACCAGTGCTCCTTACGACACCTCCCAGCCTCGCGTCTTCGCCTCTCTCGAGCGATTTGCGAAAGCGACGGGCCAAGCTTCGTGTGAAGTCTCTCTCCTCGAGGAGGGAAAGAGAGGGCGATGTTAAATGACCGATTCTCTCCCACGAGGGAGAGAAGGACGGATAACGAGATGATCGAGTCGGTGAAACCACTCGTGCTAGAAGTATTCTTTCTTATATCTCTGTAAATTAATCATTTTTAAGACGACGTCGTTAAAGGGTCATAGGTCCCTTGATTTGTTCATCTCTCCACGATTCGCACTATTTTCCGAGACCGATCGGACGAAACTTTTCACATTTTTCTAAGTCAACAAATCGGCTCTACCTTGTTCTAATGTCACCTCGGGCGACACTTCCGTGCCGCTGATCTCAAGGGTTAATGGGAACGAGTCTTTCGTAGGTATTTTACTATCTAGTTGTGTATCGTTTTCGGGATGTCATGTTAAGAGATCGAGGCAAGTCCTAAGCCGGGACGACTTCTCTCTCGGCGCTTTAAGCGATTTAATTTCGTACCCGAGGCGGCTAGGCGCTTTAACCCGAGACCCGACTCGCGTATTTTTAGTGATATTGGCACAAAGTTTAAAGCCTAGGGTCCTATTCGATTTCGAACGAATAAGAGTCGAAGATACGGCCAAAAGGGAGGAGGGTTAACCGACGTAAAATTCGGCCACATTGCGCCGGCGATTTCGTGTCGGGTTGAAACGGCGAGACGACGGACTCGGCCGAGAGGCAGGATTCGTGTTTTTACGGTAAATTTAAAAAAAAATTTTTTTTTATTTTGTACTGGGAGGGCATCCGCGCTATTTATAAAATAATGCTCGCCACTGCTGAGCGGGTCTCTCGAGGGGTCGACCCGATGCGGTCAGATTCGATTTTTTTTCTAGATAATACATTCCGTTTAATCTGGGTAATTGGAGTCGCGTTGAACGGCGACCGGAATGCATCGCGAAGGAAATTGCCAACTAGTCTGCCGGTCGACTCGCAACGAGGTTCGGCGTATCAGAAAACGTGTGCCGTATCGCCGCTGGAACGAGGCACAATAAATGCTTTACGACAGCCTGATGCACACGTTTGTGGGTCGGGACAACGCGAAACCGTGGGAAAGGTCCTCGATATCGGGATACGCAAGTTTTCGAATAAATCGATCGATTATCCCTTCTTCGAGGCATGCTAGATAATTGCGACATCTTTGTCCAATGAATTTTATAAAGTTATCTGCGCACCCTTTCGTTAACCCTCATTTTTTTTATTTTCTTTAAAGGGACGATGGGCTCGCTCCCTGAAATGTGTCTCAGTACCGAAATGTCGGTTCAACGCGAAATTTCAACGAGGAAAATGTGTTTCCAAGGGAATTAACACTATTTCTACCAAAGGTGTCAAAAGACACCTTTTAAAATTTTAGCTTGAAATTATTTTCAAAGTTTAATAATTTTTTCTCAATTAATGTTTTGAGTTTTCGTATAATGATTGTTAAATTTATTTAGCGGTATCATTAACGTTAGCATTATAACACGTGGTATGTGCATGGGTGTAATTATTTCACTCGAAATTGTTTGGTGCGAGGAAATGCTATTAGCGGCGATAGTTAACGAGACACGTTCACGTGGCCTAATGCGTTAATGCAAGGTACGAGGGATTGGTATAATTATTTTCATCGATATTGATTGGGTAGGATAAAATGCGATTGCTGGCGACTGCAAGCGGTACACACATCCACGTGGCCCGATGCCGCTGTGACGACATAAATAAACGCACTCCTCGGTTTTCACGTCAATCTTCCCGAGTGTCTTCCACCACGTGGGAAGCTCTTGCGTTGTAATAACAAGGAGGGACACTTGACCGTGGAGGATTTTGCGGAAGTGACGGCCGATGCTAATTTGGAATTGGGGAGGGAAAAAGAATTGCTATTTTGAGGGAAACGCGGCCAAGGGGAAGAGAGTCGTTACTTGGAGTTGATTTAAGGGCAAGCCGGTTGTTTCTTTAATAAATAGCGATTTTTTGCCCGAGTTGCGTCTTCGGAATATCTCTGAAATTTTTTGAGGTGGCCACACATAGCAAGGGAAAAAAAATTGCGATAAATCTGCGCAAATTGTTCCGTATAGATTTAACCAATATATCTTTGTCATTCGTGGCAATTGGTACCTTTTCAGGACGATTCGATTAGAAATCAATTTTACTTGGTTTTGGGGGAGGAGGAATTATTTCCGAAATTTTTGCGACAAGAATTTATGCAGTCGAGTTGGGTTGAACAAGCTACGAAATACTGTCTACGCCTCGTTACTAGATAAGATTGTACACGGGTGTTTTTTTTTTTTTTTTGTGAAATTGCGTGTACACAGGGTAATTGCTTCGTGGTTTCCAATGTCCAAGCTCGCCGTGGTGGCCGGGGTTTAATGTCTTCGTCTAAAGTTTCTTCTACGTGTAACGTGTCGCTTTACCAAACCGCTACCAAGAATAGGAGACTACTCGAGGATCATTGTTACGCAGAACGGAGGAGAATATTACAGTAATTAAATCATTGTCATAAAAAGAGGTGCTCGTTCGATTTTCTAACGGAGGTGTATTCATCAGCGCGACGAATGATTGGCCAATGTATCAACTATTCTTCTACGATATCTAGGAAATAAGTGGTTTCTATTCTTTCATCATCGCTCGGCGATTTTTCTTTTGCGTACCGCCGAACCATACGGAAACTATTTCCTGATTAGGCATAAGTCATGGAAGTGTGATAACGAGGGTACGATTAAAAATGAATTCTTTAATTTGTCGGCTGCGCGCGTGATATCAATACATATTTCGATCGCCTTTTATTACGGATCTGACGGTCTATTGTTTCTTTCAAAGTGTGTACCCGGTATCGGGTTATCAGGAAAATTGTTTCCGGTTCGTGGTTGGCCGCGGTGTGTACTTAGGATTTGTTTGTTTTTTTTTTCTCTCCGTTACAACAAAGGACTCGCGGGTAACCTCTCATTAACGACATAGCGATTAAACTGCAACGTCCGTTCTGGGGATTTGAGACTGATTATATGCGAGTTGGCAGTACTTAGTCTCCTGTTAACCTCACCAACCCTGACCGTATTACGTTGTACAGTATCTACGCGTATGTGCGTCTTCTTAGCCAGTGGCTAAGTGCGTTACAAGTTACGATTAGGATCAAAGCAATCCTCGGGTAATTGTCTTGCCTCCGGGGGGAGACAACGTTTATGAGGTGTTAAACATATTTTGTATTCTTTCAAAATCTCTCCAGGCTTCGCGAGTATTTACGAGAAGGTCTTACAAGCGGTAATGGTATATGCGTATTGGTTAATGCGTAATCAATTTATGCGTTAATGCCTATATAATTAAATATCGATGTTAGGTCATCGTAGCATTTGTATTTCGCAAAGTCTGCTGTTATCGATACACGACTCGTGGCTTATCAACGACGGTCATTTCCTGCCTCGGTCTGCACTTATAGTCGGGATATCGTAATCTCGGTTTTGAGTGCACTTTTTTTTTTTTGTTTATATGAATACCGTCACACTTGGAACGGACACGCTAAATATCTTGCCGCGAAATGAACGAGTACATGTATTGCGCGAATTATGCATTTCGATGAATTTGTGCTCCTTTTTTGCGCGAAAAATTTGCATAAAAGAGAATAAGGCTTGCGAAGACGTTGATCTTAGTTTGCTAAAAGAAATGCAATTCAGGTCGTATGATGAAAATACACTTGCAAAACAAGCCGGAATACATGACTCACGTCAATTTCTCATTTCATTTAAAAGTTACGAATCCCGTGGCTTTGCGAAATCGGGTTCTCTTTCCTCGCAAAATGTATTGCGTTCCTTTTTAGATCACTCTCGAGTGTCGGAAATTACGCTTAACTGTGCGTTCAATTGCAAGCAATTCTAGAAACTGATAAAGTCTACTTTCCGCTATTGGTGTTTATCAACTTGTTATTCTTCTGCCTTCAACTACCAGATCAAAGGGTTAGGCGTTTAATAATCGCGAATAAATAGCTGGAAACAGTACCGTAGTTTGCCATCCTCATCCGTACGAAATTATACACATATAGTTGACCAATTGTATCGTAACTGCATTGTTGTCCCGGTTTTTGGCCTCGGATCTTGTTTCGTTTAATCCAGAACTTTTCTACGAACATTTCCTCCGGTCACAATTTAGCCAAATTAATGTATTTTTTTTTTTTATGAATTTCACTTTTATGATGGAGTCCGTGGTCTCCCTCCTTCTCATTATGTCATTACCGATCTCATCGTAAACATCTTCGGTGTGAAAAAAAGATTACTATAAATTACTATACAGCGTCTCTTGATTACATGGCGCTAACGAATATGTCGCAGGGATTATTAAAATTTATCAGACGTTTTCCCAGGCCTTTTCACGCGGTGGTCACAACGTCGTCGATTGTTTGATCAGCGTCAACAAACGAACGTTTGTAGAGACTTCGTTCTGCTTGTCGAGGCCTTACATAATTTCCTCTCGCGAGCGATAGGAGGAAGACAAACTCTTCGGATGTGACCATTGACAACCATTGGCAACGCTGACTTTACGGTGGCATTTCTTTGTAGACATGATCGTCACCGTTTAGGAGTACTCGCTTTATCGCATGCCCCAGGTGGGTGTCCATTTTATGTATACAATGCCCATCTTGTTTCCACCGCGCCGCCACTCGTGACGTTTATCAAGAGGCATTATTTACCGAGAAGTCCAAGCCGGAATATTTTGATCTTCGCCCAAGACTAAATTTACCGAGAACGTTAATTATCGCGTCGATCTCATTAGGGACGAGCGATTCTCACCCTGCCAAGTGTATTTGAAGGATGTCAAGTCCAGGAAGTCGAGGAGGTTGTCGCGATGTCAAGTACGTCCTTACCGCGTTATAAATTACTCCTTATGCAAATCGTCGAGGGTGGATCGCTTTTCCGTTTGTCCTCTTCTTCCTTACATTTTTCTTTTAACGACACTTCTCATCGGTATCTCAACTTTTCCTCCGTAATTACTGTTTACATTCATTATTGTTTCTTATTATCGGGACAATTTGCACTAATGTGTTCGCTGGTCTCAGGGCGTCATTTTTCTCGGTTAATCATTGACGTTTAAAATGAAACGAAAATTGTACAAATGAAGAGATACGACAATCAGCACCGTACGCGTAAGGGCATTTTGTGAAAGAACGATTAAGAGCAATTATTAGTATTTAATCACAGTTTTAAGTTGGACATTTCCTTGGCAACGTGTGGGGCGACTGTTTTTAATTGTTTTCTTTGGAATGAATAAATGTGACCGATGTGTTAAATAGTTCGCCACGGTAGAAGGTGATAGATTAATTGGGAGGTGCTCGAGCGTGCACTGCCGATCGGTTTGCGAGGTGGTGCGATAATCCGTCTTCATGACCGCCTGTCGTTTCAGACCGGCATTATAGCGCGATAGTTCCTCACCATGACCCACAAAACATGTAACGAGGGTCGTCGACGTTACCTTCCCGTTGTGATTCATGTGCTAGTCCATGTACAATGTTGGCCTGCTCTTTAACATTTTGCGAGATCGACGTAAACAGGTCTGAAAATAAAAAGGAGACAAGTTGTAAGTATACCTCGAAACGAAGGAGAATTAAAAATTAAGTACCGATAAGTGACGTTTTCGTGCGAACGTAAATGTACCCTATAAGTATCTAAACATCTCTTCCAAGACCGAGCATGCATATAATCGTATTTAATCTCGATTAAGGAGATATTTTTAATTTATCCCAAATGCGTTCATCGGTGGGAATAAAAATGCTGAGAATTTTTTATCCTCGCCAAAATCGCCTTGCGATAATCATTTCTTGTCTGGTACTGTATCCGGTTTACGTAACGAGCGCTGGTAATGCCCGAAAAAAATGTCCGCCGGGCCTGATTTCCTTTCTCTCGGGGCGAGTTTGTTTGGTTTCGAGGTTTTTTTTCTCAAGCAGATTACGTGTGGTGGTTTCAGCGCTGGCCAGGGCCGTATAACATTCGGGCCTAATGTCTGTATGGTCGACAAGCACTGGGCGCAACTCAGTGTTCGGTGCGGAGGGTCCACAGCCCCCGTCGCACCTGCCTGTCCACCCACCCCCGCACACTCACCTGCACAACAATAACGGACATTGCTTTCACAAGAGGTTTCACAATTGTCAGGTGAGTTGTCACATTACTATTCTCCTACAAGGGCGATCGCACGGTCAACTTTCGGGCCATGCGACCGCGGTTCCACGTGCAATCCTTGCAACGAGGTCGAATTTCATGAACACGGAGCCATTTCGACGTACGGGCGAAATTCGTCTGACCGTGCAGGCAATATTGGACCAAACGTCGGGCGCCTTTAGGCGCTCTTAGTAGCCAAAAGGTTAAAGCGGTATAGATAGTGGAACCGATTGTTTTTTTTTTTTAAGATATGGACCACGATTCGAAATATCGAACAATTATTTTCAAAGCGCATGACCTCGTAATGAGCGAATCGACCCTGCCTACTCTTACGCTTTCTCGCTTTCGGATTAGCAAATCGTGCGCGAGGAATCGCAATTTACACGCGAGATCCGCGCCTCCTCGCTTGATTTATACGCTCGAATTACACGTATGACACCGCTGTCATAGGAGTAATTCCTGATTTCACTTGCTCAACTTACACTCCAGGTTATTAGTGTGACTAATCGCAACCATTTCTGCCCTAATCGGACCGCTTCCCCCCGCCACTGCTGTAACCGTAAGTCGAATTCTTCTGATTTAATTCGCCCCGTGGAAACTCCAGTCGATCTTCCTTCCGACTCCTCCTCGTTTGTGAGATAATTGCCCGCGGAATAGATAATCGCGAGGGAGGTAATTGCACATGTTCCGGGGGGGAATAAAAAAAAAAAAGAAAAGGAAACGTCGGTTCTAATTCCGCCGAAGTTCCGTAACGCGTCACTCCGGGAGCAGCCGACCGTGTCGTTTCATTTTTTGATAACGAGTTGGAACCTTATCACGGGAAGTGTTCAAATTTATCGGGATTACTGGAGTTTCTACTGGCATTAATTGCGCTGGAGTTCCATTGATACTTGTCTTAATAATAACGCTATTTTTTTTTTTTAGTCCCACCGCGTTGTTTTTGCAACATATTTGTGTAGTTCACGCCCGTGTCACGTCGACTTAACTGGGAAATAAAAAAATAAAAAAAAATAGACCTCACGTCATTTACATGACAAGGAGTGAATAGATCGCCTCGGCCCGGTTGTTGCGTATTTTCTGTCTCTTCCGCTTCCATTGTCATTCGTATCGAGCAGCCTGGTGGACGCAACAATAGGCCGCCAAGTTGGATCGCAAACCCGGTTTGCACAATTTTAACACACTCTTCGATATTCTTCCGATAGTGCCGGTAAAGTAGATTGCGAGATTGCTGTTTAAATGAAACGCGAGGACGCGGTTGTCGAGTCGATCTCTTTTTCTTTTTTCTTTTTTTAACCCCCTGCATTGTTGAAGATATTTCTAGAATTCCTGAAATTTTTTATACGTAGGGCTGTAGCGAAACTATAAATTTGGTGTTTTAATAGTGAATTACAGTATGCAATACTGGAGTTTCGGAATTAATTTATAATTTTATAACACCACGGTATAACTATGGGAAATCGCGTAGGAAAATTCGTACGCTTGTGTGTGAAATTTATGATATATGTTGATAAAATGTATTAATTTGTCATGGAGTAATATGGTTATATGGACAATTCGATTAAAACGGTAGCGTTATTGTGGCTTTTCGTTAAAAAAAAAAAGAAAAAGCTATTCAAAGGGAAGCCACTATAGTGGCATTTCGTCAAAACAAAACGTCAGTCAGAGAGAAGCCATTATAGTGGCGGTTAAAGGGTTGACAGAAAAACGCCACTTCAAGGGGAATCGGCGATTGTTAATCACTCCTTATTTGCGCGGCATCAACTATTTCATATTTTCAATAAATATCCATATTTTTGTTCTCCCTGTGGAACGATCCTTTCATTTCTTCTTACCTGAAAATGTAAATTTCAATATCCCTCGTTAGTCGTAGATGTATAGTCTCGTTAATACACTTTTATTCCCAGATGATCTAGTGTCTAATGAGAATTATTGTGAAATTATTGTCAAACTTGTTTAAACATCTGCCGTCATTCTCACCCGTCCATGTAGCCCTGTGATTGTAAATGTTAATTTCAATATCCTCTAATTCGAGAGCCGATTCCTTCCAAAGATTTTCAATAATCTCCTTCGCTCTTTTGTTTGGTTCAGCCCCTGTTGGTTTATTTGCCCTACGAGGGACTTGCAACAAGTACTTCTGTCGGCAACATCATTCGGTATGTCTCTTCCAATGGTTGCCTACTTCCGCCAGAAATCGAATTCGCTTTTTTGCTGTCCACTTCCTTTTCCCGTATTCTCTTCTCACCTGATACGGCAATATTTATTGAAACACGCGATAAACATTTTCCTTCCTAGTAAATCTTGGATAAATGTTTCCCGAATAGCTGAGTGCATTTTTTTTTTTATTATTAAATTTCACTTAGGGTAGAATCAGACATTCGCTGCGTCGCTAATGTTCACGTAAAGAAAAAAATGTCCAAGTAAAGCGTTAAATGAAATTCCTTCCCAACACTTCGAGCTTCGGCCGTGTAATATATGTAATTCCTGAATGAGAGCAGCCGGGAATTTATTATTTGAAGACTGCTCGTTTTTTTTTTTTTTTTATTTTATTTCTTCTGCCCAAGGATCTCGCAGGTCTGACTGTACGGAAGAAAATGTTGCCGGTAATTTTTCTCTCGCTGAAACGCATTTTTGCAACTGATGCGCCAGTTATGGTGAGCTTATCGGCGTTGTTATGTAAATTTCCCGGACGAACTTGTGGTCGTTACGTATCGCGTTAACAACACGGTTTAGTTTAATTTATGGTTCATCGGTGTGGTTGATCGTAAACGTGGAATTGTTGCATAAATGACGCCGGTTGCAGTGTCCGCTGCTACGATGGTGTGCGGTGAAATTAATCTGCGGCTGATAATAGAATAAAAAATAATCCCGACTATATCACTATAATGTATCTAAGATATCGGTAAAAATCTTCAAAGACTCCACGATGGTATATATAAATTGTTAGGTATATTTATTTAACGTAGCACCTATACCGTCGCTTACTTCGCATTTTCCACCTCGCCATAATTTCTTCCTCGCTTTGATGCTTCAAAATCAGTGCAAGATAAATCGAGTGTGATTATTTTTCACGTCACTTTTCACAACATATTCCTTCCGTACATCCAGGGCGAATGACCCCGATCACCGGTGCACTTGTAATTTTTTTTTTTTTTTTCCAGTGACGACTCGCCGTGCTCGACGATTACTATTCGTACAGTTCTGAGGACCGCTATTGTCACTGATTCCACATTTGCATTGTTCTAGGGAAAGATGTCGCAGTCTGGGGACGGTTTGCACACGCCGGGATACCTGTCCTGGAGGAAGCTGCAACTCAGTCGCGCCAAACTCAAAGCCTCGAGCAAAACGTCGGCCCTGCTCTCCGGTTTCGCCATGGTAAGGTTTGTTAAGACTTTTCAATTGGAGGGGTTCGATTAAACGTCCCGGTAATCTAGAAAGACTCTTTATCGCGCCTAGGTGGCCATGGTCGAGGTGCAGCTGAACTCCGACACCAAGGTACCCGCCGAGATGCTGATAGCCTTCGCCGTGTGCACGACTTTGCTGGTGGCGGTCCACATGCTGGCCCTGATGATCTCCACCTGTATCCTGCCGAATATAGAAGCCGTCTGCAACCTGCACAGCATAAGCCTGGTGCACGAGTCGCCGCACGAACGATTGCACTGGTACATCGAGGTAGCCTGGGCCTTCTCCACGTTGCTGGGTCTGCTGCTCTTCCTCCTGGAGATAGCGATCCTCTGCTGGGTCAAGTTCTACGACTTCTCGCAGGTCGCCGCCTGGTCGGCCTGCATCGTCCTGATACCGGTGCTGATTATCTTCCTGGCCTTCGCGATCCACTTTTATAGGAGCCTGGTGGCTCACAAGTACGAGGTGACCGTATCCGGCATCAGGGAGCTTGAACTGTTGAAGGAGCAAATCGAGTCGACCGACGTCGAGGGCAGGAATGGCGTCAACCTCCTGCAAAGCGGCACCCACATTGTATGAGACATGCTTTACAATCGAGCCGAGAGGCTCGATGTCGAGGAACTTCCCCAGACGAGAAGGAACTCCTCAAACCCCGCCGCGGGGGCGACCAATCCGAGGCTCCAGCTCGAGGTCGATAGGTTCGACGTCGAGGCTATGTCCAGGAGGAACTCCTCGAATCCCGCTGCTGGTGGAACTAGTCAGAGACTGATGCTCGAGGTCGACAGGCTCGACGTCGAGGACTCGCGCCCCTCGAGGAGGAATTCCTCGAGCCCCATTATCGAGGTAAGGAACGAGAGAGCGACGCTTGACCCGGTGGAACGCGAAGATGGATCGTCGGCGAAGGAAATGCGAATGGCTACGTAAAACGTGGAGATTCGACGACGAGGCTACGTCCGGGAGGAACGAGAGATTGACGCCCTTGAATTCTTCAAGCTCCATTAACGCGAACGGAAGGTCGACGCTTGACCCGGTGGAACGCGAAGATGGATCGTCGGCGAAGGAAATGCGAATGGCTACGGAAAACCTGGAGATTCGACGACGAAGCTAGGAGACGTCTAGGAGGAACTCCAGGTCGGTAGACTCGACAGCGAGGAAGAAATGCAAACGGCTACGTAAAACGTGGAAGTCAAGTCGTCCAGAAGAAGATCCTCAAAACCTGTAGAGAGGATGAAGAGGACCGGCCAGGAACTGCGTCAGGTAAGAAATACTTGAAATACGAATTGCCGAGGCAAATACATGCAGATTGTATATTTAGCCAGCGGAATAATGATCGAAACACAAACAAGGAACAGCGGGAGCTCGTTTGATGAGCCAAGGGAACCTCGTGATGGTTGTTGCCACAAATCCGAGAAAGCAATTGTACAAACCTAAAATAAGAAAACACTGGCATTGTACAACTCATACGTCGTTCTTCCTACATGAATTTCTATGTCGGGTTAATCGACTTGATCGATGAACGATCGTTTTTTTAAGAAACGTCACCGCGGGAACGGACGAGAGGAGGAACATCATGACCCTACTTAATTTACTAAACTTAATTTAAAATAGAAGTCATTGAGAACCTTGCTCAATTGAAAGAAAATGAACCTTCGAGGTTGCTTATGAGATTTGGAAAGCTATGATGGAAACAGTAACCGATCGCCCCGTGTTTGAGATGGGTTTGCCTGAAATTTACTTTACAACGACATATAAAGGGATTTGTCTCTCTATGAACAAAGTTGCTACGATACTTAAGTGAACATCATTGTAGATCGAAGTAGACCTTCATTTAAATATCGGGTATGTAAATAAAACGGGAGGATCAAACGATAAACGAGATTGAGGAAGTGTAACGAGAAAGGCGTTCGATACTTGTTAAGTACAATGTACATTTCACTTGATGCATCATCGTCACGTCATACAATCTGGTCTCTTGAGAAAATATTAAGAAATATCCCTATTATACTTCTGCGTATGCAAGGACTTAATAATCGAAATGCATACTCCTTTGTTAACTGTATGTATATATATACACACACACGTATATACATATATTAATTTTTACCGAAGATGAAATCGAGCGACATGATTTATGCCTTTTACGATTGCCTTTTATACAATTTAGTCTTAAGTCGTGGTCGTTCCTGCGTACGTACTAATGTCTTAAGAGTGGACGTCGATGAAATTTTATAATTAATATATTCACCGAAGAGGAAACATCCATTCACAAAATTAGCCCTTGCTTCTCTAGCTTTTCTCGTTAAAAGAAATACCAAAGGTTCCTGAAGAAGAAAGTTATTAGATAATTTAAGCGGGGTGAAAAAAAATGAAAAACAGTAAATATTCTTTTTAAAGAAGCACATTATAAACTTGTTCAGTTGTTCCTTAAATATTCATTCTTAAACATTAATTTTTACAATTATTTCTACATATTTCAACGTAAAGACTAGAGGACTGACAGTCTGTTATATGAGTTAGTTTTCTCGAGGGAATAAAATTCACTTTTTTTTTTTTATATCTATGGTATGTATAGTAGCATTTCATCGATATCTTCTCACGACACTACACAAACAGTATCTAATCGAAACGCAGGTCGCTTCTTGGTGGATATTGCTTCCCTGATATATATCAGGGCTAAAATTTTGGAAAATTGGAATTAATGCTCACGTTTGTAAACATTTTTTTTCAAGCATTTTTCAAAGAAACTACTTTTTCCTCCCCCTGATCCGATACATTTGATTTTATTAATTTGTAGCATTCTGTTGTTACGAGACCCAGTTCTTTTAATATTAATGGTTCAATTTGGAACGGTAAAAATTGTTAAAATCAGCCCTGCTGTATATTCCACTGTGTACTGTTCATAGTCAAGCAAACACACCATATAAATTATTTACTGTACACAAATGGACTTTAATTTCCCCCGCCCAAGGTTACCATGGAGAGGGTCTTTTTCTATAAATTATCCAACTTGGATGGGTGGTCAGGTTTAAGTGAACTTGTGTAAATACGACAATGAAACATTCCCCTTTCGCGCGTTGTGACTTAACCGCAATGTCGGTAATGTGCTTCGCAGTGATGCACACTTCGATTGACTTGCTCAAGAAATGTTAGGGTCGTTGCATAAGCTGGACGATTTTTTTCTTATACATCTTATATATCTTACATATATAAACAGAAGTTGTACGACACATAAAAGTACCCCGCACGTATAGAACCATAGTCTACACTTTCTACCGTGGTATTAGTGTCGTATGTAAGTTTAAGCGCTGTTATTAATTTTAACTAGACCATCGTCGCAGTACTTAATCACTGTTTAGTTACTAAATCACGACTCGGCGTTTTATTGCAATTGTTGTAAAGATGTAAAATTCGCTGCCTTTGTAATCTAAAAATCGTATAAATATGACATTCATAAGAATGTGAGGTCTTATAGTACTATTGGGAAAGCGAGTTTTACAGGCACTGAGAGTATCTTTTATCCGTCGGGGGAAGATGAATTAAAAAATTACCAAATGTGCGAAACATTTATGCAACGATCCTGTTGAAGGCGCTCCTTCGATGCGCTGTATTTATTTCAAACCTGCGAAGTTTTACTATACCACTTTTTAAATGTACATATTGAAGACGGGATAAAACGTGTGTATATACGATTAGGTCGAAGTACAAGGCGGTTAGAAATTTTATATGATAAAAGACACATTGACGAGTAACGCTTAACGTGACATTTGGAAATTTAAATACTAATCAAAGGCTGAAAACAACTGACGATATTATAAATTTGAAAAATCGTGTCTTCTGAGGGAACTCAACTAACGCGAGCTCCAAGGTACAGAGTATTGAGACTTTTCAAATCGCTATATTTGATATACTTAAAAATGTCCGGATGAAAGGCTGAAAGAAAGTATTTTTGGTATTTCCCTCTTTTGCTTTTCTTTTTCTTGCCAAAATTACGTCGCATCGTGGTTACGTATAGTTTACCGGCGTCTCATCACTGCCTGATTTTTCTTCTCGTTGCGAACAAACGACTTTTTGAAATACAAAGGAATTTGTAAACAAATAGCGCAGGTGGGCCGAAGTATACAAATATTTTAGTATAGGTTGTCTATACTTAAGATTATACACATGCCCCGTATGTATATATAATTAATACGATTAGAAATATACATCACTTTAAGATTCGAAGACAACGTGTATTTGCGAAGTTCATTAGACGCTTCCTGCTCGGTGCGTTATAAAAAGTGGATCAAAATTTGGAGATACAAAGAAAAATAATGACATAATAAAATAATTAAAATACTCTCACTGATGATATCACGCGGGTATTCTCATAATGCCTTGAGGAATATCGTGCAACACGTTGTGTAAACTATCGGTTCGGTGAATCATAAAATACGTGTCGCAACGTGGAGAGTACTAGAAAAGACACCTGTAAACTAATTACAGTCAGCAGACCACGTAAAGATGCCTATAATCGCCCATTTGAGGAGAGCGATTCAACTCTTGAGACCGATTTCCAGGAGTTAATACCTCTTGCTCCCTTTTCTTAATGATCTCATCAGGGTCGACAAGTCGATTCTGAAAACGAAGACTCGACTTGGTAAAGAACGATTTCTATGAATGAAATTCAAGGGAAAAGTTGTAAACTTCGTTAGGACTAAAAATTGTTAACTATGTTCTCGCTACAGACAAACCTCCGGAATTGGGTAAGGTGTAGGATAATTAGCAGATTGTCTCCATGGGATATCTTCCACGGTGCTGATTACACAAATGTCGTTCTTCCAGCATCCCTCTTGCATCTGTCCACTGTCCAAGTGGTAGAATATCCCTCGACCGTCCTTTTTTCCACCTAGAAACTCACCTTCGTAGCGATTCCCATTAGCTGTTCGTTAGTGGGTGATTGTATTTTGAAAATAAATTTCCTTGATAAGAGTTAGACACGATCGAATTGGAAATAAAGGGAACGAAGAAATGGTGCCACGTTTAAATGACTTATTCTGTATTATTATAATGTACCTTGGATAAAGATTCCATTTCCGTGATTAAGATCGTCCTTCCACGTTCCTTGGTAAAATCCTCCGTCACGGTTCCACTGGCGACCGAAGCCGTGGCGCTTATTTTGCAGGAAATTTCCCTCGTAAAAGCTTCCGTCCGGGTACCAGTAACGACCGAAGCCTTGCTTTTTACCGACAACCCAATCACCCGAATAAAATTTCCAGATCTCACCGATTTTCGACACTTTGCTGAGAACCCCAAAGCCGTTTCTTCGCCCGTTCGACCAGTCGCCTTCGTACAGCCAATTATTCCTGAAATGTATTTATTTTGGTACCAAGTAATGTGTATGGATAAATTAATCATATTAAGTAAGAAAAAAAAGAAATAACGATTCGGGCGGTCAAATTCCGAGGGAAAAATAATTACAGGTTCTTAAGATCGCTCGTATAATATTATTCTGGTATAAAATATCGTCGAGAATTTCATTGAAAAAGTTAACCTGGTCAATTGAGTGCCCTTGCCTTCTTTCTTGTCGTTTTTAAAATCGCCCCAATAACAGTCTTTCAAAGGCGTTGAAGGACTAAACGTCGCATGCCGCGAGCCGTTTCTCTTGCAATTTTCTATCCGGGTCTTGGTAATACTGGTTTTTAATGCTTTCAAAAAAGGCATTTCCTGTGAGAGTATTTATCCAAAGGACGTATTGAAAACTTCTCATTTTCCACGTATATCCATTTAGTTTTAGTGGATTTAAAGCTATTTTTAAAGGAAATTATCTTTGCAATCGGAGACCGCATTGGATTGGTTAGGGATACGTACCTTATAATTAGTGATTCTATTAACAAATGAAGATTTATTCATCGCATTTTATCAACGCTCCCTTTTGGGTCTAAATATACTTTTAATACGAATAAGAAGACGTTTTGATCGATAAATAACGAAATAATCTTAAGGCGTTAGTACGATTGCGAATTTGAAATGCGCGCCTTATGTTTACGTGACCTCTTGCGTCGTTACGTCGGTGTCTCACTGAGAGCGGCGCGTCAGTGCATCGAGTATGGACAACCAATCGCTGGTCTCCATTTTGAGAGCTCTATAGAATACTTCGGCACTTCTGATTGGTTGTTCATCCTCGACGCGTTGACGCGACGCCTGTATACTCGATGCACTCAGTGGGACCGCGACCTATCGCATTATATCGCATTTAATCGCATCAAATCGCATTCGTCAACCTGTGTATCGATGTGTCATAAGGAACGAGAGCGCTCTAAAAGATCGCTACCGCTGTCCTAAGGTTTACAAACATTAGTAAACACACGGGATATATCCGAGAATCGCGAGAGCTTGTGGATAGTTAGTGAAATCCATGGTTTCACTCCGGTACAAATGTTTCCCATGAATAACGTGAGAAGGGTGACTCTGCTAGAGGACGAGGTAGTCGTGTTGGACTCAAGCCAAGAGTCCATTGACTTGACCGAAGATGATCGTCCTAACCTCAACGTGTCGATTCATCCCGACTTGGATCGAACCGTGTCATTGGGAAATCCAAGTAAGGAGTTTGTCCTGCTCGATGAAGAGGTCGATGCGTGTACAAGTGATTCCAAGTCTCAAATCTCCGATTTAAACGAGAGCGTCAAACCCATGGTTAAGGTTATGTTTAGGGATCAGATAGTCGCTAGGTAAAGATACAGGAACATTTGTTGTTATTTTGTTCATTTTTAATGGACATTCCTTACTAATTGACCAATTGAACTTTGTTGTTGCTAGACTGATCATGTCTGTGGTTAAAGTATATACCATGAGGTTTCATCGGGTAATTGTGTTTTTTCAGTAAATATAAGGAGAAGATTAAAGATTTCTTGCAAAAGTTGATTTCATCGAGCACCAAGGGAGGTAACGTGAAGTCTTCCAAGTTATTATTGGAAGTGTGGCACGGAGATGTCGAGGATGAACAATCTGCAAATGAATCTGTGATTAATGTTAGCACGGAAAATGATGAGAGCCAAGATACAATTGATAGTATGCTCTTTACAATTGATAAGGAGCCACAGCTTAAGGATGATTTTGACGTTCCCACGTATGGCAAGGTTTGTTATATTTCGACAGATTATTTTCCTTTAACGCGACTGCTAAAATAAATGATGAGTGTACTATCGCAAGGCGGTTGCAGTCACTGGTGACCACTGTGGCCTTCAACGTGTTAATATAAAAATTTTGAAAGAGTAAAGTTTTACCGTCTTCCGCAAATTCTTATTTGCAGAAATATGACAAAACACTGCAAGGGTCTCCTATGGAACCTGAATCGGAGGAGACAGTGGTGCGCCCTAAATTCTTGTGTTTCAACTGTATGGGAGAGCATAATCTTCGCGATTGTACACAACCACGTATGCAATCTAATATTAACAAAAACCGTAAAGAATTTAACGCGAAAAAAGGTTTTAAAGGTAATCACAGGGTTATGAGGTACCATGTTGAGGAGGAACAGAAATATGCACATCTTGCTCCAGGTCAATTGAGCAGTAGATTAAAAAAAGCATTGGGGGTTACAGAAAATGAGCTACCGAGACATATATACAGGTTAGTACATTTTCAAAATCTCACGTTTTCTTTTATTCAGAAGTTATGAAATCTGTGTGCTTGATACTGCAGAAAAAGCGTATATAAAAAATAATGTCAACCAAAATGAAAGTACAATATATTATTGAATAAAAATAAACTTAATATTTATTATTTTATGGAATCTTGAATTAACTTGATACATTAGATAATGAGATTAAATCTGGAAATAAAATGGTGAATGGCATGCGCACATAGAAGTTAGAATCAAAAGCAGTATCGTTAATGTAATGGATTACTATCATTTGTATATTGAATTGTGTGTTTCTTAGAATGAGAAAACTTGGCTATCCTCCAGGATGGTTGGAAGAAGCACGTCTCCAACACTCTGGAATAACATTGTTTAGTTCCGATGGTTCCATAGTGGCTGATCCATCTGCAGAGCCTGGAGAAATTCTTGAAAAGGAAGATATGGATAGATTTGACGTCAAGAAGATCCATGACTTTCCAGGCTTTAATGTTCCTCCTCCTCCAGGAACTCTGGATGTGAGTGTTGATTCTCTAAATACACTTCAATACCTAATAACTTTGAACTTTTTATACAAGTTTTATGAAATCAAAGGAACACAGACGCTATGGGGTCCCAAAGATGCAAACGAAGCACAGTAAAGAAGTCATGCTGTCCGTACTAAAGGACAAGAAGGCTGATGAAGGATACAAAAGAAAGAAGCTGAAACGTTCACCCGATAATGTACATCTGGATACGGAAGCAGTGCCTAGTGAAATGGAAATAGAAGATCCAGAAGGTATGTACTGGTATATGTTTGAAGTGAACGGAGGAAAATAATTGATTTGTACATTACATGAGTATATAGGAAATTATTATCTCTCTCAGCAATGATACAAAATGAAATAACTACATTTGACTTTCTGTTATATTCATTGGTGTAGATGGCGAAATAGAATCGGTATCAGTTAAAGGGTTGTTTGTACCTCCACTCCCATTGGAGCGATTGGAGACTCCACCACCACCACCGCCACCACCGCCATTACCACCACCACCACCACCTCCAATGGAAGAATTTGATACTCAACCACAAATATCTGCTGCATTTAAACTATCGGTAAGGTCTTAGTTCCATCTATATTTCATATAAATAATTGATCTCTTAGAATATTTTGACCACTTGTCTTATTAAATTTATGCAATGATTAAGGAGAGCGAGACTCGACATGTTGACTCTCCGTCCCTAGAGGAGTTGGAGTCCGCAAAGACGAAATTGCTTGCTGAATTGGACAACTCCAATTCGCAATCTACTCCGATTAAAAGAAAGTCTCAGTCAATGAATCAGGAAATGCCGCCACCGTCTGCAGAGTCTACTCCACAGTCAGTTAGTCGTAACCAGTCCATAGATTCTTCAAGGATGACACCCAATACGAGTCATGGTTCCGTTAAGTCTGTCGACCTCGGGACTCCTATTCTACAGAGTCTCTCACCATACAGCAGGTTACCCCCTTCGGAGAAGTTTTCCAAGAATATCTGCGATGTTATAAATTTTGAGAATCTACCAGATGCTACAGGAAAGTATGAGCAGATGTCTGGCATCATCCAGAAAGTCAGGGTCACTCTGGCGAAGCTTCAGCAGGAGTGATGTCTATGTACCCTGAAGCAACAGTCGTTTTTTAAAAAGAATTTTAACCGGGTAAGTGAAGTGCGATAAGTGTGTGCGTGAGTGTGAATGTGTGTGTGTGTCTGCGCGCACGCGTGTGTATGTAGGAAAGTGCTTCGAAATTTATCATTGCGAAATACGAGTCACTCAAAGTTTAGGAGTGATTGTTTCAAGGGAGTGCTGCGGACGATGAAGACAGTTCCTGCAAAGTTTTTAACACGTTGCGTACCGTGCTCTGCTCGCGTACCTTATTTTACATGAGACATCTCTCGTGATTTGTACGCAATGTGCTAAGATAACAAGAACCAATATTAAACGGCCCTCACCGACCGGAGTATTCCCGATGAATATCCTGGGCTCTGGTTTGTCATTTTTACCGTGAATATGTAAAGGATGTAAAGCAGTTTTATAAGAATTATAGCAAATAAACTAAGCAATAGACAAATATGTGTATCCATGTATTTGGCAAATACGAATAACGAGGACTTTTGTAGTTTGTATGGATCATTCGTAATCTGTGGATGCATCTTTTGCAAATTTATTCTGCTATTGCTTTAGCTCAGATTATACATACATGTATATAGAGTTGACAAGAATAGAAGATGAAATTTATTTGCATGTCCAATTCTTGAATTGAATTGAAATTTATTTTATTCTATATATAATACGTGTTCAAAGTAACATATTTGTGTATTGTTTACTTTGGAAGTTACACATTTAAAAGGACTGTGTGAGGACTTAAGTGGACTATATTTTTTATATACAGGCAATAGAACAAAGTAATTTGCCGTGTAACATTCGCCTATTGTTGATACTTTTTAAATAGTAAATACCTGAAATACTCTGAATAAATGTTTGCAGAATCAATTTCGATCAAAGATTCTCTGAATGGCACGATTAGTATTTCTTTTTTTCTTAAAGGGCGAATAAAAACTAGTGAAATCTGCAATGATTATATTGCCTGGTGTAAAAAATGATGTATGTATGTAATTATTCTAAATTGCTGAATTAGCAACATTCACAAGGTTTATTAGAATCGTTGCAATGGCTAGACTAGCAATGTAAGAGGATTACGTACACAACTTTAACATGATACGTCCCACATTCCTGTTCTAAGGCATAATAAAATAGAATAGAACCTAAGTCGTTGATAGAAATGTATAAGCGCCGTCGAACTAAATTAGAAAAAGGAGATCATTGAATTGTACAAACGTAACGTTATAGTGTTTACATCTTATGGATAAAGCATATTTTTAAACATGGGAGTATAAGAAATAAATGCGGAGCACAGCTCGCAATGAACTAATTCAACATCGGCGTCGTAAAGCGTTTCCTTTTTCATATCAACAAGGTATTTATGAGTGGATTTAAATACGGGAAATGATTACAATACAATTTTCAGTTTTAAATAAGTTATCCTTGTTTATTACATTTTGCCAATTTATCTTGGTGATTTAATAATCTGGGGTCAGACAAGTAAAAAGTATTTTCAGAGTAACTGAATATAACGGTCTTGGAAGGAACAATTGTTAAGAAAGCTTGCCATCAGGTTTTTTATTCAATAGTCACGTTATTTTCGTTTAATAATACAGATTGTGTAATGGACATAGTACATACGTAACAAATGATAGTCTCCAGAGCCTGTACTTGTCGTGCAGGCATGCGTGATTGATAACAGTTATAAATTTTATTTTATTTTGACCGGCGATATATCAGTATTATCAATAATATATTCTGATATCTCTACACAAATTTGTTTAACAGAAAAGACCCGTTTAATCCATTATGGTGAATGAAAAATGTATCTTTTTAAATTCTTGTGATATGCCTAATCTTTTCCAGATTAGTGACGTTAACGTGTATGATTCATAATTTTTCATAACTCGTTTCATGTAAAAACTAACCGATGAAGGTCAGAAACTTTACGGTAATGTACATACTTTCAAAATCTTGAACGTCGTAAATTATTTATACACTGATAATTGATAAAACAATCCAATGTCTATTACACTCGCGCAGTAAACATTTTATTCACTTGTAAATGCACTAAGTTTTACATTAATACATCATCGTGGCTTTTACTGCATGAATATATCCCCAAACTTTTCTTAAAATAACCATTCTATAGTAATAGATTACACTGAAATTGTTAATTAAATCTACTTCAGAAATTGTTTGCATTTATGATTTTGAATTTTCAGAAATACAAGGTAACGCTTAATAACCAAAAGTATCTTCCCTCGGCTTATGCTATCAAAGCATGTTTTACAGTAGTGCGAAGACTACTTCTTAGTTTTTTTGTTACATAAATATCTCTCCCAACGAATATAAATATATATATATATTTCTTTTTTAACTAATTCACGCTTGTATAAACGAATTAGAAGTGACACTACTTTTCTCTAAAAAATCATTTTCGCGTTACCTTCTTGTCGTATTGAACTTCAGACATCTCTGATACTCCTCCTAACATTTCTGCGTTACTAGGCCTGTTCGTTTATAATCTTAACAAATATTGATGTATACTTGTCTGATAGTATCAAGAAAGGTCACATAGAAAAAGTGTACAAGCGAACAGATCTAATAAGTGCATTGCCTATTATCTAGCCATTATTAACCACCTAACTTATATGATATCCCTTTATACCTTATTTTACTCGTACCGTTGTATTATGCGGACGTTTGCGATAAAATTACTCGTTATTTTCTAAAACGTATTAAACCAGCAAAATATTAATATACAAGGAGAGTAAACTGTGAAGTTTCAAAACTCTCAGTGTCAAACAATGCCGTCTAAAAACAAATTAATATCGAAAAAAACATGTAGTCTTTACAGTGCAATACTATCAACAACTTGCAACATAATACTTTATTAGGATTAACTAAATGAATATCAGAAATATGATTAAATACGTTTTATGATCAATTCAAGGGCTTGAGATTCGAATATTGTAGAAATATAATTTATTCTTTTAATACGATTTTATTCACAGATTGTTTTCGAGGTTACGGAGCCGATAAGAATTTTAGAAATAGGGCTTAACGCGATCCCTAGTTTTAGATAAAAAATATAGGAAATTTGAACTATTAGTAAGAACACTTCTTTGCTTTTCGTGTCTGTTCTTCTAGATAGCGAAGTGCGAAATTCTGGATTTTGTAGATTGTGCCTGTCTGTATTTTGCCAGGGGCAGGCAATGTAGCCACATAGTGCATAACATCTCGCTTACTTAGCCTTTTAGTAATAAGGCGAAACGACGTTCTATAGTCGATGGAGCCCTTTCACGCGGCGCACTTTCGAATTGCAGAATTAAGTATTAATATTAACTGCATTTTATGTTATACTAAGCATTTCTTGGCTGTCTTCAGTGTTACGATGAATTCCTTCGATTCCAATTAAAGCGTATACTGTAAATCATCCTCATAGTAACCAGCTATGCCAATGGTTCTTTAAATAAAATAACAGTACATATCTTAATTGATAGCAAAAAAAAAAGAATTCCATGGAATTTGGTGAACTTCTTCAACAACAATATTGCATAACTTTCTTCTGACACTATCACAGAGAATATCCCAGTTATTAATTAGTCGAGGCTGTTTAATTGGTGTTTGCTTCTTATCTTTTGATAAAAACTTACTATCAGGATAGTTCCTATCATCAGGCAACATGTGGCAATTTTTCTAAATTATCTTGATTGTCGTATTATTTCCAGAGTGATTCCTTAAACGAATCAGTTTGGAAAATAATGATCAAGCTTTCTAAATACTTGACCTAGTTTCTGCCAAGTTTCGCAATAATAACTAATATTGCTTTTGGTTTAATCACCAGTGTCGCACCTGCCAATAACTTCACGGATCTAACTTCTCAGTACCGTTTTCGACTGATATCGCTGAGACTGTAAACCAGTTGATAACTTTACAATTCTGGTCCCTGTCTTTTACATCACCAAATGTTATCCACAGACATTCTAATCGTAACGCGGAACACGAGATTCACAGTGTCATTGCTACATTTACTCCTTTTAGAGTTTAAGCTCCGTAGGTTTATCTGCGAGAGCTCAGAGAAGTCCCGGGCTGAGTCAGTTCACATGGCTTAGTTGGCTGTTGGTGGAGTTGGTGGACCGTTATTTGAACCCTGTTGAAAAATGGATAATGGTTTAGTACAAATAAATGATTCCTATTCTCTATTATTAATAATTCAGTAAATAATCAGATATTTTTAGACCAACCCTTAAGTTTGCTTAAGGTGTTAATGATTTGACATGAAACTCTATTAAGTCTGTTTAAGTGTTAAGTATATATCGCCGTTAACTTATTAGAATTATTTAATATGTAAAGGAAACATTTTGCAAAACTTACAGGTCCATGGCTTCGAGGTTTGCTGTCTTCTATCTGCCGAAGGGAAGCTGGTCTCAGCACGTAAAGCAAACCAGCCATTCCTACCATCATCATCATCATGACTAGGTTCGATGATGATGACGTATCATTTGGACCGGGAACTATTTGGAATGGTATTTTTAATGAATTACAGCTATTACAACTACAACCTTAGACTACTACTGACATTCTCGTAATAAGGATAGTTTTTCTTACTCCATTGAATTTTCATTTCAATTTAATAACATTAAAAAATGTACTTACGTGATGGTAAACTGAAACATTCCGTATCCGAGCAGTATGCCTGTGTCTCGCGCAACTGTAATTATAAGACATTATCAGAAGCTACAAAAGAAAAACCTCAGTAGGTTTAAAGTTCATAATCTAATTGGTTCAAAGAATCAAACTTTGTGCAGATCTAAATAAATATAATTTACCATTAACGTGAATAATAACCATTCAATGTAACTTTTGCATCCGGTCAGTAAAAAAACTAACACAACAGAAATTCTTTCTAACGATAAGAGTTCAGTTAATAGCTTTTCACTACATGTATCTGTGATATATTGTTATCTTTAATGGTTGATCATGCGAAGGCATGTTCAATGAATACGTTCCAGTGATAAAGTTAATGTATTGCTGTCAGGATATAATGTGCTAATGTTACGTCATTCGCAGTCCAATTCTGGATACATGAGTCCATATTTCTGCAACTAAGCAGAAATGTTGGTAATGTATGCATTATGTCATGCTTGCTTCTATATGTCATTAAATAACTTGGAAGTCAGTATTAGCATTGAACTCTGTTCCGCTGCTAAGACGAAACAAAAGCTCTTAAGAAGAAGAGTTTGAAAAGAAAAGATAATTTGAAAGAGCTAGGAAATATAATGATATCGTCAATTACAGATATTTAAATGAAGGAATGCTAGTTAAATTGCTTACTTTCATTAGCATAAACAACACATGATTAACATTCAAATAATGCAAATTGCAATGCTACCATCAGAACTGTAATATACTTACAATTGACAAAAAGCGTTGCATGGCCACCTCATAACTCCATATTAAACACTCGCAGAGATCAGACCCTTCGTCACTCATTGTACTTGTAGGCTTACAGACCTGGAAAATGTGAAACTAAAACACGAGACAATATTTCACATAGCCCATAAGGCATTTAATCGACTCAAAGATAACAGCATAGCCTGCGTGCGACTGACATTAAAATAAACTTTCAGCGCAGACCGATAACTGGAATGACAAATTCGTGGTATACTGCACTATCCATATAATGTACCAACGATCATTTAACTAAGTATACCGCTAAACCGATAAACCTCAAATGAACTGCCCACTGTTGCGTATTTATCACAATATGATGCTGCTGAAAACATCGACCAGGCTTACTGCAGAAATTGCATATCTATACAGAGAAGTTCATGTTCAATCAGCACATATGTGTGTAGTGAAGAGGTGCTTCAAATGTATTCGTTATCGCAGGAAGTATTTGACGTAAAGAGACTGTCTCTACAAGGCTGTCTTCAAGTTTACAGATCCTCCGTTGCATGGGATAACGATGAATTCAGGCTCTCTCGTGGGCGTCAGACTGCCACGTAATTTTGCCCATGTAACTTTAGCTCTGTCCTCTTTTAGTCTACAGATTAAATTGAATAATGGGTGTTTCAATTCATGCAAAAGCAGGACAGAATCGTCCGTCTTACAGGTCAGGTTATTCGAAAGGACAATTCGTAAAATAGAAATGTTTAGTTCGAAATTATTAGCGGGTACGTTCTAAGCCATTCAGGTGCCGTTGCTTGATATGACAGCGACCACGAAGTAGTCGCATACCACTTCATGACAGCGATTTACTTGTCGACAGCTGTTGATCCGAAAACTGAAATCTGACACCTTGAAGGATGCAAACGGTACCCTAGTAAATGCTAATCCGTGAACCGATGCGGTGAAAAAATTCCGAAAATACAGGCCCGAAGGCAAATTACCGATAAATACCTGATTCTTGAGAAGTCGGAGCTTCGTGCAACTGGCAGAGGCGACACAGTGTTTTGACGCTGCGACCTATATTTACATTTAGCACAAACAAGAGATGAGTTGGAAGATTGCTCACAGACAGGATCGCGCGATCGCGCTTCCGTGCTGCCAGCGGTGGAGAATGCAAGCAGCACACGCACTCATGATGGCGCCATCTTGTATTTTTAAATTCTGATGAATTTAAGTTCTAGCTTACTTTACTCACGAAATTATTAGCGCGATTAGTCTTGTGCTGCTTCCCGTGAAGAATTCGGTCGACATGCATACGTGGATGTATTTTTCATATTTTCTTCTACGCGACCGACGTTTTCGTAGCAGCCAAATGCTGCATTGTAAACGTTGTTCCAGAAGAATCTACATTCCAGTAGGCCGGTTCTTCTGTATCTTGAATATGATTGATCCGTTCCCATAGATTCATTTTTCAAATAAGATGAAACGGAACCTCATAGAAATCTTCACGTTTCTGTATTCATCGGCAATGCCCAGCTGTAAAACGTTCGGTAGATTAAGTGCAGCTGCGCTTATGTCCTGTTGGATCTTTGTGGTAGTTGGTAATTATCGCAAAGGCGTCGACGGCGCCGTGTTGTACGATCCGAGTCGACGAAGCCGAAGCTGAATTTCGAAGTAACTTGGTTTCAAAGCCCGATTATTAAGCATCATGGCGAAATTGGTAGACATTTGGCGTGACGATAACCCGGCTACTTTGACACGACGACAATTGCCATTGATCGTCGATGAAAATCTCACAGTAAGTATTATCGAGTATCTGATAGGTTTCTCTGATTTGCTTCTGTGTAAAGAGAGAACTTTCGATCAGAGTTCATTAACGAGATCAGTCTCAAGGGCACTTAACCTAAATCCGAACAGAATTATCGGCATTTACGTTCGCCGGTCGCTGGCACTCTACTATATCCAATTGCAATTATCCTCTAGCATCGCAGAGCACTTGGTCAGTCTTCCCTGTATTCCGTGAAGCTCCTTATATCGTGTGTTCTGATGCATTGTTTTTTAAAATAAAAGTTGGATTGAACCAAATATGTATGTTTGATAAGGAATTATTTATTTGTGTATTGTTTCGATCATCGTTGAAATTTGCTAGTGAAGGCTTTGAATGTCAATTTATCGATGTTTATTTGCAGATGGTTATGGATATTGGAAGTCTTGGTGCGGTGTGCGAGGGCCCATTGGTTCGAGGGAAACAATTAGATGAGTTTTCGAAGAAATTAAGTTTGCTGACAAAAGAGGAAGTGAAGGCATCTTTTGAAGTAACACGAAAGGATACATTGACGATTCTGGATCAAGCTGTACCATGTGTTGGTTGCAGACGAAGGTTTGTCAAGGCAAATAAATGTGAATTACTTTTATTTCACACTTAGATAATGTAATCATTATATTTATATTGTTTAGTGTTGAGAGATTGTTCTACGATCTAAGTAAATCTGGGCACCCAGCATTGGATCCATTAATCGTTACTTCCGAGGGAATGCTAACAGTAAAGGATGACATCTTGGAGTCACCTAGGTTATTGTGTACGATGCTACAGGGTCATAGGTACTTTATACAATAGATATTAGGTCTCAATAAGTTTGGATGGGCGGGTTTGAAAGACGTTATTACTACGATTCGTACTATGAATTTCTAATTAATTGAAAAAGCACTAGATTGAATGGATTGGTCGAGCGACAGCCTCGCAGCAAGAAGTCTCGTAGGTGTGCCCTTCATTCGCTAGAGGTACAACGGACGAAGCCTCTACCAGGTGCCTGGAGAGAAGTTTGGGATCGGATGAAGCCACCTTGCCGGCAAGAACTGACTTTAGTTGAAACAGACACGTTGGACGCTACCTTAGACACGTACCTGAAGAAACACAGGTGATCCCATAAACTCTTTTCCCTTATATCTAACATTTTCAACTTTTTATTAATTTTCTTAACCGAATATTTTCTTTTCCAGATTTTGTGCCGAGTGTCGGACAAAAGTACTTCTGGCGTCGTACCTTTTGACGACGGAACCAGATCCTGCCAAAGAGAGGGGCTACGTGGCTGCCCTCTATACTGGAATTAAGCGTTGTGTACCAGAACGCCACGTTCATCTACCTACCAATACCGATTACATTGGTACTATAATTGGACGAGGGCAACCGGAGCTCGTGGGACGGTAATCAGATGATTCTCCTAGTGTCCTTTAAATAATCCTTAAACATCTATAACCTAAATTTCTTCTACAGGGAGCGACATGCTAAAACTCTGGAGATCGCTCAAGAAGAAGTGCTCACTTGCTTGGGCATCTGTGTGGCAGAACGTCTCCACCGAGTCCACAGACGTCTTCGAGAGGAAGAAACAGTCTGCAAAGTTCTAGCAGCCGTGGCAGTGGAAGCACTATTTAGAAACTTTCAAGTAACCTTTTCATCTTTCTCTTGCCCTTCTCTCCGTTTTTATTGAACGGTACATCTAATAAAAACTCTGACCTTTCCAGATGGCCGTTGAGGTTAAGCAAGGTATTACTCAATTGGAGCTCCTCTGTGTAGAGCTAACAAAGGAGGAAGCAGCGAAAGAGCAGCGCCGAGAGAAGCTACGTATCAAGAGGAAGAAGAAGAAAGAACGCCGATGCGAGGTGGAGGAAAAAGAGAATGAATGCGAGGTAACAAAGTTACTTATTAGGAGGCATTTTTTAGAATCCCTATTTCACTCAATCCTTTACTTCTTCAGTGTTCAATTAAGAGGAATAGCAACGATGACGAGTTGTCCTGCAGTTGTTCCGAGACGAAACCGAAGACACGGAACATCGACCGGCATAAAGTAACCAGCACTATTTTTCAAAGCTACTCGTTTTCTCGTTTTTTTTTCCTTGACTCCTTCATCTTTCATACCTGTTCTCCTTTGTCTAAAATGTCAACTTATAGAAGAGTATTGCATAAATTTTTGGTTTAAAGTTGCAGGTCTTAGATCCAAAAAACAAGGGTCCTCCTATGTGCAAGTGCCCGGATTGCGTGAAGAAGTCGCGAGCTTCCTCGGGCGAATCTCGTCCCGCAACGTTCCCGGCTCCTAGAGAAAGATCTCGAAACGATCTCATTCAAGCTAACCTCCTAACCAAGTCGACTTGCATTTTGAGTCAGTCCGAGACTGCTAATCTGATGTGCAAAGGCCGCTCCGGAGAAAGCGACGAATTCTGCGAGTCATGTAAGGTAATGACCCGACTTCTGTTCTCTTCAGTAGACAGAATTTTCAGTGAAATAGTTTTCAATGCTGAAGTAAGGTTTCCGTTCGCATAATATCGCTGTTGCCAATCGAACGGTCTTACATACACTTTTCGTCAAGCAGGTCTTCTTGGAGAAGAACAAAGACGATGGCCAGTGGTACTTGCGGCAGGAGTACCGGGATATAGCCTCGAAGGAGCTGATGGACGCGTTTATGGGGAGACCCAGCGAGCGATTCCTCGCCTGGGTCGAATCGATGAACAAAACCAGCAAGATCCTTCCCTCGGAGAACGACGAAAGGATCGAATGTTCGTCCAGCGAAAGGTCCTCCCAGGATTGCGGTTACTCGTCCGAGCATAACGCGAGCTGTTCCTCGTTACCGAGCACCCCCGAAGGATCCGAGGTAGCCTGCAGCGAGGATTGTTGCAACCACGATTCCGCGATCATCACCGAAGAGAAACTCCCTCACACCGGGTCGAGAACCTCCTTCTCGAGAGACTTCGGGGGTGGACTCTCTCTTACGCAAATGCTAGAGGTGATTATTCATTTATTAAGTGAATTTATTCATCCTATCGTCACGGAGTTATCATGAACTTTTGCTACTCCTCTTTTCTCGTTTTCCTTCACGATCACTCGAGAATGTTGTCCGAATCTCATTATTCCTCGTTTCGCGTTATTTAGAATTCGTATTCGTCGGAAGACGAGGGCAAGGAGAGCTATATACCCGCGGAGGAGGTGCTGGAATTCAAGTCGAAGATGTGCCAGGTCCTGGAGAAGCGACAGGAGCTGCGCCAGACTCTCAGGAAGCGGTTCGCGATGCTCTGCAGCCATCGCGGCCCACTCGCCGTTCCTCACTAAACTGGGGACTTCCCACGTAGATGGTACAGCTACTCCCTTCTTTTCTTTTTACCGGATTCGATTGTGCCCTTTTCTACGACTCTTCTTTGCGGATTGTCCGCGAATCGCAGTGATTATAGTATAATTTCAGCGAGTCATTTACAGTCTAATCGTGGATTCGCGAGATCGCGAGGTCGTGGAGACCGTTCTGAGCCACTCAATCTGTCGAATAGTCTGCAAATTTCTGGAGAAAAAAAAAAACGAAGAGAACTCGGTGTTAACAAGGAATATATCGTGCTTACTTTTTCGTCCTTTTGGTTGACGTCGAATCGCTAGAACAAGAGCGACTTTTCAGAGACGAAAGATAAGTGAAGGAATTAACGAGTGGTTAAACGAGTAATCATGTAAACGAGAAGTGGAATTGGGGCTAAGACGTTGTTGGAACGTTCGATACGATGATTCGTATTGGCTCAAATGTTGGCACGTGAGTTCTGCGATTTTCTCGGAGTCCTCGACATTTCTCAGAATGGCTTAGTCGAGAAAACGGTGTGCGATTACCGATGTGTCGCCGTTGTAATGATAGTATACCGCGATCGAACGATCGATCAAGATTTAATATAAAAAATAAACGTTGCATTCCAATTTAGTTTTCTTTAACCGTCCATAATTCATGTGGCCTCGTTGACTGGAATACTCGTCTACGAGAAATAGAGAGGTAACACTTCAAGAAGGGAAATGTGTATTATTCCAGGAACTGTGCTAAACACAAGGAAGCATTGGTGCCTCCAAATCCGAAGGCGTTCTTTAGAGCAATCCTCCTAGAAGTTCCTCTCCATTCGCGTTTGACATTCGGTACAAAGTTTAGATTAGTTCCGGAGGGTGCATCCAGCTGGTGGAGGTTAATGGTTGGAGGGAAAATGCCATGGCGTAAGGCCATCACTGTGAAGGCTGCTTCGAGGTTCCCTGAGGCGCCTAGTAGATGTCCATGAGCTCCTTTGGTACTGGAGACGGTAACATTGCTGGCTCGTTCTCCAAAGAGAGCATCGATGGCTTTAAGTTCTACGGTGTCACCAAGCGGTGTCGAGGTAGCATGTGCGTTTACGTAGTTAACCTCACTAGTTGCAAGGCCCGCATCTTTTAGAGCACGATCCATGGCTAGAAGCGCGCCAGTACCCTCGCTGCAGGGTGCCGTCAGATGAACGGCATCTCCAGAGAGTCCGTATCTAGAGAGCAAAGTTTTATACATGTCCACCTATCTAATTTAGTTTAAGTGTCGATAACACTGTTTTGTATACCCTAATACTTCGGCATAAATAGATGCCTTCCTGAACCGGGCATGAGCTAGCTCCTCTAGGACTAGGATAGCACAGCCCTCTCCCATGACAAAGCCATCTCGGGTCTTGTCAAAGGGTCTGGAAGCCTCTTGGGGAAATTCGTTCCTTGATGTGGAGAGAGCCCGAAGTCGGCAAAATGCTGCAATAGCTAGTGGACTGATGCATGCTTCTGTACCACCACATACCATCACCTCTGTTTCACCCCCACGTACCAGCCTGAAACCGTCACCTATGGAACGAAAGTACCACTCCTCCTGTACTTTCTTGACCTTTAGCACAAGAGAGCCTTTTATCTCATTTCAAGAACTAAAAGTTATCTGATATTTCTACCAATGGAGTGCGCGCCCGTTGCACAGGCTGTTGACACTGCGTGGTTGGGGCCCCGGAACCCGTACGCAATGCTAATACGTCCCGCTGCCATGTTCGGTAGAATTCTGGGTACAAAGTAAGGACTAACTTTGCGGTAGCTTTCTTTCATTGCTTCGTGTGTGTTGCAAACATCTGCCAAGTCAATCATCCCGATCCCTACCGCTACTCCTGTGTTGCGTCTGTCCGATTCATCGGTTGGTTTCCACTGAGCATCCGTTAATGCCTCGTCTGTGGCAACTAAAGCATAGGCTGTCGCTGGACACATTGTTCGTAATTCTGCTGGGGTAAAACGTGAATTCAAGTCCAGCTTTTCAGGGGAATCACCTTTGGGCACCAGTGCAGCTAAAATATTTAAATACTTTAGACTATCACCGATAAACTGATTTTAGAATTATGAAAGACTGTTTACCTATTTGACAAGGTAACTTCTTGTATTCTGGATCAGTAAGCTTAACAATGCCGCACTTTCCATCGATGAGAGCTTTCCAAGCATTTTGGGTGCCAACTCCAAGAGGAGAGACAATACCCATTCCTGTAATAACGACCCGGCGTCTTGACCTGGGTTCAATTGCCTCCCTTGAAAACGGTCTCCCGACTCGGGACAATTTTTTCAACATTAGTGCAGTTTGGTCCTGTATATAGTGAAAGAATTGACAAATCAATTCATTCTTATGAAATTGCCGGTATTCAAATGTTTTTAATCACTGTACTACCTTTTATCAAATCTGTGAATTTTATACACCGATTTGTCTAATCTGAGAAGAGTCTGGCAACATTTAATATGCATTTATCTTTTCTGCAGCTGAAATGAAGTTTAATACAGAGAAGCAGAAAATATCCATATTTTAAGTTTTGCAACTATACGGAGCCATTGCCATCTAGCGGTGTTCAACCGATAGTGATCCACACTTTGCATGGACACGCTTTTCATTAAAATATGTCCTTTCAAGATGTATACACTTGTTACACTCGAGTGTAGAAAGTGCAGACAACGCAACAAACCTAATATCTCTATATTTCTATATCTATAGTCAGATCAGCTGTTCGTGTACCTTAACCTCAAATTAACATAGTTTAGGATTTGTTACATTTTACTATCTTATTGCTTCTAGAACCATTTTTGAATCGAGTACTCTTCTAATTCGACGAGAAATGAGCAATGTGGAGCTTCAGGAGGAGGAAAGAGAAGTTCTGCTTTCAATATATGAAGGAGATCCTGCGTTTAAAGAGTTGACACCAACTACATATCAATACAAAGCAAGTTTTACAATATTACACAATTTCATGATTTCGTTTTAAAGTTTCATGCGAAGAAAAGTTTGACAACTTTTGTATGTTAAGTCAATAAGCAAAATTGAATGCTTCTTTCAGTTTGGAGAAGATAATGATATCAAATCATTCCTACTGGAAATCTCGTGGGGTCCTGGATATCCTACCGAGAAACCAACTATCAATATGGACACATTTTACAACAAACACGTGTAAGTAAATCTGTTTACATGCTGTTAATTTTTATCGCAATGGAATACTTTCTTTAAAGGTGAATAATTGGCATGTACAGTGTCCAAGAGGTGAAGGACAAAGTGGTGGAACATGTGGACAACGAAGCAGATCAATGGCTGGGTTGCGCTATGACGTACACACTGTTCCAATCCATCCAGGAGCATCTTACAGATTTACTAACAGCCCAACCTGATACAATAGGAGAACTTAATTCACAAACTAGTAAATTAACTATTACAGAAGATGTTCAACAGGTAATAAAGTAAAAGTGGAATTAATCCAGATTAATAGTAAATGTAATTGAAGTACCTCTAAGATTTATAACATGAATTTTTTATTTAACAGGAATCCACAAAGAAACCGAAGAAGGAACAGTTGAGCAAGGCACAAAAGCGACGACAATGGAACAAAGCAGATGGGAAAGGTGAGAAACCTCGTGGATGGGATTGGGTGGACATTGTGAAACATCTGTCGCAAACTGGTTCCAAACAAGAACAAGAGTCATAGTTTCAAGTTCCTTCTCTTTTTTGTACAGGTTACAATGGTATTATATTTTTATAAATTGTTGGGAATAAATTTATTTCCTTGCCCATATACGTTGCTTCCAATTATTTAATTATTGTAAAAAACTTAATTTTATGTGGGTAAATAAAGCCAAATGTTACGTTATTGATGTACCAACAGGATAAATGTAAATAAAATTGTTCACTAAAAGCCCTCTGCGTATATTCCTTGGATAAAACATCTTTATCTCTAGTTTTCATGTATAATAAATATTTGGGTTTGATTACTACAAAAAATTAAGTACATCACAATAAGCTAAGCCATCTTTTAAAAAAAATTTATTTTTCATGCTGTAGATGAACAATTATTCACAAACATATTTATAAAAATGCATTGATATTCCAATTACCAACATTGATAAACAAGAATTACAAAGTATTTGTATATTTGTTTAAATCATCAGGTAATTTTAAAAATCGTTTGGTACTGTTATTCCAAGAAAATTTTCATTTAAAGCTTACTTATTACAATGTAATGCTTCACCTTGTTCACCCCATGATCCTTTCCATGGTCCTATTGGTAGTAAATTTGTTTTTGTCATCCAATCTACAAGGAAAAATCCATTAGTCTAGGTTACATTTCCATGATTTGTTTAACTTACTGCTGTTCTCCAGTGCATTCATAAATGTAATAAATTCTCTGAAAACGACTTCATCCGCTGCAAGAATACTTTCAATGACAATCTTTTCACTATTACCATTGCACAAAGAGCGATACTTTCTTGATACAAGATACGTTCGTATTAAAGGAAATGACGATACATGAGACCATGTTCTTGTGAAGATAGGCTGCAAAAAATCATTGATAAGAAAATTTCCAATTCAAATAATAACATAGGTACATGATATTTAATGTAATTTAAAATAACTTACAATTCTCCATCGTAATGCCATACAAACTAAAAGTCCACAAATGCATGAGTGAAAATATGCTCGCAATACATCTCTAGATTCTGCGCATTTTGTGAAGGATACAAAAATAGTTTTTCTCTTTATATCCACTGCAATCAAATATTTTCGCTTCTGGAAAAGATTTGTAATCATTTCCAAATCATCAAGCATTATAGCATTTTTCTGTACCATGCTCTTGAGTGAAACACCCATTTTAATTGTAAATCCACATAATTTTTTTGCTGAAGGAAAAATAACGAGTTCACATATATTGAAAAACAATGCTAATTTGGATGTACTGGAATAAAAATGTAAAAATCAAAGAATTACATACATGGGTTTTGAAATAGGAACACGGATTCACGTTTGTTTACATGTTCAGGACCTGGAATGTTTTTCTCTGTAAGATATTCCTGAACAATAATTGCCAAGCGATCCTCGTTGACGGAATTTAATCTCAAAGCCTTCACGGCGGAATAATTGGCATATAAATGTACTGCTACCAGAAGTACATATAATTCCATTATGTATCTATACGTGGAGTATGTTTATCTCATGTATTTCTAATTTTTGTTTATAAAACGATGCTCAAATTAATTGTTAATGCAAAGAAATTCTAATTTACTACTTAATATATTTATTACACTCACCGTCCGTCATGCAATAGGGACAAGATTAATATTCCTAGAAACGATGCTATTAAATTCACAAATGTTTCTTGACTTCCATCCTTAGCAGACACATCAGCCAAATTATTCCGTAAAGCTTGATGCTGTGTTAAGGCTGCCCGTGTTGCTCCGCCTGCAACTCCGACAACAGATTTCATTGCTGTTGAGGTACACAAAATTAGAGTTGAGTATGTTGAAAAATATGGTATAATTAGTTCTATTCCCATTGCAAAATCATTGAGAATATCTGCGAACAACCTCCATTTTTTGCAGTGTGCATCCAAGTCAGTTCTAAAATATATAAAAATACATTAGTTTCATTCATTTCATACTTTTAATACTACATTTAGTAACAGTTTAATGCTCATACCCATTCCACCAGGCAAATAATATGCGCCCTATCATTCCAGTACCATCCTTTAAAATCCAAGTAATAGCTGCAGCTAATGGTGATGCCGTGGACTCACCAACGCCAACTCCTCTCATGATCGAATGAGTGGTCAATGTTCCCATAATAGTACTTGCAAATGCCTTAAAATCAAATCAGACTTAGTACAGAGATATCCAGCAAAACTAATATATAAAAATGAACATAAATTTAAACATTGAAGGACATTGAAAGTATCGCTCCTGTTACAAAATTCTTATACACCTGAACGGTATCCCAAATCTGGTAAGGTACATAGTCAGGATGTACACTGTCTGGAAATCCTTGGGGTAAAAATACTTCCTTAATGAACGTCAGGATGAAAGAGGGCAACTTCTTGGAGCTCCTTTCGTCATCTTTTGCGCGTGATACAATAAGCTTGCCTATTTGTCAAATTGTGGTAGTTAAATATACCGGTTTCATTTGAGGATATGGATTCACGTAAAAAATAGTAGATATAGTGATATCGTTCTACCTTTGGTCTTCGCGAATATAAATTTCTTCTCGTTGTCATCTGTTTCACAATACAAGACTTCCTCGCTCATTGTTACAACAAAACACAATTTGTTATGATAATGTCACTACAGATCATTACAGAACAGTTACAGAATCAGGACTTGGGAACGCTTGAGAAATAGCGCGAGTTTTAGCGCTCCAAGCGGTATGTATCAGCAGGTATCAGAAAGTAGATGTAGATTTGATACGTTTTCTACTGGTTTTCTACGGTAAACTACTTGATTTACGTAAAATACGTCAAACAGCTCGAAAATCGTGAAATTACCCAACCCTGCTGGTTACTGATTCGTTAGTTCATTTTATATGATAGCGCTGTGATCATGACAGTCTTATGAACTTTGCTAGCAACAGTCTCATATCTTTATAGTCAATGGTCTGGGTCGTCGATACGGCCAATGTAAAGGAACAAAGTATGGTACTGGGCCTTCGGTAGAGGCTGAAATCCAAAAAGATACAATACAATACAAAGGGACAGTCACATTTCCTGACTCTGAATTTCCATGGATCCTTGTTAAAAGAAACTGAGTGAATTTACTGTTTTGATTCAGGTAGAATATAAAACATAATATGACATTACATATCATTGCTTGAATAACTTTCGCTGAAAGTTAAAATGTTGATAAATTCTAACCTTTAATAGAAATATTTATGTATACAAACATGTAGTGGTTTAAATTGTTAAATTTCAAGAGGAAAGGAACACGTATTTTCCAGACTTTTACAATGGCGAGTACCTCGAGCGATCAAAGCAATATCGCTCAAAAGACATGGGAGATGTCCAATAATATCAGTACCGTTGATGAGATTTATCGTTACGATAGGAAAGAGCAGCAGGACATATTGGCTGCTAAACCATGGGAAAAGGAGTACGTTGATTCTCAGTTTCATGTTATCCCATGGATGTTTAACAAATTTGTAATGTTATTGGATATATAAGAAATTCTTTTTGTTAATTAGCCCACACTTTTTCAAAGACATAAAAATCTCAGCACTAGCCCTGCTGAAAATGGTTATGCATGCTCGTAGCGGTGGAACATTAGAAGTAATGGGATTGTTACTTGGTAAAGTAGCTGCAAACACAATGATCGTAATGGATTCATTTGCACTGCCGGTTGAAGGTACAGAAACTAGGGTTAATGCTCAGGCCCAAGCATACGAGTACATGACTGCTTATATAGAAGCTGCCAAACAGGTGCGGATAATTATAAATTATAAATTGTAGGAATTACCGTAGATTACAGTTGGTATTTTTTTTTCATTTTATATCTAGGTTGGAAGGCAAGAAAATGCGATAGGTTGGTATCACAGTCATCCAGGGTATGGATGTTGGTTATCTGGTATTGATGTTTCCACTCAAATGCTTAATCAGAATTTCCAAGAACCATTTGTAGCAATTGTTATCGATCCTGTAAGAACTATTTCCGCTGGCAAAGTGTGTCTTGGTGCATTTCGAACTTATCCAAAGGTAATTTGCTAGAGTTAAAGAAAAAAAGGTGTTATTCATTAATCTGAAACTTGATAGTAACATTAATGAACTTATAGTAATATTAGTATTTTTTAATTTGCAATAAATAAAATATTTCTTTATTAGGGATACAAACCAGCAAATGAAGAACCTTCAGAATACCAGACTATACCTCTTAATAAAATTGAAGATTTTGGTGTTCATTGCAAGCAATATTATTCTTTGGAGGTTTCATATTTCAAGTCATCACTTGACCGTAAATTATTGGACTCCTTGTGGAATAAATATTGGGTGAATACGCTCAGTTCTTCGAGTCTTCTAACTAATGCCGACTACACAACTGGGCAGATATTCGACTTATCGGACAAATTGGAACAATCGGAAGCTACATTACGAACAGGAGCTTTTCTTTTAGGAGGGACAGATCCTCGTGACCGTCGCGCTGAAGATAAATTAGGAAAAGCTACTCGAGACAGCTGCAAAACTACCATTGAAGTTATTCATGGCTTAATGGCGCAAATCATTAAAGATAGATTGTTCAATCAGGTTGGAGCTGGAATGAATGATTCTTAATAATAATAAATAATATAAGACTTCTATACCAATTGCATCAAGAAGGAATTATCTTCCCTTCACGTTAGCATCCTTGATCATTAATTTGCAAGAGAAGAAAGTTATGATTTGAGCATTTGAAAAGGATTTTCATCTCTGGAAGTAGACACCATAACATCTATATTGCATCAATTATCTGAGGCAAGTCGGTATAATCAGTGTCATGGAATAAAAATACATTTTATTTTCACACCTTGATTCACTAAAAAGTATATACAGCATTTTTATCGGTACTCATTATCTCTTCATAATTGTTTTATATATATATATATTTATATAATTATATTTATAAAACTAGTGTAATTAAGAACAAGTAGGCAGGCCTCGAGCCCTCATTGAAGGGCTGACACTGCACGTCGTAGACTTTGAGGACAAAGGCCACACACCGATACGCACGCACCAGCTTTACGATTCGATATACTCTCAAGCATTCATATTATACAACATATAAAGGACGGAGATAAAATACATTCGATCATATTGATAAAGTCATAAGGTGTGTTTCTATCGTAAGAACCACCAAAATTATAGTGAAGCCACTTTGCACGACATACCTCCTGCCTTGTTAAAGAAACTATAAAGCCTAAACCCTGTGTCGACAGTACAAGTTCGTTAAATGAATTTCAATAAAGTATAAAGTATCAGTATTGTTATTCAACTTTATCATCATAACACCTAGATTATACATCAGCAACATAACAAATGATTTAATACTTCTTCCAATACTTTAATCTCTATGTGGAGTTATGATATATTCAATTGAAATGTATTTTACATTAATTGCACTGTAAGCACAGGGCTTGAATTCGCAATAAAATAAGCAAATAGAAACTCATTAGAATCCTTGTCCTTTGAGGTACTAAAATTTGCAGAATTGTAATAAAAAGTGTGTACATTTCAATGCGAAACGTTAAGTTTGCAACTCGTAAGACCAAACGAACCAAGTGGAGTGCTGCAGTCAAAGAGTCATTATTAAGTACATCGACGTGAATTCGGAAATTGCATTTTATTAATTCATGCAAACACCCGTATAATTTATTCAGCCAATATGGACTCCGTTAATCGCGACGAGGACACTAAACATTATTGCATCGTTTATCTACCTAACTTCTGAACATTTCTGTTTAACAGGGTCCACAGTAGCTGTAAATTTTATATCGCAACCATTCCTCTCTACTTCTACACCTGTTACCTGTGAAACGTTTAAAAAATGCAACAAACCTTCGACGCTACGTAATTAAAATATGTACATGATTCCGTCACGTTCTGCCATGAAATACCTTTTAGATCTAGTTTGCACGAGGAGCGAAAAATGTTAACATTGGATAATAACCGAGAGGTTATGTTACGCGTTTTTCAATGCCAGACTTCGTTTGGAGCTTCATTATGAATCGCGTAAAAGGCTTGCACAAAATAGTTCACCCAAATCTCTTCTTCAATGATACAATAACATTTAAAGCAAAGAAATATCGGTGACCTGCTCCAAGCAAAGAAGAATTTACAATTGTTGAGATTTTAGAAACGGTGGAAAAGTCTTCGATATTTTTAAAAAAGGAACTTTTATAACTTCTTTTGTAAACCTTAATAGTAAAAAATTTGGTGCAAAGGGATCTTCGAAAAATTCATTCATTCAAATTCTTAATGGGTCCCATTACTTATTATTGACATTTATTACGTCCAACAATTCTAAACCCGTCCTTGCGTGAGCTGAATAAAATTCAAGTACACTATTATGAAACAATACCGCAACCTCCGCAAAAGTTAGAATGAAAACTAGACTAGACTCGTCATGTTATCAACAATCAACTCCTGCAAATCTCAACACTCACTCTTGTGGAATTTCAAGTATATCTTCATAACAGCATACCGTCTTTCAGACGAAATTAAAAACAACCTTAATTATCTGTTTTGTATATTTATCAAAATGTAAGGATAAGCAGCGCTCAGCCCTTCAATGTTGTTATACCAGAATTGGCATTACTGAAAAAATGTAGAAACCCTCCTCTACGCATCAAATCTTTGTCCTTACTCAAGTTGAACTTAATTTCCAGGGCTGCAAATCACCAGTCACTTTAGAAACAATTGTTCATTCCCAAACCTATCACTTATATTAATTTGCGGTGCACTTTGGTTATTTCCAACGTGTAAGAAATATCTATCCAAAATCAAGTTGTAATCGAGTACTGCGAGAAGAAGTGAGCTTTGCAGATTTATCGCACTACACAATTAGTTATCAACAATTACCGTAGACTACCATTTACGTTTTTTACTTCCGATTATCGCGGAACGATAAACCGTCAACAAACCTTCTACGCGGATAAAAAAAAAAAAACATGCGACAAGTTAACAAACGCACGGATGGCTTTAAAAACATTCAATATACGACCATTGTTAGAATAATTTCAGGATAACTTCAAAGCAATAGGCGATTTGCAAGCCCGTTAATTTGACGGACGTAAAAAATAAGTATTACCGTAACAACGTCGACCGGGAGGATTATCGCTTGTGTACACCTATTACACGAATTTCCCGATTCGTTTCGCTTCCCCAATTATTAAAGCGCGATCTCTCGCGCGACGCTAACTATCTAATATGTACAAATTAATCGTGTCTCCTCCCTCTCCGCCGTCCGGTTAATTACAAGCAATGGTAGAAAAGGAAAATGCGTCTATTAAGCGAGCAAGACGCCCCTTTGACGTGAGCTCGCTCCAATTTCCTCCGAAAATTGAGTTCCACCGTCATCGCCCTTTGACAAACTGTTTTCGCCATTGCTACAAAAAGCCGTACCGTCTTGATTCTTATACATAAACTTCCGAGTTAAGCGACAGTGGGGGGGGGGGATTTAATTTCAAGTATCATTCGTCGTCGGAGATGTACATTGAGAGACAGGCGCACGGGCCCAGTAGAATCCTTATATACAAAAATATATGTGATATATCTGAGCTCCTCGAGCGTTCCACTTGCTCTTGCGCCTCTCAAGTAAAAAACTGTAACGATAGCGAATGAGAACAAAATCGACAATACCCGAAGGTTACCACGCTGTCCAAGGTACCCGTCTCAATTACCGTAAACCTTCATGCATAACGTGACGATAAAGAAACGTCCAGTTAAAGGTAGATAAAGCGAATGACTTACTTCATTTTCCAATTTTTCTCTGAGCCTTATTACACGGTTTTTCAATACAGCGAAAATTGACAGGGGGTAGTTGAGAGAGGTACTACAGATCTGTAAGCATCGATGAGCAATTGTAACCGTAGATCAAAGGAATAATTCCGGTTCCGATCAGAGATTGCAGTCTGGCACGTTGGATCGGGCAGTCTATTGTGAAGCCTACTGTTTCGTTAGCAATAGAAATGTCATCGACGACTCGTATCCGTGGTTACGAACTTGTAAAAAATATCAGTCTGTCAAAAATAGTGAAATTTCGCAGATCATTCCCGTCGTGGGGTTTGTGAACGAATCAATACGGTATGTGTCAATGACGTCGCATCGTTACCACCTTCGACTCGTAACCGTGTTTAGTTTTTATAATACATACAGGGCGATTCGTGGCTGTGCGAGCAGGTGAAAGTCTTTGAAGCACCTCTCGTGTTTCTTGTTCTCGAGGATGGTAGCTGACGCTAAGTCAGCCTGTAAGCTCTTATCGAACGAGCTTAACGGGACGTTTCTTCGCTTCGATCGACGAAAGTCGATGATTGTGGATGTGAGATTGGGCCTCGGTCTGACTCAGGCTCGATTAATTATTAGGCAGGCGTATGTACAGTTGGTTTCTGTATTGTGTGTTGTCACTGCGACATCAAAGAGGGGAAGTAGTTCACCTCCGTTTGCTCCAATATTGGTCCTGACGTCCCGTTGTATGAAATGCGTAATCGCATTCTCAGGGTCGCCTGGGGGGGAAAAAGAGAGCAGGGATGTTTTTAACAGTCTAATGACAAAGTGGCCTACAATCGTGAATTGACATTCATTCTGGTCAATCCTACCTTGTTGACATTTGTCACTTTCAGTACTTGCGTCACTTGACCCGCTGGTGGAATCACCGTACCCGAGGGCGACAACATCTGCAACTGGAACGTCTGCAACAAGGACAATCACTTGTCTAATTAACAAAATGGTGGGATAGATGAACTCGAGGAAATGCCTCCGAATTTTTCAAAGGCTCATTAAATAATACTCTTGTTCTGTAATATGCGCATGATGTGCGGTTTTTTATAACGTTTAGCGAAGCTCGAGGTCGTATATCTTACCTTAGGAACTGCAGCTTGGAAGAGAAAGTCGGTTAACTGCGTAGGATTGGAATTTTGAGCACTCATGTTGATTACTAGTAGATCGGGGTTTTCCGACGCTCGTTCTAGCTTGAACGTTATCTTGAGTCCCAATTTGTCAAATACGACCAAACTAGGTGCTTCTGTAACCCAATATATCGGAGGTAAATCATCAAATATTTGGTAGAATAGTATAATAGCCATGTTGTAGTCGAGATTCGTACGAGTAAGAAATGCAAAAGTCAGACGAAAAATCTAGAACTAACCATTCTGGGTCGTCGTAGAGGTCAACAGTCCGTCGACCAAATAATTCGAGGTGTTCGTCGGACTGAATATTTGCGTGGTTGGTTGTATTTGTGGCAACGACGGGGCCGACGTTGGAGAGGATAAATCGAGGCCACCCAATAAATCCAGAAGGTCGTTATTGCTGACCGTAGGAGATGTAACTTGCGCGTTCACGGAAACTGGGCTCGTCACCGGCGCCAGGTCCGTGGATCCAAGTAAATCCAGGAGCGCACTCTGCAATTCGTAAAGCAACCAGACACGTAGCTAAAGTTCCTTTCCTTTTCCCCTGAAATCCTTGGAAGTTATAAATTAAATGGTTCGTTACCGAATCCGTAGAAACGGGTGCTGGCACTTGTTCAAGAACCGGCGACTTGTCTTCCTCGAGTTCCGGTTCCCCGTTGACTAATCCAATAATGCCATTCGCTTGCGGTCTTGCCGTCTCCATCGGTGGCATTCGCTCCAACAACGCTGGCCTGAGGTTCTCGTACTTTCGGAACAACTGCGAAAATTCTATGCCACGTTGTTGTAATTCTATGTGGAGGTTGCTGCCAAACGTGTCTATGATCTGCCGAATTTTCCTGTAAAATTGAGTCTCCGTACTGCAACATGTTACTTTCAAGGTCACAACAAGAACACAACATATAAAACAGGCATGTTACGCACAATACTACGGACTTGTCTACTAAATGGACATCCCCTCTAATTTCAAAGCCACGCTACTAGCTGCAACAAACGTCAACTTACTCGTTTCCTTTCTGAAACCGCGTGCTGAGCTTCATGAGTGACAGCAAGGTATACTGCTTGGTGACTACCGTGTTCTGTGGGTTCCACAATAACCTCTGATACACGTCGATCACTTCATCCTCGGTCAACTGTGGGACGCAATCGCTCGTTAATTACTTTAAACATCATTTTTCTTACAAATTGTACAAAGCCGAAAAATAAATGGCGAAGTCCTACGTTAACTGGCGCGTCGACATCCTCCACGGGAGGACCGTAAAGCAGCAAATCCCCATATTCTCCGATACACCATGTTGCAACTTGAGCCAGGGGCTGCTTATCGGAGGTGTCTCTTTCGAGTGCACGCCATAATGCACCCACGGCGTAACCCTGTTGCGCCTGAGTTTCTGATATTAGTTGGATGGTGCATGCCACTACGTCGTCCCGTACATAGTTACCAGCCTTCAGGGAATTTCAAGTATTAAGAAAAAAACGTCTTGAGCGATACCTTTACTATGATTATAAAAAATAAGAAATGAACAAGCTACTCACAGCCACCAGAACTTTGAACAGGGTTTCAAGGTGCCAGCGTTTATTCGGCGCAAAACGTTCAGCAGACATCACTATGTTGCTGCTACACTGCGCCTTAAACTCCGGATCCGCTCGCTCTAGAAACAGCAGCAATTCCTTCATCATGGTCCTGATGTTGCTTGTATTAACGAGGGCGAAACTGAGCTCCATCGCTCGTCTTCGTATCGACACATCCGGATCTTTTAAGCATTCCTAATGAAAACGGAAATGTTATTACACCTCTAACATGTGGTTTCATTTTAATGTGCAAATAGATGATTTTAAGTTCATTCGAAGGGATTACAAAGCTTAAAGAGTTAGAATTGTCAAGGAAAGAAGGAGAAACGGAACTACTTGTTCTAAGAATTACCAAAATCGTAGAACGATGCCTCTGCACGGCAGTAGTATCCACGTAAACTGTTTTCAGGAGCGTGTTGAGGGCGACGTAACGAATGTTCTTGTCGTTGTTGAGCAGGAATCTGCCCAGGATATTCACAGCCAGGACTCTCAAGCCACTCTCCGACTTTATGTCCATAATAGAAAGTACCGTCTCGTACAAAATAGTGTTCCCAACATTTTTACTCGTCTCCGTGTTGGTGGCGACCTGTGCCAGGATGTCGTTCATTGCCTCCGAAGCATCCACGTCGTTGCGCCCCAAAATCCGCAAGAGACGCAAGATCTTCACCTGCAGGAAAGGGTCCGACACACCTGATACGTCGTGTTCAGGTGAATATCCGGCGAGAATCAGGTTCTTCAGGATTCTCACGAGATTCGGCACGATCTGGAAAACATAAAAAATTCAATTATTCAACTTTTTAATGACATATCGATTTTAATTTGACCCAAGGAAGGCTTGCATCCGCAGAGCGTGGAAAATGTGCGGCGAGAGAAGAATGCACTTGCGGACAAAGAGAAGTTCACTGTCACTTGCATGTCCAATCAATCAAAAGCGAAGCACTGACGATAGGCACGGAATTGTGTAAGAGGTGCGATTCGACGTAATGCGATGAGGTACTCCACAACGACAATAGTTTGCGAAACATGAACAGTGATAACAGACAAGGCCACTGTTACCCAGACGAAGCGAATAACTAAATTGGTAAATAGAATAGTAGTGCCCAGATGGTGTTGCAGCATTCATCGCCAGGTTTAGGCATCCTATGTCTCTTCTTTTATTACTATTTAGTTTACATCTTAACGGCAACAATTATATAATATCTTGATATACGTATATCTCGATATCATTTACAGCAGATTAGTGGTTATATGCAAGAGTCCCAGAAGAACCACACGCTTAGCAGGTCAGCCCTATACGAATGCACTCAAGTGTCGGTACAACGAAGCTGAACATGCATTAACACGGTGAACGTTAAGTGAATTACCTCTCGGTGGCCGCATTCCTAAAGGGGACAAAATCACACTTATAATACGGGCCTTCGAAATCGTTCGAGTGAATGTTAAATTAGATTATTAAGCACTTTCGATGCGAGCTAAGAGCACGTTCGAAATCACGCAGTATCAGCGTAGTTTAGTTCACCACCTTCCAATGGTTTAACGCGAGTTACACTTGAAGAGATATTCATTAATAATGCATGAAACGGCGTCTGGCGAATGTTAATTGTAATTTGGTTTCGGTTAATATTCTATGCTAGAGTACTGTTTGTAAATTCTATGGACATACAAAGGTGCAGAGATAATATTAATAGAACACAGCCTACCTTTTTGAAATGATTGAGAGTGTCGACACTGTTTTCACACATTTCTGTAATAAGTGTGACGCCGGTTATCAGAACTCCGTGGTTCTTTTCGGTTAGGAGGCTGCGGGTTGCAGGCAGAAACATCTCCATCAGTTCGGGAACACGTCTGATGATTCTAAATGCGCAAAGGGCCGCCTTCTTCCTGATATACGCATTCGGCGATTTCATTAATCTTTCCACCTCAGAGGCCAGATCTCTGGCCATTTCTGGTGAGGCTATCGCCCCCAGAGTACACAAAGCCAAGCCAATTACGAATTGCGTCGAGCTGTTTAAATCACTGCAATGTCAAAAATAAAAAACAGAAAACGTTAATACACTAGTTAAAAGGTTACAAAATCTTTGAGCAAATTTGCATCTTACTTTTTTAGACAATTTGTGATTAAGAGGTGAACGTCCTGTCGTTCATCCAGCAACAACATCGCTCCCAAATATCCAATACGTTTGTCTGTGAACCTTGGTGAGGCGATAAGCTTCAAACATTCTAGCTGTCCAAAGTGTGCTGGATACCTGTAAAGCAGACATTATGTTTAATAAATATAATGCTATCACGTTAAACGAACAGTCTGTAATTACGTGTGCTATTATGCGAAGATAATGCCGTTTCTACGTCTTAGGGATAAAAAATATAAAGAAATTGTGCTTATGTCCAGGAATTATGGCCCTGATGGTCTTATGTCCAATAACACCAGATATTGACCTGGTTTCTATTGACGTATACTTTCATGTTTGTGTAATTATTTGTCCATAACTTACCCCAGCATGTGTATGTAGAGCAATTTTGCAATGTTACGACATCTCCATACACTGTCTTCTTCCCTGAAGGTCGATCTGATGTACGCACACTCCTTGTTGACTACGGTACGTTCTTCCGCAGCTGTTCGTGCTGCCCTGATTTGCCTGATCAAGTCTCGAAGTCGTGTTGGAGCTGGCATTCTCACTGTCGAGACTTTCAAATTACCAATATGTTATCAGTGCATTGTGTTAGCTGGATGGCGGTGCGTTAAAGCATTAAGCTATTAAAGGCCCCTATGCCTGAAGAAAATTTCGACGTCAAAGAGAGCTGCTAGTGAGACTCAACTACAAAGAATGAAACTGAACAGAAAAAAAATATCCCTCTTTGGCTTGATCTTGCCTGCAGGATATATAATTATACATTTTTATTAAATACGAATGAAACAATTAATATCTTTTATTTTATTCTTGCCGGCGAATGTCCAAATATTCCATGTTATTCAATCCGGTATGTTAATTTTAAAGATGCAAGGATTCAAATTTGTTTTAATTATTTACTTGGCCCATTCATGTGAATTTTGATCGTTTGAATTGAGCATTAATGCAGAAGCAGATGCTTCGTAGATAGGACAGTGATGTGCCAGGTACTATGTTATAGATAAGCTTGCGTTGGAGGGTACCCACCTCTTTCCACAGCTTCGTTGAAAGCCTGCTTTATGGAGGCCATGTTAAAGGCTGGGTTAAACCTGAAAAAGTACACACCCATGCTGCTTTATGCACACCATAGCCTTTGACTAATAACACGCAATTCTTCTAATCATGCAATGACACTTTTACTATCCGACTATGATACAGTCAGTACATATAACTTCTTTGATATTAACATATGTGACCACAAATGAAACTACTTAAACTCGTCGAAACTATACCTACGAGAGCAATTTCAGAAAAAAATGTACAAAAGTATAACAGTAACAGACAGCATTGGCTTGTATTTTTAATTTAATGATTAAATAATTATTAATTACAATTGTACATTATAATCATACTGGCATTTACTAAATACAATGAATGAAATGCTCGATTTAAATAATAAATGCCATTATAGTTATAAGATACAAATGTTAATCATTATTATTTGAGATTTAAATTACAAATCCATGAAATGCTCCACACTTCTGATACAAAATAAGGAATGATTATGAATACAAACAGCAAAGAAACTTCAAAGATGATTTAATGTCCGTAGCACACGTTGTCATAACCCTGCTCTTTTTACGTACAATCTTTTAGGATAAGAAAAAATATGAAATATTTGTAAAAAAAAATAATTTAATTAGAAGACATTACCCATGTTCTGAGGCATTCATGGTTTCTCAATGCAGTTTCAGACTATGCGGGGATGGCTTCGCTAACAAAAATTAAACAGTTGAATCGAGGGAGTGGTTAGCGAACTCTGCACGCTTTACTCCGGCGCGGTGCTCTCGTCCTGTCAGGCATAGCATACAAATAGTTATAATTTAAGGTAATGCGAGATAGTTTTATATTAGATGTGCAATTTGGTAATTAACAGAGTTACAAACAGTCAAACACGTCACGAATGGATAATAAATGTGACACGAAATACTAGAAAATTTGCTATTGGAGAAATTCATAGCCATGGTCTTGTAATTTTTGGATTTCTGTTACTTAATAAATCAGGGTGTAGATTTCTTTGAATAGAATAAATTCTTGTCATTGATCTACACGCGTTGAAGAACTATATCTGCTACAATCCTTAAAGTACTAGCAATATCAAACTAAACGATCGCCGAACAAAATGTAAGATTAACCTACTTCGGAGCGACTTCTGCTAGATAAACATTTGGAGACTAAAATACAATTTTGAAGTAGAGTCCACACAAGTACCATTTATGTTAAGGGTTAATTTGAATCTGTTAAAACCTGTATAAGGTATGTCCTGTCAGGATCCGATTAACCTCCTAAGATATATTTAAACGTTCCACACGACAAATCCCTGGACTTGGCATTGATGTTTTGAAGAATTGCCACCACTGTTATCTCATTAGCAAACTCGATATTTGGGGCCAGGAAAAACGTTACTCCTGAAGAACATACAAGACTGAGTTATTAGAAAGAAATTTTTTGCAGGCACAGCTGCGAAGCTAACGATACAACAAACCTGTAGAGCCCGAAGTCCTGACAACATATTGCAGCGGGAAACCCGAACTGTCTAGCAAGTTACATAAAGATCATCCAGGTGAGTATCGTCTTCACCGAGGGTTAGTCCGAATCTGTCAAAAGTTAGCAACAGCGAGGTGTCCCTGTCAGTGAGTGATTAACCTCTCAGTGTGTCGTTCGGCTTGGTGCAAGCATCGGGCCAGTGGCAATCGGTTGCGTGTCGCCAGTCTCGGTCGTGTCACCCACCTTTGCTTACAGGTCGCGTGACAAATACGGCAGAAATGCCTCTACGGTTTCTCGCCTCCCGGAGAGCGAGAGAGAGGGAGAGAGAGAGAAACCTAAGAGCGGCGAGGAAACGGAAAGAGAGGGAGCGAGCGGAGCGCCCTCCCACACTCGGGCACGATGCCGCACCTGATATGAGAACGAAACGCTACTCGACCTTCCCAAGCGGTTTTCATTCCTCCAGTCGATACCTACGCTTTTTGCGATGCTCCCGGAAGGAATCAGTCAATCTCCGGGAAATACTCGGGCATTATTGGCACCCCAGAGACCGATTTAATACGAGCGAGAAACACTTCACTCCGGGCGCCGTTGCTGCGCGTTGCGAACCAAGATGGCGGCCGATACTTCATCGACTCGCAGTCTCGCGATTTTTCACCATTATGCGAGGAAATGAGTCCTCGTTCTTGTCACTTTACGCAGTTAATCGTTCCTAAAGGGTAGATTAATTCCCAGGTGTGGGAGGAAATGCAATTTAAGGAAGCGGAATTATTTCCAATTGAACGGCTCGCAAGAAGAGCACGAGTATTTGTTTTGGTTCGCGTAGTAGCGCGTAGTTGAATGGCGCAAACCGGGGAGAATTTAAAATACGTAAAGCTGCGTAAAAGTGGAACGGATATAAAGTCGCAAAATATATGTCCATTGAATGGCTTATAATAAATTTAAATAACTTGTACGAACTATTAATAAGTGCTTCTCTTTGAAAATGACGTATGAATTACTTATAAGATATTTCGTTCGGCTGAATTTGCTCAAATATTAAAGGAAAGGAAAAAATTACCCATTTCTATTAACTGTACATATCATCAAAGTTTATTGTGCATATGTACCAGCCATCGCGAGAGTTTTGAGTAAAGAAATCTGTCTTGACGAGCAAGTGAGCAAATATTTGTACAAATGTAGATAAACCTTGATGGTAACAGGAATGATATTTGTGGGATACGAAGCGAGATTATATACGATAGTACAAGTGTCATTGCCTTAGCGAATTCCTCGTTACAGTTAAATTCTAATTATAAGCATAGAAAGCGCGAACAATTAATTTAATACGCAGAGATAAAAGAAAGCGTTACACTCTAATACACTTATACTCGCATTTAAGAACGAGTAAATGCTGCTATAAGTGTACTTTACTAATTAAGACGAATTCCATTCCATTAATATTAACAAAGTCATAGTCATGGAGAGATATTTCTCAGAATGCTTGCACAAGTAGTTTTATCTGATCTGATATTATTAGATCTGAATCGCTTATGCTTTTTATCTTGATCTTACTCTATTTTACTAAGTTTATATGGACTTTCAAAATTGTTATTAAAGTTTTACAAAAGGTCATGGAATTCTTTAACTGCTGATTAAGATCATTACAAGGTACGTGTTCGACGCAAAACGGCTACGAAAGAATCCATTTCTGCGCGGATTGGACTTACCTCGTGTCGTTAGGCATTCCGATATACAAAAAGCAATTACCTTCTGTTAAGTTCTGGAGGTAGCACGCTCCAATCTTCGGTCTCGTAGTACGGCCACATGTCGTAATAAAACCGACAAATAATGGTACAATCCAATGGTAATGTTCAAATTACAGGCTGTATATCAAACGCCACGAAGCTGTGACATAGGGTACAGTTTTTATCACTAACCCAATGGAGAGACCGAGGTACCAAGGTGTTGGCTTTATCTCTTATCAATGTTGGTACTTAGTTATCAGTAGCTAGCCACCACCACCAATCTCCTTCAAGCACCAATCAACGCTTTCAATAGCTCTCTGGTCTTTGAAAATAAAGATTATAACATACAATGCCACCTTTGTCATTCTTAAAGAATTGTATCAATTCGTTATCTGAAAATTCATTCGTATTCGGCATATTAATTTATGAGTAACATGCATTTATGTTGAAAATGGAGTGATTTTACTTAACGTTGGATCTGGAAATATACAATCAGCAGAGGCGAAGCTGTTAAAAAATAGAAATTATTTTTATTCGTATAAATAGCTATTATAGAAATATACATAATATTGTATGTTATCGTTAAGGTGATCGGGTCATGGGAATGTAAATATTAAGTTAAGCAGCTGTCATCTTGGCTACGTGGCGGCCGTACATCACTGTTTCTTTTGATGCAATCCACTAGCCAATGGATTCCTTCGTCCACGCCATCTCTAAATATGAAATATGACAGTTTCAAAACGTAATAAGAATGTGATTTTGGTAAAGTTTGAAGGGTTACTAACATTTTTAGAATTTTGTTTTTCTTAATTTTGATACATTTAGTAATTTTATGTGAACTGTGACGTACCCGTTTAGAGCGGATACAGGCATCACCATGCAGTCTCTTCTTCCAATCAAATGGGCATTTTGATTAAATATAGGTTTAACTTCTCTGACTCCCATACAATCTGGAACATCCTGTTTATTTGCCAAAACTAGTAAAGGTACACCTATTAGGTGCTCAGAGGATATCACTCGATCTGCAATATACATTAAATATAACATTTTTCACAAAAGAAATATAGTTTGTTAAATAAAACTTCTTTTGTTGTGGTTAATTTTTAAATATGAAATATCATTATTAAATACATATAGCATTCAACATTTCTTACCAAATGTCTCTTTGGAATCAGGTATTCTGTCACGATCCGAAGAATCCACAATGTATATAACTGCATGTGATTCGGCATAGTACTAAATCAAAAAATGAATCTAAGTAGATGACGATAACGTGAATATGAAACAACCAAATATCAATAAAACACTTCAACATTTAATAATTGCCAAAAAGAACAATTTTAATGAATAAAGAATGCATAAGAGAAAACAACTCATCTCTACTAATGCTAGAAATTTCAGATTCTATGATGAATATATTTAATATTAGCTTCCATGCATACTATTTTACAGCTATTCTCTTTTTATAATTTATACTACTTTAACATAAAACAATGAGATTGAAAAAAGACCAACTTTGTCCCACAAGGACTGAAGTTCTTCTTGTCCCCCGAGATCCCAGAAGTTCAAACGCACTCCAGCAATGTCAATTTTGCCAATATTTAATCCTACAGTCGTGGTAATCTTGTTCGGGTTCATTCCTTTGTACTTCTTGGTAAATTTCGTTTTTGCCGCCTCCAGATAGGTCTACGGAAATTGTCGCAACATTGCAGGGAATAAATGGATAACCTCAAATTAGATTAAGATGCGGGTACTTACAGTCTTCCCCGCATTGTCAAGCCCCAGAATCAGTATATAGTATTCATCCTTTTGAACAAGATATTTGTATAAACCGTGCAATAAAGTATACATTGCAACGTCAATGAATATCCCGCGAAAACCCGTATCTCATGTTGAACAACGCGTGCCACTTTTACGCCATAGGAGTAAAATTACTGTAGAGGGGAAGAGGCAAAGTCTTAAACTCACTTAATACACACCGTGATGGTTTCCTCCCGGACGTGCTGCCCTCCCCGGCCGCGCGGCGTATTAGAGGCGGGAGCAGCGTGGAATTTGAATCGCCCAAGGGGCAGAATGGATTTCCTAAAGAAAATAAATGTTTAGAAACAAAAACAATTAATAAAAATTATTTAATTTCATTTTCTTAGTTTCCAGATTCTCCATAAGGTATAAATCATAATTGAAAACAGAACGGGGGGGCAAAGTTGAAAAACCACGCCGCAAAAAAGACACGTATCCCTTCCTCCGTTCGATCTTGAGTATTATCCTCGACGTATCTCCTCGGGGAATTTCATCGCAACGTAAAAACAGTTAATAGAAATCTGCTTTCACTTCTCAACGACTTTAATGTTATCCACATGACAATAAAACCATTACACAATATCGCTTCGAATCGTCCGCGTTCGCACGTGTACGAGTCCATTCACGCTCCTCCCTTCCGGCACTCGCCGAAAGAGCCATAAGGGTTAAATAACATTTTCACCGGTTCAAAAACGCGACATACAACACTCAGTTGGAATTGACTCATAGATATCCGCAGTCATACCGCAGTACCACGAGCGTCATCACCGTAGCCGTGATACCGCATAGCCGTAACTGCTAATCACACGTAAATTTGGCATACATATCAGTCACAAGTCAACTAATCGTAAATAACGTCGTCGCAGACGAGCCACATAACACGCATGTTTAACCGACTGACGAATTCGCTGGGGTGCCGCGACCGGGGCGCGTCGATTCGCGGGTAATCGGTCGATGAAACGGAAACGCGCGAAGAAGCGTCCTCCCCGTGGGCATTAGCCCGGGCACGGCCGAGAAACGACAGCGCGACCTAGAGACTCCGTCTCGCGGGTCTGAGTATTCGCGATTCGCCCTTATCGCGTTATCGGCCTCCTTACGCGAGGCCGGGGGAAATACTGCCGAGCTCGCGACACACCGAGTGACGTGTGAGGTACTCGAAGCCCGAGTCTCGATTCACTAATGTTTATTAATAAACATTTCCCTTTCGTATAGATTACTTTAAATTTATTATAATTTTTAATACCTGTTGTGTTGCAATTATAGTTTATCGTTATTTACACTATTCAGTATAAAATGCGAGTTCGAGATTAAATCACACCACTATGTCTTGGACACTAACTGTCATCGATTAATAATTATCAATGCTTGTACTCAGGAAAATGCGAAGGGGGCAGTAGGGCAGTATTTTCGTTATCACTAGTGTTGTTGGTATTTAATTCTTTGGGGGAACCGTTATTTATGTTACAATCTAGACTAAAGTTATCGTCTAGCGGGCATTTGTTAATATTAGGCAACTGATTCACATCGATTCCATGAACGTCGGGGGGACTTTGTTGTTGGGATTGAGCATTTTCAGCCTCCTCGTTCTCGAGGCCGTTGTCAGTGTGGGGTGGGGATGGATAGTAGCCGCGCTGTTTTATCGACAGCTGTTGTTCCTCTTCGTCTTCTCCTTCTTCGCCGCCTGCGGTTGACAGCGGCAGTTGCTGACGTTGTTTCCGGTGTTGCTGCCGCTTCTGGCGCTGTTGCTGCTGTTGCTGATGCTGGTGGTGCTGCTGCTGCATCGCTGTCACCGAAGGAGGCGGCGGCTGCTGCGGTGGCCGATGCTGCACCCGCTCCTCACTCGTCCACCGGGCTAATTGTTGTTGAGCTTGAATAAATGCATCACTAGAAAATAACAAGATTATACGAGCCCATTGGACCTATTCCACGATCACTAATGATGGATGCGAGTGCTGACCAGCCAGCGCAAGGGATCCCCTGGAGGGAGACATTGTGCTTAGATCGATTGTTCTCTTTCTCTTCACGTCGTTAATTTCTGCGATTTAGAGAGATAAACATGATTATTCAAAGGCAATTGGATTCGTTACTCTTACCGAGGCATTTGGGAAAATCTATCTGTGTTCGTAATGATGCTTTTCTTGTACTTCCCCGACCGTTTTGGAACGGGAAAAGAAACGTATACATCATTGGCTTCGTTTACCCCGATCACTTGGTACGCGCACAAAAGCCGTGGATTTATCAAACGGTCAGGATAAACTATCGCGTATCGTCTTGGGGAGATGCGATGGAAAAATGGGTATCGCATCTTCTTCGTACCCCGTTCTTTACACCGAGAGTTTGCTAAAACCATACCTTTAGTTCGTATACCAACTGATCGGGATAAACGAAGCTTGTATCACCTACTACAAAGGCTTCGTTTCCTCGGATAGTCCATCGAGGGTCAATCCTAGATCATGTATACCTAGATAAAGCACTCTTCAAATCACCTTCCAATAAGAAACCAACATCGAAGTCTCGTAATTAGGTTAGAGACCTTTAAAAACCGACATGGACAGCAAATTTTCATATCGCCACGGGTTATTAATTAAAATTTGCGTTAATTAATTATAGCTCCGCATCGCGGGACCTCCAATGTTGGCCACAAAGCCATTCGGGACGCTTCATCTATGTGTACATAATCGAAGGCCGTCACCATGGCAACGCGTATGTTCTCGCAAGATGGCGGAGCGCCACGTGCGTTTGACAGTAGGCGGTACCGGGTAGGGAGCCTCATTACCGACGCTAATGTCCGCGTCCGAGGTAACATGCGCCCCATTGTGCAGGATGTGCAGCTACTCTCCATTGCAAGGAAGTGACCGGACGTGCCAGACTAGGATGCGGCTGGTCGATACCTGTCGCTATCAGGAGTTTCACCCCTGTTGGTTGAGCCTCTATCAGGATCGGCAGTTTCGTAGATTCCCTCCTCCTCGTGCATTTGATGCGAGTGCTGATGAGTGTGCTGATGGGTGCCGTAGGGACTTCGAGACGAGGGCTGCCGGTAGCGGCTGTACATGAATCTGGAGTCGTCGTCGCGTCCTCGGATTCTGCTCCTGCGCGGCAAACTAGGTCGGTAAAGCGGAAAAGTTCGTCTCTTTTATATACTTTGCGTGAAGCTTCATGGTTAATAGTGGCCAAGGTAGAGAATTAGGATGTACTCTCTGGGATACATATTTTTTTCGGGATGCAGAGGTTCGGTTCGAGTACCCAGGGGACAGACAGGGGGTGGGACAAAGAGCGGACGAAAAGTGTGCGTGGGAGGCTTACCCTTGGGAAGATTCGCTACAAACGGAGGAATCTATTCTGTAGTGACGGTCACCCTCGTTTTCGGATATTCGGATATCCTCCGAGCCGCTGGGACTCATGTGTCTGGTAGAGTGGTGCTCCAGCTGCCTGATGAGGTCCTCCAGGGTGCGAATGCGAATCGGCCCGCAGGAAGGAGGCACGTCCTCCTCGTCCTCCTCGTCCTGGTTGTCGATATTGTCCTGGCTGTCGGAATCCTTCCTGTAGGAGTCGGCATAGCCGCAATCGACCAGGGATTTGCGCACCACGTCTTCCGTCAGGAGGCTGCTGCTTCCTGAAGGAGTTGTCCCCAGGCCCCGGTGGCTCGCCGCGTTTCTCAGGGCCTCTATGATGTTCTCGTGGTATCCGTTCAGACTGTTTAGGGTTCTTTGAACCTCGGATGCCGATCCACTGCCGATGCCTGCCGATGAACGATTGGGATTAGTCAACGAAGACAGACCTCGGCAAGTCCGATCGACTCCTACATCGCGGTAGTCAAAATAATCGAATTCATGCACCGTAACAATCATAATTGAATCACAATGAAGTGCTATAAGAAACCCATATTTATGCGTATAATGAATATTAACGTTGGGTGTGTACTCTCTAGAAGAAATATTCTGTAATTGTTTTGGGCTATATTGTTAGGGATGGCAACGGTCTGATTATAAAAATTGACGAAAGAAAATTTCTTTTGGCATAATTTCAATCCAATATTTCGTTTTATACGCCCAACCGAACGAACAATATTTAGTGCACTGAGATTGAGAATTAACGTTGGATGTAAACGGTCTAAAGGAATTATCCTATAAATTGCGGGGACACATTTTGATAGCAAGCTACGTGCTGAGCTCGCCATGCCATCGGCCAGGCGATTACTGTAAATGATATCAGTACCATAACCACCGTGTTTCTTTAGAATTCCCTTTTCCGGCAACTTGGTCAGACTGTTGGGCGGCAGATCAATGAAGGCAACGGCTTCTTCGGGGCCGGTGCTCCCGTCTTCGTCATCAGCCCCGGGCCTTTTCATCTGGGGCTTGTGCTCCCTGAAATAGCCAAGCCAGTCGTCAGTCCACCCGACTGCCTTCCACTTAACACCTGGCCAACCTTTCCGATCCATTCGCAGGAGAGTCCGGGCCCTCCCAAAGTCGCTAACAATTGCTCCCTGAATTGCTCTAATTGTCTCTGATTGCTCATTGAAAATCTCCTGGATGTCGATCGCTACCTCCGTCACCTAGCTACGCTCCTTTCGATTCGTTCTCCCTCGTTTAAATAATTTCTTTCAAGGATTTCACTTTTTCCTCTCCGCCGAAGGGGACTTGTCGGACGTGACGATGCGAACGACGTCTTCCGTCAACGTGCCCACACGAAATGTCTAATTGTAAGATGCACTCGATGCACGAAGCACTCTCTAGTCTAGGCGGTTAGTAGACGGAAAAGTCACCATTCTACGGGGTACCTTTGGTGGAAAGCACTATCCTCGTGTCCGAGTCAAGTTTGCATTCCACGGGCCCAAGAAATGTGCATCGCTGACCGGGGTCATTCTTGGGATGAGGCTCTTTGTGCAACGAGACGGACATGCACGGGGTTTGATATCGATGCAGTAAATAAGGATGCTTAAAACCGAAGGGTCTCATGCTAGGAAATGCTCGTGCAAGCGGTGGAAATCCAGACATTGCATTTCTTTTTTATCGTTCATGGGGCAGTTTTAGACGTTACACCGTAGTTTGCCCGCGCGAATGAAAGACATGATTCCGTAGAAAGGGGTGATAAGGTCCTTGATTAAAATCGAGGTGTTTAGATCTCAATGATACCGCGCCAAATTGTACTACTTTATCTTAAATAATTACATTTGATTATGCAATCCAGGACGTACTGTTTATTTTGCCCGTTAAAAAGCGCTACCTTGTGAAACCTTTAATGTCATCAATTCGAGGGGAATCTCGTAATTTTCTTTCCATTCATTTGGTACCTAGGTTGAAGAGGAAATCGTAACTTTGAATACGCGTACTTTGCTTAAGCCTCTATAAATTCCCTTTTTATTCTTTAAGGACGCTTCAATTTCAGGAAGTTCCGCCGAGGACTGAATTTCCGCACCTCGTGCAGACGTCTCTAACAACGTCTACGTAACACGAGCTCCTACGTACAAGAGAGAGGCGGCCTTAATATCTCCCGGCGTGAAGGTACGTATCATTAACGCGTCCCTGCTCTCGGGACAAAAGGGACCGAAGTGAGAAAACGTTGAAGTCCTCGTCCTGGCGGGATTACTTGCGACCAAGGTGCAGAAAACTCCCGAGGAGAGTTCCGTTTCAAAAGCGAAAGACGCGCAACCGGGCGCGAGTGATTTATTAGCGAAGTTATAGAAGAATAAAGCGAGAAGCAGTCTGCGGGAAAGTTTGCGAAGTGGATGTCTGGCACTTTATTCCATGCATCTTAAGGACTTATTTAACATCGGGTCGGAGAGAGGCGATGCCTCAAGTTTTTCCGCCTCTTCGAGGATGCACGAACAGGGATTCCCCGCTTCAGGACGAGGGAGCATTTCGCGGCGCGTTCGGACCTCGACTTTTTATAGTTTTTTAATCATTTACCACCACATCTGAAGTTAATTTATGATATACGAGAATAGTTTGAGAGTTTTTACGGCAGTGATTCATCCTGGGGGTGGATTTCTATCAGAATTGGGATATGATAACAAATATTTAGGGTGAACCTGGGAGAGGTGGCGAAGGGTGACTCGATGATTATTTGAACGAGGATGTTTATTAATTTACTTGTTTACGAATTTACTTGATTAATGAAAATTAAATATACAGAAGTGTTTACGTCCGTAATTCATATTTTTAATTGAGATTCTGCGGCGTGCTAAGAAGGAACTCATGCGATGCTTCGAGGTGGACAATTGGCAGTGCTTTTTTTTTACAGTGCTTTCTATGGTGCATTTGCAAAGATCAAGTGAAAAGCGTGTTTAATTCACGGACGAAGCTCGGTACATGAAGCGTGCGCGCTAAAACTACTGCATAAGTTTCAGCTTACTCTAGTTAGATTGGGTTGACCACAGCGAGTGTGTTATGCGTGTGCGAAATAGTACGTGAACATGTTGCAGAGGTATGAATGTCGTTGTTCCTCGGTGGAGGACCTCGGTGGTTAACCCTCGGTCCGATTTAACTCGCTGATGAAATTTTGCGATTATATGGAATATCTCGTGAGAACTGTCGCTTCAAAGGTCGAAAAGATGTTTTTCAGTCTTCGCGGAATTATAATGGAATTTACGGGGAGGTATATCACGGGATCTGGCAAAAATGGTGTGGCAAAAATTGCTGTTTGCGTGAGAAGTTCCGTAATCTCGAAATCCTCAGGTACAAGGGACAAAGGCGAACGTCACGAAAGTGCATTTTCGGAATAAATGAATTATGCATCGGAATCCTGTACTGGCACGGGAGACTTTCATGTACCGGAAAGTTGCCTTAATGTATACGTGGGGATTTCGAGAGTGAAAAATTCTGTTGTAACGTGCAAATGTCGTTTAACGACCGAATAAGTAATTAGCCACACAGCAAATGAACGTCCAGTGGATATTCGAGGTGATTTCTAATGTTTAATGAACATCTAGTCGATCCTGATCCGAATGTACGTTTGATGTTTGAAATTCACCAAAAGGTCTATCCTGTGTTGGCGAATGCAATTTATTGAGAAAAGGTATAGAAATGTATTTCGGAAAAAAAATGTGAATGGACTTTTCGTTTGCCCGATCCAGAAAAGAGTTCTGTCGACTGATGCGGAACTTTTGAAATAATCGTATCTCTTCTGTACGAATGAGACGGGATTGTTATGTGGCTGTTCGTGCATCACACAGAAGTCTTGCAAACTCGTCCTAATTAACGTGCTGAAACGCCAGTTTATCCCAAAGTCGGACAGTTTCCAAAGACTCGGTTAATATTCGAACATTTTCTAGGTGGCTGGACAAATTTCTCGAAGCATGACTCCATTCACGGTTTAACTCTTGATTTTCTCCCGACGACGGTGGATTTGCGCCGAGAAGCAAAGTGCCTCAAACTCGAGTCAATTCTATTTAGAGATTAATTTATGAGCAGCTCAACAGCAGGTAAACCCGCACAATAGTCAAAACGCCACAATAGTTCCAGAATTAAATTACATTGCACCGAAATTCCGAGTAACATCGATTTTTACAGGCATAAATTGATCGGTTATTCGAGTAGATCGCACAAGAGACGGAACCTTTTGATTTAATTGTTATTGACGTTCAAAGTTTGTTCAAATGTCAAAATGTTTAAGGGATATACGGGTCTCCTATTTTGAACGGGTTATGGTATAGGCACTAGGTGAGAATTTCGGAGCATAATTAGAGCCGAGGTGTTAATTAATACGCTCCCGCGCCCTCGTCTATTTCTAACTATCGGGTATTCCTCGAACGTAGCCTGGAAGTGTAAGTTCAATCCTCATTAAACTCTGGAATATCAGTTTCCTCGACGCCGGACCAAACTCCGTGGCTGCCACTGTCTGCACGAAACGGCACTAATCTACTGTATCCATGTCACGCATAACATATGGATGGATGCACGCGTAGTAGTTACGGTAACGTTATGCGCAGACAGCGCCTGTTCTCCAATTTCATCAAGCATCAAATTACTCTCAAGTAGCGCGCCTTGCACAGCTTCTCTACTTACAATGTACAGAACGAAGAAAATCAAATAATAAAATCATAAAAAGCAATTAAGGCCGAGTTAAACCAGAAAATTTACATGTAAGTACGCACAGAACTAGAAACCGCGAAACCCCATTTAGTTTCTCGTCCACTAATTCTCCGGTGTCTGAACATTTCGTAATGGAATTTGAACCGAACCAATCATTCTCCCTAATCTCTCCAGTATATCACTTTCCTTGACGTCTGACCAAACTCCATTAGTTACTACTATCTCCACGAAGTAGCACAAATTCATTATATCCACGTCAATCCGTCACGTGGTATTAACGCATGGGTAACCGGTAACTGCAGCAATTGTAATATCTGCAACAGCGTTTACTAGTTCGAGTCAGCCATCGAATCCAAGTTACGGCTCTCGTATCGATTTTCTATTTACAAAAGTGGAAGGAAAACAGCTGTAATACAGATTTATATTCATTTCCTGGCGATCTGGTATTAGACATGGAACTGAGCCGGTCACTTTCACTAATCTCTCGGTGCATCACTTTCCTCGGTGTACGACCTAACTCCGTCGATTACTACTGACTGCACGAAGTGGCAGTAATCCACTGACGCATTGCGAGCATAACGTATGGATAGGCGCAGTAGTAAAGGCAATGTAATGTGCAGACAGTGACGCGCGCTCGGCTTGGTCAGCCATCAAATCATTCTCGAGTTACGCGCCTCGCTTTGTTTTCCTCACGATTATTGCAGAATGGTCCACTGCGTTCACGGTGACGTAGTTCGTAAATGACTGCCTAATTAATGGAGCGTGTTCGAATTTCCTGGGCTAATGTGTACATGCGCTGTCCCGCAAAACGTGTATCCTGTTTAAAGTCACTGCTAAAATTCATTGATAATAAAAAAAGCTTTAAATTACCGTTAAACCAAGATGTCTTAAATTGAAGACGAACTTATTTAAATTGTTGCTGGAAACGGGTATTGTATACGTTTTTGGATGTTTAAATATTTTTGTACGGATTGTGGATGCAAGTATTTAGAGGTTGATTTTTAATGTAAAGTAGGAGAGTATACTGATTTAGGTTTAGTTTATTCTAGTTTGAGGTATATTCAGAGAATCTGAGACACTTTGCTCTATTCACGGTAATTCATTGTTTGCAGCTGGTCGACGGCGCTTCGATGTTGCACATGATCGTTTTTACGAAGGAATACTTTGCGCGGTTTATCGAGGATAGTAATATGGAGTCTTTTATGTAAACCATCGGAGAACACCCAATTTGCAAAACCCCTGGATCCATTCCCCAGTCAATTAATATCAATTATTTTCTAAATCATCGCAAGTCCCGCATTTCACAACCTGCAATATTTTCCCTTTCCATCCTGAAATTACACACGAAAAACACCCACAATCCCCATATTCCAAATTGTCTTATTCATTGCTCCGAGAGAGGGCCCCAGTCAATTTAATGGAACCAGCGCGTAAAAAGTCGGCGATCTATATGGAAATTCTTATTTTTACAGGAATATTAATAATCCCAAAGGTAGTAATAGTGTAAATACGGGTTCTAGACCGAGTGCAACATTTTTTGTCCACCGTCGCCGTTTTCTTTTTCTTTTTTTTTTTTTCAAAAAAGTGCGTCACGAAGGACCAAGGACTCGCGGCACCAACGAGAGGATCACCGGGCTGCGATGCGTCCTGCTCGAAGGATATTAATGGTAGTCCATTAACTATTAGAAATAACGACGTGACACATGAGACTTACTTGAGTAGTATCTTGTCCGCGTTGCCGAGACTATTCAGGGGTTGGAACAGCACGCACTGGGTCTCGTCGCGGCTAGAAATATACTAATATAGGCATGCCGCGGGTATTTCGTTTTTAATAACTATATATGGTGCACCGACATCGGACGTTCTCGTTTTCCTAGAAGGGCGTCGAAAGTAAGGGGTTCTTGTAGAGCGCGGTTTCATTTTAATTTCAATTTCATGTCCTCTTCGAAAACTTGCCCCCCGCGCCCGTCTCGAGGACCCCCGCGGGACGACATAGCAAATAGAATTATAAATCTCAAACCGAGTCATCTGAAAATTATTTTTCGCCCCGTACAGGCTGGATACCCTGTAATGAAATTTTCAAGTATCCATACGTGTAATGAATTTATTTTTACGGGATCTCGAGCTTCCTTCGGAAAGAAATTGGCAACAATAATCTGTCTCCATTATTATATTGACTTTCTCAGCCATATCGAGACCTTCTCACAGAAAATAAATCCACGTTGAACACTCGAATAAGATAAATAAAAATGAAAAAAGTCCCGAAGAAATCGGAAAAATTCGATGCAAACCAAACGAAGGAGGTAGGAGAATACACTGTGAAGAATCCTCACTTTTATAAAAAAAAATTGGCAATTAAGGATACTTTTGATTCGCAATCATTTTATAGAACGGAATACAAATTGGAGTGCCAAAGAAAAATCTTGTAGGGGTGCTTTTAAGCGCGAGGGTCCATCTTTTTTGTGGAAAAATGCCGAAACAAAATGTTTGCGAAATGACGAGCCGTCGATATCATCGATAAGGCTCGGTTCTTCTTTTTTTTTTTTTTTTCGTAATTTGTGTACTGAGGTGTTAACGAAGACATCCCGTCGAATCTGGGCATGTTACGAGTTGGCTACGTGGCTGTAGAATATGTCGTTTATAATGTTCGTTAGAGAGAGGGTGCGCTCTAAGGATTACGGCGTTTAAGCATATAAAGACATGATTAAAAGCGAGAACCATGAGTCGATCGTATGGTAGCGAACTGCCGGTAAATCAGTCTGGTTAGCTCTAGAGTGTAGCGGAAACTAAGCTGCCTAATGATAACGATAACGATATACCTAAGCGATATCTAGCGAGGTCTCGTGATGATTTTGCGACGTATGCGTCTCGCCCGATTCGAGGGATTCGTATCCGCAAGTTTTCGGCTGAGATTTGCGAAATCGAGGAGAGCAAAACGCGAATCGTCCCACGCGCGATTATCCTTCCGAGATCCTTCAACTAGGCGAGAAGTATCGAACGAGTTGCAAGGTCATTTAAATATTTTTATAGGATTTTTAAAAACCGAAATTTGCCCTACTATCGCGTCCCTGATAGAAATGGTATTCGAGAAAGAGGAGGCCTTTCCGATTTTATTTTTAATGGTTAATTAGAACAGTTCCGTAAGCAAATATTACCTATGCCTTTTATCATTTAAATTCACTTTCATTAAAACGCATTTCCCAACTTACTAATTCCTTTAGGGAATACCGTTGCCTGAGGATAGTGGGTCCTTCTGATTAAACGAGAGCAAATGGCAAAACGATTCTGCAATTGTTAAAGGATCTTGGCCAGTGGTCGCGGGCGCGTTAAGAGAATACGTACTTAATGTGAATCGAATTTCGCCAAGGGAAGGCAACCCTTTTGGCGACATTCGGCATTACCTGTAGGAGGGCATGCTGCCAAAGGTGAGGATCTTGTTGACGCTGTCCAGGGCGGCGACCTCGGGGTGGTGGTTTCCAGAAGCCCCGGTGCAGGTCTTCTGCGGAGGCTTTTTAGAGTACGGCAGATCATGTTTCTGGATGGTTCCCTTCCTTCTGCGGGAAAACGCCCGATTACGAGAACGCCGAGCGAATTAATGATTTAAATGACGTGGCTACCAATCAAGCGCATGCTGACTAAAGGGTCTTTTTTAAATGGTCTCTCAATGCGAACTCAAGTGCATCGGTGGGCTAGGCTTAGCTGCAAAAGCTCCTGAAAGCAGGTTGTTTTCTCTTTGAAATTCCCTCTTCGGACTTTATTTTAAATTTTGTCTCCCTCCAATGTTCCGATTAAAATGTTCTTTCCATTATTTAACTCCTGTTAGCGGATTGTAAACTGTTAATTCCTGGCCAAATGCAAAATGACCTCGAAATGTTCCTTCCGTTTTGAGTTTCTTTCTTCGGTCGAAATTTTACTTTAAATTTGACGCTTTTACTCGCAGATAATGGGTTGCCTTACTCATTATTAGTATGTACCCTTGTATTCCGATATTTTCTTGCATTTGAATTTCGGTCAATCGTTAATGTATTGGTTTTTAATGTTTTTTCAATTCTTCAGACGCAGGTAGAGTCCGGCGCACCGACGGCACTCTCGGAAGGGCGTGGCCGCCGTTTATGGATTTTTCGAAATCGAGGCTAACTCTAAGCACGGATTTTTAGGCATGCTGTTAGAACGAAAGAATAGTCAACCAGTTAAATGTTACACCCGTAGCTGGCCTTTTAATCGCGTGTGTGGAGCCCTCCACTGCAGTACCCGTTAACCAAATAGCATAAATCAAATGACAGTATCAGCAGAAAAAGTAGTACATTCAAAGTAGAGTTGTACGCCATAAGGAGCGAATACGTGATGCGAAGGAAAGAGTACTCTATTTGTATAAATAATGAATACAATTTTCTCGTAAAATGCCGTGCCATTAAATGTACATTTTTAAATACCGCAAATATTTAATTCTACAACGAACAGTTGCTTCCTATTTACCCCAAACGTCGTTAATGAGAAAGGAGAAACTTCAAAAGAGAAGTTATTTATATTTAATGTTTTAAAAATCGAGAAATATTGTCACAGTCTCGGAAATCTTTCCTTCGTATTGCTTACATTATTTAAAGTGCTTTCAATTACTCTCGAAATTAAGTAGATGTACTTAAGTAGAAAATTAAGAATGGCTGAAGCAATTAGTGCTTGCGAACTTAATCGAGAGCTGTCTGATTAAAGAATTCGCGATTAAGATTTCGCAAATCCGGCACGAGTTGTAAGGCGAATAAACGTTCCGGAGTGCTTGGCGATTAATTGTAAGGTGAAGAAGATGAAAGTGAAAATTTACGGAGGAAGGAGAATTTGCTGCGTGATTTGTAATTTGGAGTCGTACGTGCGTTCGACAGAGCTTTCTTTAACAATATTTACCTAATATCGTCAACTCCAACAATATTTTGCATCAATGTCGAAGCAGTGATCACTTAGAAAATAATCGGTGCATTTTGAAAAATTCCAGACAAGAAGTTAAGAAAACTAATTAAAGGAAACTCCGTCGAGTTCTAATTTTGCAAAAAATCGAAAGACGGTGACGTTAGTTCAAGTCGAGAGATTAAAATTACGCATGCTTACAAAAAGAGCTGCCACAATTGAAAACACCGTGTGCACTATTTCCTCGTTACATTCGCCTTACAAAAGTGCGTCACTAAATTTTTCCAGAAATCTCCGAATCTCTTTTGCCTGCTCTTCGTAACTCCAAATATCGAGAGGAAAACCCACCTGGCAACGTGGATTTCACCTGTATCCATTTTTTCCGCAAGATTCTAACATTAAGAAATTAATTTCCGCCCTTAATAAAATACGATTCATGGAAATCCGACGGCACTTGAAATAAATAACGAAGATATTGTACCGTAAAATTGGAGTTACAAGAAGCTCATCACACGGAGAGCATTTTGCAAAAATTGCCGCACTTCCGCAGCAATTTCAGCGTGCATGGAACGTCGGCGTAGACCGCAAGACATTTTCTCTTACTTCCCAGAAACTTCTCTTCGACCATCTAAAAAATTTCCCTTAATAAAGAAATATATGCAAAAAAAGAAGAAGAAGAAGAAGAGACGTAAGACCGGTGAATTCAGTCGGAACTTTCAGCGACTCCCGGAAAATCCTCCCCGTGTGCGCGCACGCGCAGAGCTTGGAAGCTCGCCGGTATCGATAAGCAAATTTCCCGGAGTTTTCCAAGAGCGAGATTTTTCATTTTGTCCAATTTCAGCGGCAACGCCGGCGATTCGGAGCTCCGAGCGACGGCGCGATTCGGCCAGAGCGGCTTTGGCGAGAAGAGAAGAGGGGGAAATAATAAGAAGAAAGAGCTATTCCGAAAAGAAATGAAAATCCAAAAAAAGGGAGGCTAATGAGAGGAGTAAAGAGAGAACATACAAAGAAGAGTCTATGTGTATGTTTCTGCACACTAACCTGAGACAGAGGGAGAAGTTTTTATGTACTACGACTGACCTGTAGCAGAGAGCCATCAGAGCAAATACTACGAAAACACCCCCTACCACCGACATGAGCATACCAACTAAAAATACAGTGTTTGAGCCGTGGTAGTTCTCTGTGATTCGTGAACAACGTGGACGACACGCAATTCGGTCATCCGTAGCGAGGCCGAGTACCATGTACGCAGTGCGGTATGTGGGTGGTTTGGTTTCCGAGCGTCCCACAGCATGCAGACAGACAGAGATGGCAGTGACAGACAGAAACAGACAAGAAACAGAGAAGCCAATATCAGCACATTGATACGATACACACCATCGAGACTGATAACACAACCTTTCGAGTCGCTAGGTCGCGCCGCGGACCGAGTTTAGGCACCTCGGGGCCGAGACCCCGGTTACCGGTTAGGTTAAGGTCGGCTCGGCTCGGGCCTAAAGTCGGGGCGATCGAGTCTCGGTAGGTTTTCGCCGATCGGGGGCATCCTCTCGGCGCAAAGAGTGTTTCAATCCTCGAGGGGCGAGTCGCTCGGTGAGCCTGAGTGGGCGGTCCAGGCCGGTCGGTAGTTCGGGGACGCGCTCGACAGAGGGCGGGTCGTCTCGGCGCCGACGGCGTCACCTCGAAACTTCGGAAGGCGCCAGTTTCGCGCTCGACGGAGATATCGGAGGCTTCTCGGGCTCCTTCGAATCGGGAGGAGCGATAGAATCGGATCGTCGCATGGGGAGGTACCCGGGGAAGACTTTTCGCCAGACGACCCGAGCCTCCGCGAGTCGCGTCGCCCTACCGACCGACCTCGTGGATCGCGCAAGCGTCGATACGTCATAGGCGATCGACGCTTTCTCGATCACGACCGGAAGACCCGAAATGCATCTCGGTTCGATCGTCAGAACGCGAGTAGAGACTTAATGGTAAAACCCTCCATGGTGCTTATAGGGTATACAAGCAGCTGGCACATTGACGCACCTACTGTTCTCTCGTTCCCGAAAGAACTTCCTCCTGCCCACCGGGTTTTGCCTTTTCATTTTCCTCGTCATCGAGCGTACTCTCTTACGAACTACCGAGATATCAAATGGTGGGCTAGGATTTGAGGTGCGGAGAGGTCCTCCGTCCGTTTCTCAGGAATTATCGCGAGTCTAAAATGGGCTCGGCATCTCTTTCCACCTCCAACCTTCGACTCTCGCGAAAATACGTTTCTCCCCGCGTCCCACGTAATCGTAACGACGAATCTAATTGACACGACCAAATGAATCCCCGTTCGCGCCCATTGTAGGCTCGCGCTAGCTCGAGCGGCTATTCGAAGTAATCGGTCAGTCGCTTGCACAATATGCCACGAGCACATCGAGCATACCGTTCAAGATATCGTAACAGGAGCGTAAAGAGATACAGATATGTAAACACCGAATAAATAAGGCTAAGGTTCGATAATGAATCATGTATGGGAGCATTGCTGGCCGCGTGCGATGCCTCCTCATCCAGCTAGGCACGAATTACTTGACGATGACACAGGCGTCCGTACCGAGCCCACTCAGTGGACTCGTTCACGGTATTGGGCTACTGTACCTGTAGCAAACAGCCATTAGTGCAAAACAAATGAAGACCCCCTTCACCACGCCGACCAGGATAAATACCATTACCAGGGTGCTAAGATTGTTGTTCTGTCCGCCTGCAAAACATCACAGCATCGGTAAACCGCCGAGGCCTTCCTCGAGGCCTCCCTCGCGACTTCCGGGAGAGATTCTTCCGAAAATAATTCTGCCGACCTTCTTGCAATTTTCACATTTCTGGTTTCGGGAGGAGGAAGTGTGGTACCAAAAGAGAGGAGACTTTTCTGCAGATATTTTTTGTGCCTCGATTTTTCTTTCAACTTTTCAATTTTCCGCGTCCTTCCATTTGTCTTTGATCGTGAATTGGAAATGGCGATCGAATTTTGACGATTAAATTTGGATAATATTGTTCGGCGTTGAGAATTTTGAAATGTTATTCAAACTCGAGTCTCGTTTAGGACTGTTAGTCAAGATGGAATTTCGAGCAAGGAATTATTTATTCTAAATTTTCTCTCGGACGTTTGACGTGGATGACTTTGAAATGCTATTCATTGGAGTTTATTTAAATTACGTAAGTCCGGGTAATTAAAAGCTGATGGATCGGTAATGTTTCGTAGTTTAGAGCGACTGGAGGAAACCATTCTGAAGGGATTTCAGTTAATCCTAGTCATGCAGGTGTAATTAAGCACAAAGCTTGTACTCCTTCGGTAATTATGCAGAGTAAGTGCGCAATTTACAATAAACGTTCCGGTGAATTAACGCTGCAAGATATTTTACAGACATAGCCATCTATTTCGCGTGATCGAAAGAAAAATGTACTCCGTGCGAATATTGACGATTAATCAAATAATGGTATAATTTAATTAATCGTGTCCGTATACAGAGCTCTGCAAAGCTCGGAGCAGTATATGATCGGATTAAAAACATAATTTTGATAAACCTATACGGCTCAAGTGGATGAAACAAAATTGCTTGTTTATTGAATCCGATCAATTGAATATGCGAAATAAATATGGCACTTGTATATCGGATTCCTTTCCTACGCGGGAAAAATCTTTATCAGATTATCAACGAGGAAATAAAGGCGTTTCGTAGTTGGAATCTAATTATTAATTTGGACGTTCCCGAGGAATAATGAAAAACCTCGAAATTCTCTTTGGGACGAGGAACTATCGATTGGATTTTGCGAGGAGCGCTATTAATCTCAATTACTGAAATTAGCCCTCCGTGTTTCATCGTTAATCTTCATCGAGATTATGAATTCGTACTTGCCAAACTACGTCGCTTTAACTGCAATAAGTAGGGCGAAAAATGGACGTGGAGGGTTGGGAAGTGATTCACTCTTAGATGTGAGAAAGAAAATGGAAAAATTGCGAGAGGCTCTCGAAAGAGACGTAATCAGTGCTCCTTATCAAGGACCGAAGAGGACACGAAGTGCAATTCACTCGCATGTCCGGAATTATTCTCTTCGGCGATTTACGGAAACGATTAATCGCAGTCGATACGGGGGGGACGACTTATGGCTAACACATCAAAAGTTTAATGTGCGCAGCTGATGGTATGACCCCAAGTTACGTGGCTTAAACGAGAAGAGGCATTACTCTCTCTCTGTCTTTCTGGTTGAAAGAGTTAAAAAGAAGGCCCGAGCGAACGACAATGCGTTTACAAAACGAGTTCGTGATACCCCAGAAGCACCAGTAACAAAGTCTAACAGCTTCGACCTAACTATACTAGGATACATTTCATGGTATCTTACGTAAGTGCTTTGAAGTTCTCGTGAATAGTGCGTAATATATTTATATATGTATATACGTATATATAGAAATATAGACATTAGGTGTACTCGCGTCTTAGGTACGTACACGGGACGCAATACGCACGTATGACGCGTCGGAAACGCGAATTTGAGGCCGTAAAATTCCAAACTCCAAAATATCCCTCCTGGGCATGTCCGGAATTATTGATAGGTCCTAAAAATGACTCGTCTCTAAATACCAGCGATTACGAAAGTGGTCCATTAAACAATTTTAACAGATCACGCTATAATCCCTTACTCAGTGTCTGCAAAAGTCGAAAAACCTCGAGAGGGGCCATTTTCATAATCGCCGATGCACACCGCGAAATCCTAGTATTCCGAGGAAAAATTCACTGATTACCTAGGTTTCCGCCTCGACAACATTTCACGGACATGAAATAACGAGATTGTATTAACGAAACAACGAGAGAATATTAAAAGAATCGTATCGAATAGGGGGTGAGTTTTACGTTTCTGGAGAATTTACGTCAATTTTGTTCTTTCTTTGTGATAATTGTGAGTTCATTTTGGAGCTTATTTTGGATTTAAGATGATGTCGAATTTTCTAAGGTCGAAATGTTGTCGAGGGTGCGTCAAATTCGCGTTTCGGACACTTTTGTACTGGTCCGAAGGATCTTCTCAGAGAGGGGATATATGCGGTTCACCGCTTACCGTAGGGGGTTTCTTTCTTCTCCATTTTACCCTCTAGGCCAGATTTACCAGACAGAACCCCGCTGGAGGTGGTAGGTTCTGAGGTCGGTATTTCCGTCTGTATGGAACAGTCCGGGCCGCTCCATCCGCTGTTGCAAAAGCACTTGTTCGCATTCGTGCACACCTGTAACACGGCCGGCAAACGTGAACGTTATTCCGGCCAGGAGATTCTGGCAGGGCCGATAATAAATCTAATTTCTGGAGAACGGGCTCTGATCGATGCCCCGGTGAACTTCAGGGGAGAGAGGGGGGCCAGGAAACGTACATGCCGCCAAGTGTACAGTGCTCGAGGAAATATCTCTTTTACGTCAAACTGGAGATGGGGGAAATATTTCCCGGCGAGCGTTTATGCGATTTATGGATTTATTTTCTGAAAGAAGCTCCACATACCGCGGGATAGTTCCGGGGAAGTTGCTAAAGCGGGCATTCCGTGAAGTTAGACTTTATGAAATGAAGTTAGAATTTATGAAATTATTTCTCCAGGGATTTTGCGAAAGGCTTTCGGGATATGTTTCGTGATCGTCATACCAAACCGCACTGTTTGGTATATCATACCCATGTATTTCATAACCCATAGATGTTTTATATCATACATAGCAAACGCATTACCGATTTCTTGTGGAAAGTAAAGGCAAATTCAGAAAAAATTAGTCAGACAACAAAAAATAATAACTCTATTTTGGCAGAATTTGAAATTAGGACGTTTATCTTTACTGAATAGATTTGGAGAAGGACGGAAAATTGGTACGGTAGAGAGGACGGCGTGCAAGGGAATGAGAATAGTCACTTGTGGGGTCTTTTGTTAATTGGCTATCGATTGGATTAATTATTCCGAGGACTTACTCCGTTTCCCGAGCATTCGTGATTGTTGTGGTTGGTTGGGCATTTCTCTTGGTCCAAATGTGGGAAGACACTCGTGCACGACTGATTCACGCAAATCTGAAAGATTCCCCCACGTTAGACTCGCCCGTGTCTACGGTTTCTTGGGTTTGAAGACGTACTTTGAAACGAGCATTGGCGAAGTGCAACTGTGGGAATGCACCGCGTGCCGGTGAAATTTTCGTCCCGTTGCTAATGCATCTTTACATAAAAAGGAGGGCCACTTTCGTTTAAAGATTCACTAAAACGCCTTCCAAAAGCAGATTTTTGCAGGGAAAAAAGTTCCACTTAAAATTACATTTCATGTAAAGAATGGCATAAAAAGAAAGAATAAAAGAGGCCGAACAATTTCCTTTCAGACTTTCTAAGGTCGATTGATAAAATACAAAGAAATCAAATGTCACTCTCCCGAAAGACCACATTTAAACTTCGTGCCCAGAGAAGTAATTCAAATTTGTCCATCATTCAATTTTTTTTTTTTCATGGACTATTCATATCCTGGATTGGGTCCGATATTCCATCTTTAAACATTATCTATAAACATTTTACCAGATTGTCGCCGCAAGATGTCCCATCGCGAACCAAGCCCATACTCGGCATGTCAGTTCCGTCCTTCCTGTCGGTCGTTGACCTGCAAATACGAGGATACGTTAAATGACATTGTTAATTCCCTGCATGTCTTTCAAGTTAAAATAATGTAGAAGGTAGGAAGAAAGTGTCTTTGGTCCTTTTTTATTTCTTTAAGACTCGGTGGCGCACGTTACCTAACGAATCATACTCCCGCTCTGAATGCAGTTCGGAACTTCGCCGTGTCGAGTTCCTGTCGGACATTCGCGATTCGCGAAAACGAAGTTACCTCGTAACTGGACGTTGGCAACGCTCTATTTCTCTCCCCGAAGTTGGCGGCATTGCGCAACAACTAAAGAAAACTTTGCGGCGAGTCCTGCTTTATTTTTCTCCGGCTAATGAATTTTATTCGGAATTCTCGCGACACCATCTTAGGGTCTTAGTCAACTTCTGCGCGATACGCCCTCTTTTCTTAAATTGTTTATTAATTAAATCTCCCCATCTCGTAAGCACCTCCTGAAGAATTGTTTATGGTTGATTCACCGATAAAGAAGTGCATAAAAATCCTCATTCGAGCTTCTATCACGATCAGCCTTCTGCTATTTCAAACGACAGGATATTAATTTTCGAAAGAATCATTTAAATGATCTATTATAATTGAATTAACGTTATCCCTTATTTATGTACAATTTGAGCGATTAACATTATTTAAAGATTTAGCTGAGCTCAGATTACTTAATTTTTGTTCATATTTAATTTTATTATATAATAATTTATTATAGATTAATAGAAATATTCGTCGTTACGTCGTCAAGGAATTGAAAAATAATACTCGAAATAATTCATTCACATCGGCTTTCGGTCACGTAATGGTCAGTTTCACCGGGTTTCTGTTTAGTGCTAATTACCAAATGGTTAACGAAGTGTTATGGGATTTTGAAGCACGTACTTGCACTCGTATTCCTGTCCTTTAATGGAAATGATGGTTCTCGAGAAGAGTTCGTTCATTCCACCGACGACAGGCTGCTTGTTCCCTTTCTGACATTGCAGCGATCCGCATCGAACATTCCTGTTAAATAGAATCATTACATCGGGACCTGTATATTGCATTCCTGTGACAAATTGCAATTCAATTATGACCAAAATGAAAATTATTCGCGAGCGCTATCGACATTCCGCAAATCCTTGAAAACGCGGTCGCCATTTTCCGCGATTTCGAGACTTACGTATCGCTCTTAATTTATAACCAGGAATTAAATTACCATCCATTTGCTATAGTCAAATTCCGAAGATTTATAATTAACGGCATGGAAGAGTGACGCTAAAAATATACCTTTTTATGAAAATAATAAATAAGCCCCCTTAACTTTGAGCGCAAATATGCATTAACTGCCCCTGGGACATTAAAATCAATTTCATAAAGCATTATCCCTTACTTATAATATGTCACACATTCAAAGCAATGTTTTACAAATTCCGTAGCCTGATAATAAAGGTAAAATCCTGGAATTGCGATTATTTGAAAATTTCACATTCCCTTTAGAATGAAAGTCCTCTATAAAATTCGAATTAATTTGCGCAAAATGAGGTATAACCAATTTCACAATGACAATTAAGTAGAGCCACGATATTTCATTACAGGTACTCGAAAAAGGGCATAACGAAACCCTTTTATAGAAACTCGCTCGAAATGTTCATCCCCGCGCTTTTGCGCCTCCCTTAAACGTTTTCCGACATTTTCGTCGGGAGGGTGTAATTTCTCCGATTACGTATCGACCTCAATTTCCCATCAGGAATTAAATACCCGTAACTCGATTTGCAGCCTCGAAATCGGGACGATCGGCCGTAACTTAATAGGGCGATGCTCGAAAATTTCTCGCCCCCGGTAGAAGTTGGCTCGCGACCGGCCATTATTTTACCAAGGCAGTCGTGTGAGCGAACCCACCCAGCTGGATTCAATTAGTTACGTGTAATTTGCAACTTTAGTCGCAATTGAAAACCACACGCGATTACGTCCTGCGGCCTGCATTACTGCGACCGCCTCGCGTCGCTGCGGCTTTCGATGCATTTCCGTCCGCTGAATGTTTGCGACATGTTTCTGCGCCAGGGGTTGCGCGTCAAAGCATTCTCTCATTTTTTAAACAACCGCTAAACTAACCCAGCTTCTCGTCCAAAAGCCGGGAAACGCGTGTAAAGGAAATTTGGCTGAGGCTAATTGAGTATATATAATTTCATAGTCACTTGTAGTACCCCCAACGGAGGTTGAATTTAAGAAAATCTACTTTTTCTTATCAGTCTTTCAGTAACAAGTGGTTGAACATAACATTCAGAGATCGAGGATATATTAACGGTGAAATAGATGTTTCATATTTAGAGGTACGGCCTCGTTAGCGAAATATTTTGCCCAGGAATACATTATTATCAGGAATTATTCCCGGACGGTCGAGTTCCGCCGTTGTGCAACAATTTTCCGGACGTAAGGTCTACGCGTTGGGAATATTTTCGCTAATAAAGCGTGGAACAAAGGTTCCGGGGCAAAGGTTAATTAACCATTATGACATCGACGCGAAAGAGGAGAGGGAAAAAAAAAAAGAAAAATAGGAAACAACGGAGGGAAAAGTAACGTAGAATGGTATGGATACCTCGGACATGTTTACGTGGACTTGGGGCCAACAATATGTTTCCTGGGTGAATAATTCCCGACTGATTAACAGCGCATTTCCGTGGGGCTAATGAAACGCGACGCTTGTTAAAAGAGGAAGTACCAAGCCGGCCAAATTCGATTCGTTACGTGCAATTTGTAACTTCACTCGCGATTGAAAACCGCGTGTCGTGCGTGCGATTCAAATCACTCGTGTCTGCGGCTTCCGGGACATGTTGACTGGCCCGGTGTTTATTCACGGCGTTGGTTATAAACAATTCGTCTTTTTTTTTTTTTTTAATTTTCCTTTTTCATCGCCCCATAAAATGCCGTCGCGGTGCAGCGCCCGTTGGAGGCCGCGGAATAATAACTCCCGATTTCGAAATAAAAGCTCCGTGGGGGCAGAAATTGTTTATAAGAGGCGAAGAACTTTCCGTCATCCAAAATTGCCGCCGCGATTAAGGCGAACATTAAATTGGTTTCCGTGTCCTCGACCTCCGCAATGTCGAAGACTTTGCAATGGCGAGATGGAACCATTTATTGTGTAAATTGTTCCGAAATGCCGCATAGGTAGTTAAGTATTTCTTGTTCTGCCGTAGTTACTTTTTAAATAATGCCCGGTAATTGCGGGGTGTTCCAAAAAAATTCGCCAAATTTATTCCGCCATCGGGCTCCATTCCCTCTTGCCGGCCGTTCCAAATTCGTTTACAAGGGTCGTGTATTTTTTTTTCATCCTTCCCCTCCGCCTCCCCGTAGCATGCGAAATATTTCGACGGTATATCAGCTCGCAGCTGTGTAACAATTATTTTTCATCCCCCGAATAAAAGCTCCTGGCCTACAGGGCGAGTATTTCCAACGACGACCGCGGGGCGCGAATTATCGCGAGCGAATTTCATTTTGAAAATTAAATCCCCGCGTTTAAGCTTGTTTTCCTGGAACCCGAAGTGATGTCCTTTGGGTATCCCGAGCTGACTACTTTTTGGAAATGCAGCTGAGTTTACCCAATTTGAATAAGTTTTAATATATTTCAGGTAACGTTTCGTGTCCGCAGGAAAAATAACCTCCGATATTGCGGGGTGCATAAAGTATAAAGTTGGATATTATCGAGGAGACTACTTTGATTCGTATCGCGATGTCAAACGAATTTTATCTCCAACCAGTGGAACCGTGTCAGGTACGATGTTTTTTCCTTTTGACAACGAAGAGAGGTTCTGCAAAAAAGAACTTTTGTATTTCCAGAGAAATCGAACGAGTACTTTCCAGAGTTAGCGGTAAAGGAAGGAGGTAACAAAGTAATTTCTTTCATCTTACAGAATTCTTTCTCCCTGTACATCCCCCGTGTTCCGATGGGTGGAATAAGACGATTCCCGGATTTGAGGGTTCAAAAGGAGCCTCAGGGAGGGGTTGGACTTATTAAATGTCGAATCGATCGCATTTAAGCGATTGATAGAGGACCTCCACCGCAGAAGGTATCCTGGAGACCCTGACATAATCTCCGACAGTCGTTTGCAAGAAGATGAGCATTTTGTCCAGAAGTCTTACGACCTACATCCCTAACAATTTTCTCCCAATAGTTTAGGTTTACCTCCACCTCCCTTAATTCTTACTTTCGCTTCCAGCATATCTCAAGTTAGTCCCCCAAGTTTCAGAAAATACCCCATCATCCTACGTCCCCTCCTCTTCCCGTTTGCCACATATTTCTTTCTCCCCTAACTTCTTCCACCTCTCCATAACCCATCTCTTTTTATTCTCAAGCCAAGAAAAAACTGATCCAACGTGAGACCTGCAAGGATTAACCTTCAGAAACTACCTATCAGTAAATGTCCAATCTCCGTAAACTTGTATAAATTAAACCATTAATAAGTACAGGATTTACAAATAAATTCCTTGGTTACAAAGGCTCGATAATACGGCTCCACATTTAGTATTGAAAATTAAATAAAATTCAAGGTGGTATCGATAAACGGGTATGTTTAAAGCCATGCGACGCTGTAAGGGGTTTACATCTCCTCGGTTAGATAACCTAGAAAACTTGAGGAAGTAAATTAATTAGAAAAAGTAATTTCATTAGATTTTAGAGAAACCAAGTGGTTACGGTTTATGCCGCGCATTCCTCTCGGTGGGATAAGACGCTTCCCGGATTTCCGGATTTAAAAGGAGCCGCAGAGACTAGCCGGACCTATTCGATCGCATTTAAGCGAATTGGCGGTGGCTGGGGCAGAGGGTGTCCCGAGGATCTGGCAAGTCCTGGAAGGACCTCCGCGACGCCTTAACGGGTGGATGCGTCCGCAAGAAGATGGTCCGTCGAGTAGACATGCGCGTCCCATTGCGGGCCAGCCCGGCGCACTAATTTGTCCTTTGAGAACGCGGATCCTCTCGTAAAGGGATTTGGGAAGGCTGCACCACCTCGAACTTAGGCTCGTTTATAGACGACGTGTCCGCACCTAGCTGTTACGTTTCCATCGCGGGCTAAATTTATGGCCGGCATTCATAAATGCCGGTCTCGGGGCTCCCCAGGCATTCATATTCTAACAGGGGCGAGTGGGTCGCAAACTCTGCGAGCTTTAAAGCTGCTTATGTCACCGTATTTTGTACTGGGTGTGCGCCAGGGTTCTTAGGTCTCCGTTTCTCCCCTTTTCTTTTATCATAATTGCGCCCGGAAACGTCACAGGGTCACAAACGCCCCCGCGAATCCGCGGCCTCGGAAACGCGGCGATTATTATGCAATTATTTCCAAAATTGGATTTTGGAACTGACTGATTGACACGAGAGTCTAACTTCCAATGCTCTTGATCAGACTCCGGTTTTTATTTATTTCTCAAGCGCTAAACCCATATTTATATTCTCTCACCACGTCTGTCATTTATTTAACGATTAGACATTTTTTCATGACATCGTGGAGGCTTGGTAACCTTTGATAAAGACGTACTCTATGTTAGGAATTTGCCCCCGAGCTCATGGAACGACCCAATATGTATGCACGTGGAAGAGTAATCGAACTCCGGTAAGCAATAACAAGGTCAATACTCACTGAGGCTCGCACTTGATGTAATGCTCCGGGCCATCGGAGCCGCAATGGCCGCTTATGGAGCCCTTGGAGTTGAATCTCTCGAAGCACAGCTTATCAGCAGCCACCCCTCCGTAGCCCCAGACCTGCTCGCATTGCAGGTCCAGGGCGGGGCAGCCGCCGTTGAAGCAGAACCCGGAGTCGTTGGAGCAGGGGCTGCCGTTCTTCTTGTGCACGTCTGCAGGACATTGGCCGTTCTCCCCGTTGCACATCTCCGGCAGGTCGCACTCGTTCGTCGAGTCGCGACAAATCACCCCGCGTGCCCGCAACTAGGCGACACAACCATTTTTGTTTCCCTCCTTTTTCTGCATTCTACTTCCTCGAGTCGGGGGACACTGGGGTGGACAGCGGGTGAAATTAACGCGCACAGGGTGCGAGACAAAAAGATGCTCGAGAGTCCTTTTCTTAGTTTCCGTCCCAACTTTCAGTCCAGGAGGAATTTTTCGCTTAACTTTGTCGTCCGTTGACGACGGAACTAACTTTGTCGTTTGGGGTAGGAGCGATTCCAGTATCGGTTATCGAAATTAATAAAATATTACCGGGCGCGTGGTAGAATCAGTGGAGATAATGTTCAGCTCAAGATCAAGACTGAATTTTCTGGGATTTTCATTCAGAGATTTGAAGTCTGGGCTCGAGATAATGTCGGCCAGTGGAGCCTCCGGATTCAAGATGGCCGCCAAGAGTTTCGATATTCTCTGCACATTTAACGGACGCGAGTCCACTGAATCGCCCCGAAGTGTCTTTACTAATTTCTCGATAGAGTATCTCAACTTCGCAGGCCCCCTGGCTGAATCTATCACTATTGCAGACGGAGCTGGAGAAAGTCAGCAAGTCCGGCGCCCTTGGCGGCGGCGAAGACCCGAGGCCGCCATTTTGATACTCCGTCCACTCCTTCTATTAGTTCCCGCGGAAACGGCGAATCGAAATCCACTTCGCCGATGAAAAGGCGTGCGTTAACCGAGTTTACTGACAACGAGGGGTAACAATACGGCCGGAATTGATGATACTTTCGCTACTTTAGATTTCTCGGGCACAATGGGCCGGCGATTCGGCAGCCAAAGGGGCCGAGGTCGAGTGGACGTTGAATTCGTGCGATCAGCTTTCTGGTCGGAGAATCGCGAACGGGATGCAAGTTGGCAATTGTCAATTCGCCAGCAGCGGTCGGATTAATTCGTAATTAATTCGTTAGGTGGCCCCGAGATTCCCGAATTGGCCGTCCCCGGAGATAGGGTCGGCCAATCGGAAACGGCGGATCCCGGTGCAAGAGGAAGTTTCTGGGGCTAAGACGCCACCTGGATGTCTAGAGGTAGGCAAACAATTGTTCTGGACTGGTGAGTTCGACTGCGGATGCACTTGCAACGAACTTACCTTGCAGTTGTTGCAGCATGGCCCCGTGGCGCATTCGGCTTCCGTGGTGAGCTTGCACGTTATGGGGTCGCAACACGGGTCATAGTTGTGGCATTCTTCTATAGTGCCGCAGTCGCATTGCTCCCCGTCATCGATTACCCTGTTACCGCATGACCTCCTCACTTCTAGCTGTTGGGCAAAGAAGAACAAAAAAAATAGTGGGTCACATTCGTTAAAAGATTTCATCCATGAGGCGTTTCCAGACAATTACCACGAAATGACGTCCACTTTTATCAATCACATGTTATTAGCAACTACTAAGTTGTAGCGGTCGATACTTAGAAAACGCAATTGTTTTTGCACCACCTTAGTACACGATCTCAAATTTTAATTGGGAAGAAGGTAAAAGGATTTAAGTTACTCGATATGAAATTACAATTATAACAGTTAAATGAAAACATATCTAAATAATTATTACGGTAATAAGTGATTTGTTTTTATTGGCAGAAAAGGGGAAAGCGGACATCTTTTAGCGATTAGGAGCAAAAAGGGTACTTTTAGCCACGTATTGTTCGAATCCACTGCAGGCAATTTGCGAACCGCAATCTTGGCGGTGCGAAAACGCGAACACCCTGGTGGGAGCATGAACTACCGCGACATAATCTTAAGCACCTTTGTTCCGAACTAACAGTTTGCGCCTAACTCTATTCACAAGGGATATACCAAAAGTGGGGGGTGCAAGAAATAAAAGAACTACTTCCAAACTGCGCCTCGTGTTTCGCCACGACCGAAGTTGCTTAATTCCTCTGCATTAATAAACCGACAAGCCCTGCACACCTTGCGACCCTCCTTACCTCGCTTACTACTAATTTGCAAGTAAACCGACAGATTTTAATTACCCTCGTTTTCATACAGTTTATCACATTTTAGTGAGTAACGATACCAAAGTCCGAGAGAACAAGACAATAGTAATCAGCCCGAAAGACTCGACACTAAGATCCATTTTTAAATCCACGGATATCATTTTTTTTTTTTAATCTTTTCGCTAAATCGGTTCATCAAGACTCCGGGAGGAAAGTGCGAAAAGTATACAAATTGTGCATATAGTATCATCAATTTCTAAAACATAATGCGTATCGATAGTACGAGAAAGTGGGTAGAAATACGAAAAAACGTGAATATTACGGACAAAATAGTGACACATCGACAATTGCATGTTTATTATTTTAGTAGCGTGTCGCATATGGGGCGATTATAGTCGTCCGTCGTATATTAATGGCATTTGGATATAAGTAAGTTTAATTAATCCGGAAGGCTCGATCGGTTTTTGGGAGGTTTCCTTCGCGGTTTCGGAGTTCAAGGTGGAGTTCACCCTGAAAAGCTGGACCAGGGGAAATTTATCGAGCTCCGGCGACACCATCGTCTGGCATTTAGACAATCACACGGTACACCGAAGTTGGGTCACTCACCTCGTTTGGCTTGTTCAACAAGCAGATTCCTTGTCCGCTCTTGAGTAAGTCGATGTAATCCGATCTACTGCATTCGGAGAACTTGTACGGCTGAATGTTGTCCTGGCCGACGATTGATTGGCGCATTATGCAGCCGTGCCAATCGCGACAGGAGCAGTCGTCCCCTGGGATTAAAAAGGATCCATTTTGGGCCGGTTCGATCACGAGGAAATGACCCCAGGGAGGCGACCTCGGCGCCTCCACCCGCGAAGGAGAGCCCGGGAAATTTACGGGCGATACGCGGAGACCGGGGCCCCCGTAACTTCCCGGCACTTCAACTTGTAATTTAATCATTTCACCCTTTAATTTAACGTAAGAACGGCCGCGCACTCCAACTAATTCGAGCAAAACACGAAGTCTCCTGAGCCGCGGCCCAGAACTCGCGGGAGTTCCTTTCCTTCCTTCCAGGAGTTAGGGGATTCGACGGAGTCCTTAATAGACGGGGTAAGGAAAGAAATTCACCTCCGCGAGAGATGCACTTCCTGGTGGGATTTAGAGCTTAATAACGGGCAAAGTTCGTTTAAGGGGGCTCTCTCTCTCTCTACGTTTCTATCTACGGATAATAAATCAATCCACCGACTTTCTGAAAAGAAAAGACTAATCCGATTAAGGATGTTTGCCATTTCCATAACGCGTGCGAGAAGATGAATTTTTGTTTGAGATTAATTTCTTTTTTCTGACGTACTTCCTGCTCGAGATTTAAGCTCGAAGTCGGGGAACTGTTAGCAGATCGAGTAATACTTTTTTTTTTAGTATGGAAGGGTAGTTCATTTTGAAGAGTGAAATGGGAGCTTACTTTCGTCATCATGCCTCATGCCGATGTTGTGTCCTATCATGTGAGCCATGGTGCCGGCTAAGAGGTGGGGCTCGTAGGTGTTTATGTCGACACTGATGCCTACGGAGCGTTGACTGCACACTGTATTTGGCACTGCCATGCCCAATTCACCCCCATCGAAGACTTCCCCTCTGTGGAAAAATCAAAAATCGAATATTCACTATAGATCTACCGAACATGAAAATGGCCGTGAACTTCGGGAAGCCGGGAATAATTTCTTCCTCGGAAATTTCGAACCGAAAACCACCCCAAGTCCCGATTTCCCCAAATATCGGTTTTACTCTGTAAAAGAGAAAATATAAACAATTAAAAAGAATTATTTACGTTATACCGTAATAGGTTTTTAAATTTGTCAGGGGATGACTGGGGGGTGATAGAACCCCTCCCTTCCTGCCCCGGTTCCCTAATTTCCAAGATGTCCGGCATCATGGGGTGGCGCCCCTTTGCGGCATTTCACCCTAACGTCGTTAAAGAAGTCTCGGCAAAAAAATTCAAGACACTGGAGAATGTAAATAGCGTCAGATAATCTCATTAAAAATCATCTCGAGCAACAATGCCCCACTCTCCCTCGAAAAGCATCAAAGGTATTCTACTCGAGCTCACCCTTCATCGCCCTAACGATTCACACCCCAACGCACGCGTCCACATTGTCCAAGCTACAACACCAGCCGTTGCGCCTCGATTATGCCCCGCAAACGTCAAAGACCAAAATGTCCCCGTTAAGGCTCAACGTGCGCTCCGTTATCCCTGCAGAAGGGGGTAAACACGCGAAACGTGCATCGCGTACCGATATATCGCGGGTACTCGTTCGAAGGGTGCATCGGGTGCAACGGGTGCACCCCTCGTTCCGGGCTGCGTGTTCCGCATCTCTGGTTGCACGTACATCCGAATGCACGCGCAAGGGACGTCCCAGATTGGGGTGATAAGGGGTGATAGGGGAACGCGAGGGGGTGCGACCCTCGCGCCTCGGCTCGATGCACTCGAACGAGATCACCGGTTTTTAAGCGGCGAGGCGGTCCTCTCAAGAAGTCAAATGTCATCCCATTTGTCAAGCCCTCGACTGCGCCGACTGGCATGATCGCGGGTCCCTTTTCTCTTCCGCCGCGAAAGCGGAAGCCCTGGCATGAGTGCCCTGAAGAGGGCCTCCTTGGGCCTCTCAGGAGCTTTTCTCGCTCGGGCACAAAAGCGGACTCCTCGCCGCGCCGTTTGATTCTCCTTTCCCTTTTCCGCCTCCTTTTCTCCCGGCTCTTTTCTTTGGCAGCGCCGAATTGATTCGGGCAATCGGAGCGCTACGGGGGTGCTCCACCCCGTCCGAAAGCCCCCACTAGGTGGGCCGCGTTTCTCCAGGGGAGGTCCCAAGTGTCATTTCCGTTGGGTAAATCGGAGCAAGAACCCGCCGTGACGTATAGAAATCGCCGACTGAGCTTCGCGCCAAGAACAGAGCGACCGACTCGGCGACCGGGGTTCTTTTCGCGCGCCCGAGAAAGCTAGTGGCTCGTCATGTCGCTTGATTCTCTTCGTTTTACCCTCCTGCTGGAGGACTCTCCCTCTCTCTCGAGAGAGAGAAGCGTTCCACCCCACGGGTTAAAAACCGCCGTTCATTCCGCGGGGAAAGTCGAAGCGTTTATTTTGGCCGGTCTCCCCGTTAAGCTCGGCGATTCGCTCGCGTTCAACCGCTCCTAAAAACGCGCTTGTTTCAGCCGAAGAATTCAGGTTATGCTCGCTTCCTCCATCTGGGTAAACGGGAGGGGTTGGGCGTTAACGTGCGTCGCGGCACGTGCCAAAGGATATGGAAAGGGGGCGGCTGAGTTTTGCGCCAAGTACGTGCGGCCCGCGGCGGGGCTCTCGAGCTCGCCGGGGAATAAAGAGATGGCTTTCCGTCGCCGAGGATTCCGAAAGGTCGCCCCCGAGTTGGACACCTGCTGAATCGTCTTTTGAGATTAAGAATGCACGCGACGTAGAATACCGGGTCAATCTGCGTTGCATCTAAACACGGCCGTGTCGCGTTCGAACGAATTATGGGGGAGGTTCCGCTATGCATTCCAGGTTTAGGGTGCTCCCCTCTCTTGATTATCCCTGGGATAACACCCAATTCCACCTAATACTTCGGGATCATCGAGGATCCGGGGCCTTCGCCACGTGGCGTTAATTGAGGCGTAAGAGCCGGAAAAATAAAGGGAAATTCAATTTCATCCCTCTCCTAGATGACAATACGCTTATAATTTATTCTCATCATTCGACACATCATTCGCGATATTGTGTAGACACTTTATGTAGGGGTAGATCTTCGTTGGGTTAAATTCCACCCTTGAAAGAGGCTTCCCGAAAGAGGCCTGAAAATGGCAGTGGGGTGTTTCGATTCCTAATCGAGTTTGCCACCCTCCCCTTTGATTATCCTCGAAATAACACCCTCTCCAGCTAAATACTTCGGTGTAGCAGAGGGCGCAATGAGCGTCTTCGCGTCGCGTTAATTGGTGCAGGGCGTGGAGGGCATGGGGCCCGGAACGGGGCACGGGGTGGAGGGACAGGGGGGCGATGGGGCGCGAAGGGAGGGCGGTCGAGGAGGAAGCGGCGAAAGCCAGGAGAGGAGCGAGAGAAGAATGGGGTGCCAAGTGCACTCCGAATCCGTTCAATTGGCAGCGAGGGAAACGACGAAGGGTAGCGGAAGGCAAGGGTGGCCCCTGCGCCAGGGCCGCACGAGAGGTTACACTCGCAACCCCCGACGCACAAAGGCCCGGCCCGTCGTCGACGGGGCGTCGGGGCGCCGGGGACCACCCCTCGAAGACGCTCAACCTCTGGCGCCCTTTTCTCCGACAATTTATCGACAATTGTTGTTCGGCCCCCGAGGGCTCCCGAGGGAAAAAACCGAGGGCTTGATAGTTTAAGAAATTCACGAAGAGACGGAAGCTTCCATGCTTCCCGGTTTTTCGGGATTTCTCGGATTTTCTCGGATTTTCGAAGAGGGAGATCGCTTATCTGCGTCGGTTTTACCTTTTTCTCGTGAAGATTTTGGACATTGGACATTATTTGGATATCGCGATGGTGGAAAAGAAATTTCAAAGTTAAAGAATATTTTTGGATGTTAGTAATTGTTCCTATGTGTTTTTTTTTACAAAGTAGCCATACACTTTCAGGACCATCCCTTGAAGACGCTCAACCGCTAGCGCTCTTTTCTCCGAGGTGGTTTTTCGGTTTTTCGAAGCGAAAGATCGTTTATTTATATCAGTTTCACCCCTTTGTCGTGGAGATGGGGGATTTGGGGGATGAATGATTCTTCGGATCCGGCGGTGTCGGGGAAAGCAGGTTGTTGGGCGATGAGATGGAAAAGCGTTCCGCGGCGAGGGGTTGAGGGTGGAATTTTGGAAAGTACTTTAATTTGCGGTTCACCGGAGGATAGGGGTCTTGGGTAAACTTGGGGTACCTTGAACGATAAGTTACTCCTGTCTTTATGAAAATGCTTGGAAGGTTCATCCAAGTAAAAAATTGATCGACATCAAACACCTGAAAATACTCTAAGAGAAACTACCCCACGGCGTTGAAAGTGAAGCTCCTAAGTCAATGAGAATTTCTAGATCTCATAAATTATTTTCCTTCATTTACGAAACGTAAATAGGTTTCGTAAATGAAGACCGCGTAAAGACGCGTACGATGTCGGTCGTCGGGGACACGTACCCAATCAAAGTGGAGTACCCATCAAAGAATAATTAACTGTCAAACAAAACTAATAAACGTTCCGCCTCTCGATACGCTTTCTCTTAACACGCGAGCTTTCACCACCTGAACATAAGAGGTTTCCCTTGGAAAACCAAATTGAACCCTTAAGGTCGAAAAGGATCTGAAACCGATTCCCGGTTCAAAGAGCCCGTTTTACCGGCATCCGTCCCGGGGCCAATTCCCTTAACGCGTGTACACCGACCCCCAATTTCAACAAATAACCGAACTAATTAAACCCCCGTCTCCATTCCAGCCCGGGTCCACAATGCCACCCTCCCCCCTTTGGAAGCTGAACATTCCAAGAACCCGCAGCCCTTTCCAACTTTCCCCAACCCCTTCCTCGAAGACGCGTTCCCTCTTGCGGGTTGTCGCAGCTACTTATTCCCAGAGATTCCATCTAGGGAGCACAACCCCGAGAATTCGAGCCGGGAAATGAACTAAAATCTGCACATCCGGGTTCGGTTAAATTCGGCGGGCACTCGGGCTCCCTCCGGCTGGGAGGAGCACCCTCCACGAGGAGCGTTCGGTGGAGGCTCTCTTTGAGGGTCGCAACTCGAGGGATGCTTTCGCAAAAGTTCCCCTGTCTCCTTGGAGGCTCTCGCGGAATATCTGGCTCGCGTCTCCCCTCGGGCAACCCCCGTCGCCGAGTTTTCCGATTTCGCGGTGCACGGGTGCGCTCTTGGGCCCGACCCCCCAGGGCGCCGCGGACCCCTTATCGCTCTCTCCCTGGAACCCCACTTACGTGAGCAACTGGGTGGTGTCCTGGGTCATCTGGTACATTTGTCTCATGATGTAGTCGTTGAAGTTCCGCAGAGCGCGGCTGATGTCCATGTTTCTTGTGATATCCGCCTGGTTCGTGCCCTGCCACGTCTCGATGTACACCACCGACACCCTCGTATTTAACGTGCGGAAGTACTGAGGAAATTATGCTCGATTGATTATGCGTGCCCTAATTGGGTCGCAATGTCATCGTAATTACCTCGCGAAGTGCAATTATATGTCGTGGGTATAGAGGGAATTAATAAATTATATTAACGAGGACGGGGACCTTGGGTGCCCGAGATTTTTCGTCTTTCTGCCATCGAACAAATTCCAAAATTATTTTCTACCTATAGTAGGAAATGCCCGTTAAATCAAAAATAAAGTATAATAATTGCAATTGTCGAGTTGAGGGAATACTTCGAAGGAAGGGAAAAGGAAGAAAGAGAAGCTTCGAAAGTGGGTAGGGTACTGTGGAATATTTTGACACGTTATACGCGGATTTGGTGTGGAATATGCGCAATTAAAAGATCTTTGAGAGAGGAGCGAATTATTTATGAATGATATTTATTGATGGATCCAAAACTAACCGAATCTGCTATGTTTGCGATTTGGATGGCATCGTGGACGATCTCTGCTCTGCTGCTGCCGTTCCTCTTGTCGAACTGTTATAGGCAAAGCAAATTACTTCGTTAAGAACTGACGGATTATACAATGCATGCAAATAGCAAATGTCCAACGATTCTGAATTCGTAATATCTGCAGAACAATACAGGGCTATCCGCAATTCGGGGTATTTTACATATCCAGGCTTCCTAGTCGCCCCCTAAGTGTGACAAACTGCCCCTTTAAAGCGAACCACCCGAACACCTCCCTTGATTTCGCATTTCTCAAAGAAATATTTCAAAGCCGAATCAAATAGATCTTACGCGATTATCCTACGGCGTCAAAAATTCCCCGAAAAAATCTGAGAAATATTTCCAAAATTTCAGTATGAAATTTCTTAACGTTTTAGAAAGAAGCTTGAGTACGTATGCTTTACTAGGTTCAGAATTTCGGGTTTCTGTCGATAAAATTGAATTTAAGAAAATCTTACGTGATTATCTTATTACGTTAAATATTCGCAGGAAAGAATCTGGGAAATATTTGTCTTAAATTTCGGTATGAAATTTCTTTACGTTTCAGAAGGAAGCCTGAGTATGTATGCGTTGCTCGGTTGAGAATTTCGGGTTTCTGTTGATTCTAAGAGAGGGTTCGGATCGACCGTAAGATTCGATCGGACGCGGAGAATAATAGGCATCGATCTGATCGCGAGCCGAGGACTCGGCGAAAGGGTGCATCGATTGTTCTTGCAGATTGTAGGGTCTACGTTCGTTCACCCTTGGACCGACCGATAGGGGGTAAGAGAAGGTGTAAGTACCATGGCCTTGTCGATGACGATGGCAGTTTCGATGTATTTGGTCGCGTCGCGAACGTCTCTCTTGTATCGGCCGGAAGTGCCTTCCGATAGTCCCAGAACATGCTTCTGCTGTCGGTTTTTCGAATGATACTCCAAATTCCCCGTGTTAGCGCAGCCTTTGTTAGCCTTTGATCGAGCCTCAAATATAACGTGAGGATGTTTCTGCTAAAGAAGAGGTCTGCATATAGTTCGTATTCACTGATCGCCTTGAGCAGGCAAAGGGATTCTCTCCTGTCACTCGAGTTCATCCCTTGTGATCCGACTAGGTACAATTTTTCTCCTTTGCCCCGTTTTTAATGGGGCACTACTCTATAACTTGTGGGAAGTATTGATTTTCGGATAACGAATATATTTTTTTTTTTCATTTTTTTAACTGCTTTACTACCGTTTCAGCGTGCAAGTGGATTCGCCCTCTCGTTTCACGGATCTTACTACTTGAAAAATCTGTAAAATTTTACTGTCTCCTATCTTATATTTTTGCTGAGAAAAATTATACACCTTAGGAGAAGTACCGAATTATAAGAAGAGATTCTTTTGAATATTTATAAATAATCTCCGCTGGGTTTCTGCATGCAATGATTTGGTTCGCACTGTCGCAATTTGGGCCTCGTTCCTCGCGGCAATTTTTTCTATTTTTTTCCTTCGTCACATCTTTTTATAAATTGTAATCACAGGATAAATTTATAAGCGTAGGAAGGAAAGCGAACTCCACAGTTAATATATTTCTTCATTCGGTAAATAAGATTCAATGAGATATTCGTTGCAATCTCGTTACCTCATTGAACGCGGAAATGATTTACGGCTTTTTTAACGGGATTACGATGAGATCCAAAGTATTCCCGTTCCGTTAAAAATTGGAACGAACCGTGATATATGGGACGTAAAACATTTCCTGAAATTTATCGCATGTTCACGGTACGTTTATTGTACGGATAATAGATCCATTATACGCCTAAGTCGTACTTATGGTTGCGTACAATGTACCGGATATCGAACTGACATTTATCGGCTTTTTCAAGCGCCTAGCCTCGTTGTAAAACGTTTATTATATTATCTGCGTTACTTGAGTTATTGCGGGCTTTATAGAGCAATACCGCTTTCCTAGAAATTGTCACAATAAAAGTAAGCGCCGTTTCTAGCAAATGCATCGCTGCAGAAAGCATCGTTCCTAGCGAATGCATCGCCGCGGAACGTTGCAACGATCATACCGTAGGAAATTATTATTGCCGCAAGCAAAACGTGCAAAAATGCTTTCGCCCTCTCGTATAAAACTCCCAGCGAATGGCGACCCTTCTCCCTAACTGCAGATTTTTCCACCGCTTGATATTTATTCCATTTAAAAAATTAATTCGAAGCCCATCTCGGATTTCCATCGACCATCTCCCGACATTTCCCGGCATTTTCCCAGCGCACGATGTTTGCCCGACTCTAAAATAACTCATCAGCTCTTAATTACTTTCCTTTCCTAATTCCCGTTAAAATAACACATTTCTCAGTTACGCGGTATTTATTCATTTTCAAAATCTCCACAGACCACAATTGCGACAGTACTCTCCATCCTTGCAAGAAGTAACGCTTTACGTAACCGATGGGCGATTTTACGTAACGAAACGTAACTTTACGTAAGCAAAGTTGAAGTTTTGGCTTCTTTCTCGAGGCCGTTCGTTCTAAAGCGAATAAAAGTGGAATAATTAAGGGTGAAACGAAACTGACCGACAGATCCCCTCCGTAGAACGGCTGGATGACAAACGTCTCGTTGCCTAAGTGTATGACGCCGCTGACGCCGTTACACGTATGAAAGGCAGCAATGGCGCCGGGATAGTCTTTCACCGTGCCGTGGTAATAGCAGTGCTCTATTTCCTGCAACGTGCAATTAACGAGATTTCACCTAACCTCGTAACGCCGCGTACAGCCCCGAGTTTAACCCACTACCGAATAAGCTAAGGCGGTGAATTAGTGCTACTCGAATTAGGAAATACAGCTGACCGACTGCTGTAAGAGTTGCCGGATGTACGACCGCCCAGCTGACGCGCTACATCTTCGACATGGACGCGACATTTTTATTCTTTATTTATTTTTCCAGAGAAAAAGTTAAACGATTAAAATTTAGAAGACTAGAGCGAGTAATGAAAGCGACACTGAATGATATACAGCGATGTAAATGACGTTAATAAATATGTATCATGAGATGAAAGTAGAAATGACGGAGGGAGTTTGATACTTATTTTTTAAATTCTGATAAAAGAAGTCGACGAAGAGTAAGTAATGTTTATTTCCCGTCTCAATTACGCGTCCATGATTTAGCGGATGCTGCGCGTTCGTTGGACCGAACACGGCATGGATGACTTTTATTTTGGAAAAAGGATTGAAGTACCGGTGTATACTGTACGATACGAAACTGTAACCATTGTTTACTCTGTCCATTATACCTGTTTCGAAAATTGCTGCGCCCCGCTGGCTAAATAGTCTTTTTGACTCAGATTCGGAGCTAAAAGTTGCCTGAAACAATACCACATGTATTTTACTGATATTCACCGATTTGACGGCACTTACTCGTCTGCAGTTTACGTGTAAGAGTGCGCTATCGCCTCCTATCGCGTCGTGTGACAATTAATAACAGTGCAGTTGTAAAAAGTAAAGGCAAAGCCATGCTGGACCCTCTGAGAAAACGTTCCGTGGCATAATAAAGAGAGATAATTCACCCTTTGACGTTACGAAATCATTTTAACTGTACCTAATTATCCAGGAAATGTAATTTAAAATGGAGGGAGATAATGTTATCGCTTGGCTCATCGTTGGCCGAGACTTTTGATTTCCGAAATGGCGGAATTAAGGCCGAATCCACATATGTAGGGTCGTGCCTGGAGCACCTATGTAGAAGCCAAGAGAGCTCGTCTTGTCGCAAGGGGCAAACGCAATTAGGCGGGTACACAGGAATAATCACTGTCAGGCCCTGGGAAATTACCGTGCCGTCGATTTGCGCGGATTACGCATTTCGGTTTTCCGATATCTCACTCCGGCCCTCCTGAAATTCCATTTCCTGCAACTTCGTTACGCCGAGGAGGGAAGAGGAGGTGATAGATCGTTCTTCGGCAGCGCGAATGTCCCCGGCATTCAGAGTTGCTTTTGTGCCCTTCGAATCGATCGGCTCTCTACCCTATTTTGCTTTCGCGCAATTCCGGAATCCTGTCCTCGTCCTGTCCGCCCGAAATAAGACATCGCTGACCCGTCCACTATTAAATTCGCCCGGGTCAAATCCACCCTCCGTTTTCGCCGCTTCGTCGCGATTTCATCGATCTGGAATTCCATCCGAGTCCTTTCTCACAGCCAAACGATCTTTCAAATATTCTTCCCAATACTCCCATAATATACTCAACGTAGAAAAATTGAAACCATCTTTTTTTCTTTTTTTTCTACGAGTCTTTCATATACAAAAAATTAAAACCTAATATCCAAATTGAGAAATTACCGAATTATCCGCGTTCGATAATATAATCGATATCTCGAAATTTTACAAGTTTCACTTTTATTTTTCACGGCCCTTTTATCATTTTTACACTTTTTTCTGTGGATTTATTGCCGTTCAAGAAATCGTCTGCTTTCGTTCGGGTGTTTGAATAAAAATTCCTCCTCGGATATTCAAACGAAATAAGGCGCCCTTTATGTTCTCCACTAAACGTCTGCCATAAAATGCGTGCTTTTGTGTCCCCGAATCGATCCACCCCCATTTTGCTTTCACGTAATTCCGGAATTCTGTCCCAGTCCCGTCCAAACGAAATAAGACATCGTTGACCCATCCGTTATTAAATTCAGTCGGATGTGAGCCGACTGGTTCAGATATCGACTCGCGATTTCAGCCCCTTTCATTCCTGCCAATCGAATCTCTCTCTTTTGTATACAAAAAAGAAAATGGAGAGCAATCAAATATCGTGCTCCGGCTTTGCCGAAATTTTAGGTCCTCCGAAACCAAGTCACCAACCGGTCACCCCGTTATTAAATTCGATTGCAAACAATTCCTCCAAGTTAAACAAAATGAGACAACGCAGCTTCGCGCTGGGAAATTCAATTTCGAATGAGCTGAACGAAGTTTCCTTTTTATATCGCTCCATTTACCTTCCGTCCCGAATTATGGCACGGAACGTTATTTTCTCATAATCGATCGCGCAAATGAAAAACAGCATCGTGGACTACGAATCTAAATTGCGAAAGAAATAAATAGTAAAAGTCGTAAAAACAATCTCTCTCTATCCGAGGAACAAAATTAAATCTACTCGATATCGACTCCACGGTTTAATTATATCATTTCGATTCCTCGTCTGAGTGAGGAATTCTCAATAATAATGAAAACATTATTGTTCACATGCTACCAAGAGTTTGTAAATATTTGTTTTCGGAACTGACGAGAAGTGAACTCTTAACGCTGACGTAAAGCTGACTTACGTATTTAGTTCTAGATCTAGACGAAATTTATGATTGAAGGCCTTGACGAGTATGGACGTTCGATGAAAGTGTTTCCCTGTCTGTAATTAGGAAAACAGTATTCGATGATTAATTAAGGGAAATACGTAGTTTGCGACGAGGTACATGGTCCGAAGAGGGGGGAATATTTATCGGGAAACGCTCGAAAACGCTTGAAACGTCTCTAAAATGTCCGAAATGTCGCGAGTCGACGTGCGGTTTGAGGGGAAATATGCATATATGCGCGGACGACATCAAAGCTCTTTTGCCCGGCAATAAGCTAGGTCAGTTTTGCATGCAGACTTACTCGTGATCTTCCTCTCGAATTTTGATAGTTCCCCTCTCCATAGCCGGCCCTTTGAGGATACTGAAAGCATCATTTTCAAATATTATTAAAAACTCTCAATCGAAATAACATTCGCAACGTAAAGTTGACATCGTTAAAATAAAGTACACCGTAGACAAAGTACAGATTGGCTATAAAAATAACAACGTCAAATGCAACAAAAAAAAAAATCAATTTTCATATTTATATTTAGAGGTTCTTCAATATTTGTAAATTTATTCAACATACTATTATATACAATGCTCAGTTTTTAACTTAACAGGCAGAATGTCCTAAGAAATTAAATCAAGGCAATTTTAGATCCATTGCAGAGCGAAGAATTATTAATATTTGTGTCGACAGTGTCCAGTGTTACTAGGACTTTTCTAGTCGTAATGGATGACTGCAAGATTCCTTACGTCTCTAAATATGACTAGTAATGAGCTTCGGACAATTAGGCGAAACCTCCTGTCTTTCACGCCACCGAGTTCGGCACCAATTGCGAGGGGGAATAATTTAATTACGCGCCGACAAACAGCCGAAACTCGACGATCTAATTTTACCAGTTTCTTCGTCGTGTAATGCAATCTGCATGGTCACCACCGTCGGGATCGTAATATGGCCGAATACCGGCTATAAACCGACAGAGGCGTGAAATATGTCCTCGACAAGAAACGCGACCTACCCTCCGAGTTGGCAGCAAGTAACGAATCGCAATGCGAGATGCATTCCGGTATCGCGAGATGGTATCGCGTGATAGTATCGCGAGAGTAAGATGTACCGACTCTCGTCGCCTCGCTTAGTGCCAATTTCGAGAACGACGCACTTAGTCATGCCAACGACTCTAACGTGAAGAATGGGCCACAATTCAGGAGAGAACGTTACCAAGAAAATACTGGCGTTCGACAATTGAAATCCCGGTATTGCAGAGAAAAATTCACTAAACAGAGAATTAACGGCAAAACGTAAGGAATGGGTCAGGAAGGAAAGAAAATTTGTATTGCTCAGAAAAATTCCCTACAATTGAAGATAAACCTTTCGGAAGCGTCAAAAACTGGCGTTCAATGATTACAATTGCTTACAGCGTCGGTCTGGATTTTATTCCGGATTTTTCTTCTCTATACATAATAAATGAGTGGCGAAAGTGTATAGTGGATTTACTGCTTAAAATGTTGCATTTCAGTGGAATTAAAAAAAGATGTATTTAACGAATTATATCGGTTGACTGTAACGTTCGTTTCTTAAAGAGAAACATTTTTCAAGTTATTTTATATCGTGGGGAGTTATTATCATTTAGTGGAGATAATGGATATTTCAATTTGCGATTGATACGCGAGGGTAATTGAGGATTTTTTCGTGAATTTGGAGGAGAACGGAGACGTTTATCAAACTTCTGGCTTGTTAATCCGGGCACTTCTCGAAATCAATCGGCTTCTTTTCGCGAATCTCCACCCCTCCGACGAACCGTGTCTAATTGTACAAGGGAGGCAAGATGGCGGATGCCGGTCACGAAGCACTCCCGATTTACGAAAGCGCATCACGCGCGAAAAATCATCTCGTTAGGTTCGCGCGTCCCTTTGGGAAGCCGTGCGAGTTTTCCGAAAGCGTTATCGGCCTTTCGAGAGAACAGTTTCCCCCCTAAGTGGCGGCGATTTCGATCTTTTTCGCAACTTTTTCTCGAGGAGTTTCTAACGGCGCGAAAGTCTCGCCGTGGGCGCCATCTTGGAAAGAAAGAAGTTCTCTAAAATACGACAGAAACATGATAAACATTGATATCCTCTATATCCAAAGAGACTGAATCCTAAGAGTATTAATTAAAGCCATGATTTTCTTCGACGTAGTGCTTTCGAAACCATTTTTCAACAATTTGGCGGTTGGGAAAGGGAGTGCACAAGAGTAAGCGATTTTCAATTTTTTTCGGGAGTAAAAAGGGAGCGAAAATGGCCCGTTTTGTCCCCCTTCGACGGCCAAGAGTTCCCTGAAGCGCGCTCTGACATTCGGGGATCATTTTTCTCGTGGTTTCGCGACGAAAAGCCCCGTTTCGAAAAGTATTTCGTGATCGCGGAGCCGCCGCGCGTGCCACTCGCGGCAGAGAGAGGTACTACGGGCCGTGCAAGACAGGTTTTCATTTTTTTCTTTCGCTTCTCCTTTTTTCCCTCAACTCCCGGGGATCATGAAGGGCTCATTGTCTTCTCTGCCGAGCTCGTGAGTTTCCTGAAATACCACTTTGTTTTCGAAAACAACAGTGCACGCGCGTTGACTTCTCCTTTTGTCGGCGGGTTGCCGGTTCCAACTTCATTCGAGAGGTGTTCCGATATCGAAGGGAATTGTGCGGCGAGCTCACCTGGTAAAAAGTCAGTTTCGAACCCTCTTAATCACAATTCCGAGACCTGCACTTTGCGTGCACCCTGCATGGTTTTCTACGAGATTTACGTCAGCGGAAACTTCCTCTCGTTTGCCTTCATCTCCGGCCCTCTGGCAGCCTCGATTCCACGGAAACACTGATACCCCTTTTATGGAGGAATTTTATCAGGCAGGATGTATGTATATTTACCTCCCCGCCACTCCAAGGAGTCCTCGAGGAAGGCTCCCCGCTAAATAACATCCTTGAGCCTCGATTAATCTTGCCACATTCTCATATTCATCCATATCGCTTCGGTTCCTTCCACCCTTCAACAAGTGATACACGCAGCGATTTCGGAGTCACCACGTCAAATAAATTATAAAAGAAAAATACCAACCTAATAAATCCTACTCGTAAACTCAATTCACGAAATTGCCATGATTTAGGTCCAAAAGCTCTGAAAACCCGTTCAGCTATCTCGCAATATTCTATAAATATTCCCCCTGTCGTGAATTAATTTCGCTTAAAAAAAATGAATATTAAAATATAACGCAGTAATTAATTTTCCCCATTTCCCCGGCACGTCTCTTAACACCCGGGTGATAAAACGGACCACTTATTCGGTCCATATCCTCGCAGCTTTTTATCCCCATACCGTCATGGCCTTCCTCTTGGAATGCCGCCGAAGAGGGCCAAACGAACCTTATTACCCGGAGTTCCATCTCTCTCTCTATTCCTCCGGCTGGCAAAAGGAGTGAGCACGTTTTCATAAGGTCCTCTTTTTTTCGGGCGATCACGCCGCGTGTTCATCGGCCCGTATTCCGGCCGAGTCCTGGTTCCAGGACGAAGAAAAACCGCAGGGCGAGTTCGCAGAGTCAATATTTCCTCTGGCAGGGGTTTCCAGGGCCGCGGTAAAGGCGTGTTTCGAAATCGGAAAACCGCCGGCCTCGGTAGCAGCTCTTCGTTTAAGGGAGAAGCCCGAGTGTGTTTTCAACTCTTCTTCCTGTTTTTCCCTTCTCGCTTCCTCTTTTTTTCTCTCTGTCCTCCAGACCCAAATTTTTATACCTACTTTACCCGCGGCCGGAATGACAACGAAGTGCCTGGACGCAACTTCAAGAAACGTGGAAAAGTCCATTGGCGTTCCTCAAAAGCTTCGAGGTTCGCGCTTCAAGTTTCTTCAACTTTTATGTACACATCAAGGATCGACGATCGGCGAAAGAAGAGCGACTTTCTGTAGGAGGATATTTTGGCCCGGAAAAAAAGTGAAGATATAAAAAAGGATAATATTACATGAAATTGGGATTTTAATATTTCACGTGACATTGCAGGAGTACCGAAAGTAAATATTACATGTTTTACGCACGCATGAAAATATTTCTGACCAGACAATTTATTTCCATATTTTTCTCCACTGCCATGTTTATTAAGTAACGAGATCTATCTTTCAGTGCGGAGATATTTAAACCCTATAAATGAGTAAAGATATTGAATCACCTCACCATTTTGTGTGAAATTAAATATCACGTATTTAAATGTCCGCTTAGTAGGTACGGTGTGAAAATATTTACAGGCAATCAATTTATCTCGATAATTGCCGCCGTTTTAATGTTTGTTAAATGGCGAAATCCACCATTGGGAAAAGCTATCTTGTTTTTGTGGAAAAAGTGCTCCGTCCGTCTCCACGCGAGGAATGGTGGGTGTCCATAAAATCGCGACCCAGTTAAATGGAGTCCAAACCAGTTGGCACGAGTCCGTGTACAACAACATGGTGTGAAACACGCAGGGTAAAATATGATCCTCCATCGCTGCGCAAGCGGTTACACCGAAAGGAGTTTATTAATGAATCTAAATGTACCGGTCAGGTGGGTCGTTGCGTTCGTTTATACACGAGGAATACCCTCTCGCCTGTAAACGGGGTGTATAAATGTTCATATTCACTCCTACGACCATTTTTCAAGCTCTCGGCCACGTTTTTACAGCGTGCTCCACCCCTGCAATTGCTTTCCGATTTTTAGACGCGCGAGAGTATAGAGACTGAAATTGGGAAGGATTTAAAAAAAAAAAACAAGCAAACCGAAGATCCCTTCCCGCTCTCTAGAAATTCAAAGTCACGGAATACTTGATTATAACGAAAATTTACGGATGCACTACTCCAGAGACTTGGAAAATGAAAGAGAACCGAAAAGAAACGGATTAAAAATGCCCGATACGAGCAAACTACCTCGTACGCGATGTTCATAAATTTTAAATTTCATAAACACAAGGAATAATGTGATTATCACGTTACGGCAATATTTAGGATATTTTTTGGAAACCGCGTGAAATTTATTTTGTACATGACCGTGTGGGTGCGTTTAGGGGAGAGAATTTCGGAAAGTGTTTCTTAGCGTGAACAATCGTCTCGGTGCGATGTTAACGGAGGGGGGTATAGAGTGTACAGGATGTACGTAAACGGCCACCCGGTATACGTACATATATATGCGAAGAATCTCTCGAGACAGTGAGTAAACCCTCTTAAAGGTACGAGCGCACTTTACAGCGATGTTTGGAAATTTATCGCCGAAAGTGGGCCGGAAGTATCTCCTCCGGAACCCGAAACGCTCGCGTTAAGATCGAGCGGGGGTGCAGTGCGCGCAATTACGGGATTGAACGATTTTTCAAGGACTTACACGGGGAGTTTTCGCAAAAATTGATGGGCCCGGTTTAATCACTTTAATGGGCGTGCTCAAAAATGAAAAAGCCGAGCTATTTGTCCCCGGTAACGCCGGTAATATGCCTGATCGCGGTGGAAATATTAAAAGGGCGCCGCCGGGAATGTAGCGATCGGGAATTGATCGGTTATCACAGGCCACGCCCGGTAAATATATTTCCAAAGGAAAGGTGCGACTACTTGGAAAAATACCCTGACGCCATGGCGAATGAAATTGAGATGGGATATTTTTGCAAAAAATCGTTGCAAGCATTACCGACTGAAGGAAGGAAATTAAATTAGAAAAAGCGCGTAGTACCTATTTTCTTTTTTTTTTTTTTTTCGGGAAGTATAGCAACGAGTAAAACTGCCTGTAATGAGAGGGGAAATACGGGGAGGAAACGTCTCCTCGTCACCTGATCCTTGTAATCGGACCGACGTAATGAGGCTCATTATCGCCGCCATTCTGGCATAAATGAGAATTAAACGGCCCCAATTAATAAGCACATTACGGAATGATTAAAAGGAATACCTGCCTACTTCACTAAGAATCTCGATTTTTCTCAATTTCGTGCCCTTGGGAATTTTCGTAAGAAAAATCCCACTTGTTATCGCGTTTATGTCAACATTTAATTTTATCGCGTGTTGTGATATTGCCATTAATTCTGATTCTCTTTATTGTTTTTTTTTTTTATTTCGAGACGAGTACAAGTCCAGGTTGATTCGGTGTAAATCGGAGGAAGAAAGGGTGGAAACCGAACCCTCGAAAAATCTTGGAAACAATTTTCCAAAGAAGTCTCGTTATTAATGGAAGAGACGCACGCCGGGTTCGGAACTCCTTTCCGATTTTGAAACTCGATACGCTAACGTGGAAGTCCTCGGCAGAGTAAATATTGTCGTTTGCAAACTTCCCGGGCGGTTCTTTCAGCTCGGCGATAAGAAGTTTCCGTGGAGGGCATCGGGTCCGCGAGCACGCACTGGGGATGTTCGGGGGTGGAAAAGAAACTTCATCCGGTTTCCCCGAGAGCGACGTCGAAATCCCTCTCGCCCCCTTCCGCGTATATCTTAATGCCCGGAGAAAGAAATTAAAGGAGGGCCAACTTCCGGCCGTACCGAGGAACGTAATAAAAATGTACATTTCGCTCGGAGGGCGAATAAACTTCCCTTTAATCAATCTTTTAAATTCGCGTTTTCGGACGGGCAGGAAAAATGTAATCCCCGTCATCTCTCTCTGCAGTGCAGGGGTATCGAGAAAACATTTCCGCGGTGGTGGGGAAATACCGTATTTTTATTTAAATCAATTTTCCTTAAAATTCCTTTTCAATTATCGAGATATGTACTTCACTCTCATACGTTTAGTTATTTAAATGATGAATTAGAGAGAATATCGGCGTAGTGTAAATACGATAACGCGAGGTTATTGGTATTCTATCGAGAATATTTTTCACATCTCTTGAAAACGCCTATTGAAAATTGATAATAAATTTACTACATCTGGAGCGTTTCGAGGGTGACAATAATCCTTCCATTTTGACGTAACAACTGTTTTTCAGTAAATTTTAACGAAGGGAACAGTCGATGTGATCAATTAGCCGAAGTGATCGATTAAATGCGTATCGAATCGAAGATAAATGATTAAAAGAAGAAGGAGCGAGAGGGAGACAGAGAGAGGGAAAGGCAAAACTCCGTTTAGCCAGCAAGTTGGCAGAGTTAAAATGATATATAATACCCATCCAAGGGGTGTCGCGTGGGTTTAACAAGCAAAAATACTTTCAACGAGGTCGCGGTTATAAAGTAATCTGCTCTCAGGGGAGCGCCGGGCGCTATACGAACGCCGATTTACATAAATTAATGAAACGCTCGCGAGCGTATGCGAAATTAAAGACCTCCAGGGGAATTTAATAGGGATACGTTTGTTCGCCGCATATTACCGGCGCGCACTGATAATACAAATAAATAATGAAAGGAAAAAGAAAGGGTCTCGGACCGCTTTAGAAATCCACAATTACATTCGCGCCAGTCGAGGTTGAGGACCTTTGAGGGGACTTAATGGGAACGCGTTTGTTCGGCAGGCCGCCTGTCGTGCAAGGATAACGTGGTAGGGAAAAATTCGACCACCCATCCCTTGAAAATTCCACTCGTCCTTGGGCGAATTGATAAAACCTTAAAAGATGCGAGGGTTCGTCCAAGGTTTGATATTTTCATTAGCATCGGGTCAAAGGTACTTTGAGCGAGGTCGCGTTTGACAAGAGAAAAAAAAAGGGAAAGGGAGAGAGACTATTTCTTAGCCGAGAAAAAGGTTTTTCTCCACGTACCAATTTATAAAAATTAATCCAACGCCCATGAATGTATGCATGGCCATTCCGGTACTCTCGAGGTTATTCAAATTTAATAGGAGCCCCCGAGAAGCTGCGGTGGCAACTTCGAGACGTTCGGTCTTTGAAAAATTCAAATTCAATTAATCGGTGATTGGACGATGCCTCGCGTGCCGGAGTGGCCCTCGAGAGGAAGTGGAATTATCGTTAATTATTGAGCCGTCTATAATCCATAACGCCTGGCAGTTATGCACTAGGAGTTTCAATTAAAGTCACAGGCAAGATTTTCCGATTTTTGGTGCCCTTCTATTTCAAGAATTTCGTTAGAATAATATTTAATTTGAATAAAAGTTCCGTGGATACTACGAGCGATAGCGTGCCGTTTCAGGCTCCACCTGATCCTTGTCAAGGGAAACCAAAACAGGCATTTTAAAATAGAATCGAATCGATATTTAAGGCATTATGACACATGAAACAGACAGCAATTGCAGGAGTCGGTTAATTTATTGCTCCGGAACGACGCCAAAGTAGGTTACGGTAGGTCGGGAATTTGTTTCTTCTTTTCCGATCTTTAATTGAGATTATGTTATCATCAGCGGCCATGTTTGCGCTGCGGAGTATAATGATACTACGGATAACGATAATCACCAGGGGCGAAAATAAATGTCCCGTAATTGGCAGGGCCATCGATTAGAGCGGTATATTGCATTAATCGTCCGAATCAAAGGAATCTCTCAATAATCCCCGACCACTGATTGTAATGTTATCAAATTCTCAAGCTAATGCCCGACAATTATCGAATCGATCGGCTCGACGTCATTTTTTCTCCATCTTAATATTTGATCGACTTCCACAGGTCTGCAACGTACAATTTTCAGTAATTTGTAGGGTGGGAGGTCCGCGGTTCAATAATATCCCAAATGGAACGTTAAACAGTAAGTTCTGACAATTCAGGGCCTGGCATCGCCTAAGTCGGTCGATTTAATTTGTTATTTCGCATTTATTCCACCGCCAGAGTCAGAAGCGTTATTTAATAATACTCGAATTCGCTAAATAAATTAGTGAGAAAATTTCGTTGAGAAGTACACGTACCAATTTTACATTAACATTTCGCGAGTAATTGGAAAATGCTTTCGCGCCATAAATACACAACTCGTTAAAAGACTACAACATTAAAAGTTGTGCATTTCTGCTAACGACATGTATTGTTTAATACAATAAAAGGTAATTATCACTATAGCTCGGAAATTTCCAGTGCCTGTTTAAAAAAGGGAACATTGAAGTACCACCTCTGTATACACTTAAACAATATATGTCACTCTCTGATTTGCAGGATCTCTATTATAAACGTCACGATTTCTTTGGCGAGCAGTGAATTAACCGAATACTATGTTAATAATATTAATGCGAAAAATAATAAAATGTGCAATATCACGACTGAGTTATTTCCAGAGTTTATTTGCAGATATTGTTTAATATCGGCGTCCCATTTTCAATGATTTTCGAAGGCTGAACCGAAGACTCGCGAAATCGGAAAATGGGAAATCGGAGGTATGGAAAAAGGAAGAAACGGGGGGAAATATGAGGACTTACCCTTGCAAAGCCAGCTTCTCTTGTGGATATCCCCATTTTCTCGTGATGCCGCAACTGCACCGGATAGATGATCTGATAGTAGTGCGAACCGATGTTTCGTATTAGATCTTGATTTTGTTGAAACTCTCGCAGTAGTCGTTCGACCTCGCCTGAAATTGATTTCTCGTCTCAATCGAACGGCCTAATTACTTCTTACCTCAGACTCCCGTTTACCCCCCGATTTCAATTTGCTAAAGACACTGCAGGGTTAACTGCGTAGTCACCGACATCGGGGGTGCACGATCGAGTAATCGAAGGAGCTGTCGAACTCGCGTTTCGACCCCCAAATAGGTTATTTTGCATTATTGTCAAGTCGACGTGGAGGGTAAAAAATATCCCGAAATACCGTATCAAGAGATAAATAAAATATATCCCTTAAAAATATAAATTGGTAAGTAAAGAAAGAAAATTCGACAGTTTGCATATTTTTACAGAAACCCTATAAAGGAAGCCGTAAATTCATTCTATATTTGCCACTCGTTACTTTGATCTGGAAATCGGCAATGAATCCGCTTTACAAACCCGTGTAATTTCGCTGATTTCGAAATTACATGTTAATTTGTAACATTTTCAAAGTTTCGTTCAACGAGGCAGTTCCTTCGACCACTATAACCGAACACGTGTGCGGCAATTAACAGTCATTCATGCAGATTTACATGCAACCGAAGCGTGATGAAACATTTCGCTTCGGACTTAACATTCGCGCATTCCAAAATCATATAATTTATGCCAAACCCTGGGTTTCCCAAAATAAATTTTCGTCGATGAGAGACGGGGCTGTGGGCGGAAAAGGAAAGGAAAAATCATATGCTCGAGGAAGAGAAGCAGAGGTCCATTTGTCGGGGCGAAACTTTCCATTTCCTGCCATAACCTGCCCCCTGACAACGAAGCAATTTATTCTCCCAGCAATTACGTCGCTCTCGACGTCGACATTGCAGGTACGGAAAAGTTTCTCCAGGGTTACAAAATCCCAAGTTTACATTAATCGAGTCGATTCGTTGATTAAAAAATCGGATAAAATATTCCCGAAGGATCCCTCAAAGCATCTTCTGGAAAAGATGTATTCACTATTTTAAATATGAATTAAAATCGTAAGCGTTTCTTTTTTCGCGTTAAACAGTCACCCGGTGAAAAGGGAGAGAATTATTTCAGTTTTACAATTTCTGGGATTAAGATACAAACTTCGGCCGGAGAATGATTTTGCTTAGATTTTGGAAAGGCTTTGGAAAAGCGTTTTACCCCTAGGGGATAAAAGCAGAGCCACGAAGGTGTCTCAGGTAAGTCGGGATTCTGGAGCCGTTAATTTATCACCTGTCCCTTCGTTCCCTGCACCGCGAGTTAAGGAAGACCAGGAAGACCGGAAGTGGCCTCCGTTCCGCCTCGGTAATAAGAACAAGGACGCTTTGGAAGTGCATCCGCAATTTTGTTGGACCACGGATTTCTGTAAACCCTCCGAGAAGGTCAATGTCACGGGTCTCGAGTTTTTCTGGACTCTGAAATTATTTTCCCATCTAGCGGGAAATTGTCTGTGGGAATTGAAAGTCCGAAGCCGACGACTCGTCGAAAAGTTCCTGGGATAAATTTCGGAAAAGCTTTGTACCGGGAAATCGTTCCCCACGTCGGGGTGTAACACGTTCCAATCTCTGGGGGGATGAAAACAGAAGTGTGGGGGTTTCGAAGAAGTTTCGGCTCCTCCTGGAGCCATTAATTTATCACTTATCCCTTCCTTCGCCCGCGCTTCGACTGAAGAAAATTTAATACTCAAGTTTCCGAAGGGCGGAAATGAAGTTATTTAATTTTTACGGATCGCTAATACTTGCGAGTTCGACTTTTGACAGATTAATTGCCTTGGAAGTTGCTTAAATAAATCCTAGAGAAGCTTTGTCATCGTAAAACGTCCCGCTCTTGTTGGGGACAGAGTCCTTCAGACCCAGGGGGATGGAAACACGAGCGTAGGGATTTCGCGTAAATTTGGGGTCCCCCTGGAGCCATTAATTTATAACCCACCCCTTCTTTCGCTTGTAACTTGATCAAGCGCAATTTAATATGCTAGTTCCGAGGAATGAAACGAAAAGCATTAAATTTCCAAGGTCGCTAATCCGTGTAAATCTGATCCTTAGCCGATTATGAGTCTCCAAATTTCCTTAAATAAATTCCAGATCTTTCTTACCGCAATCCATTCCATTCCTCTTGGGAAAAAAACTCCTCGGACCCTGGGGGATAAGAACAGGACTGCAAGGATTTTGCGCAAGATAGGGATTACCTCTAGACCGAGTAAAACTTAATACTTCAATACCCAAATTAAAAAAGAAATTCCTACGCGTCTCTAACCCTTGTAAATCCAATTCCTTACCGATCAGTGCTTTTCGGACTTCCTGAAATAAATTCCAGAAAGACTTTCTTACCTCGGGACGTCTCACTTTTCCCTGGAATAAAATCCGCCGTTCCCTGGGGGATGGAAACAAGCGTAGGGATTTCACGCAAACTTGGCTTTGCACTTCGGTCGAACTGGATTCAATATTTCAGGTTCGAGAAAACCCCCCAAAAATCCTGGAACTTCCGCAAAACTCTACTCCTATTGAATGCGATTCTTGGCCGATTAATAGTCTCGCAAATTTTTGAAATAAATTTCACATCTACCTCATCACAAATGCCCTATCTTTTTCAGGAATAGAAACCCCCTGTCGGGAAGATAAACATCAACGCAGAGGTTTCGGGAAATCTTGTCATTGCACCTCTCTCCAGCCAATCCTCTGACTCAATGTCAAAGAACCAAAAATCTAAAATTCCCACAAGTCCCATAGTTAATTCGGTTTCCGGTCGATTAATAGTTTCGAAAACCTCTTGGAATAAATTCCAGAAAATCTTTCTTACCGCAAAGCGTTCCGCTCTTCTCGAGGCCAGGACCCTGGGTCCCAAGGGAAGAGAGCACGAGTGCAAGGGTCCCGGCTAAGTTCTAGCTCCTCTTGGAGCCATTAATTTGTCACTTGTCCCTCGGTCCTGGCCGGGAGGCGAAAGGGAGGCGAAAGGGGAGCCAAATAGAAGAGGAAGGGGGCCAAAGGGAGACCGGAAGAGGTCCGCGTTCCGCTCTGGCAAAAAGAGGAAGAGCGCTCCGCGAGCGAACGCATTATCAGGACGGCGCGGATAAAGCGAGCCCCGAAACAAACCTTTAAGGCGTGTTCTCACGGGGAAACAAACTGCGAGGGGGCGATCGTACGTTATAGGCCACCCTGGAGATTTATAGGTTAACTCCCCTCGGGAGCTCTCCCGTAGCCAGCCAATGGTACGTGGGTATACGTCGACGTAGGTGCAGCTTGCAGATCGTTGCTCCTCTTTCGCCCCTCTATTTCCCCCAAGGAGCCGGCCTTAACGGCGGGGAGCTCCTTCTCTGCCTTCTTTCCTTATTTCCTTCTTTCCTCGCAAGAGATACTGTTACGACTCCCGATTAATCCCTATGAACAACCGCTGCTTTTAACCTCGCCACGCGACACCGGATTGCTCCTTCTGTCGAGGCATTTCCTCGGATTTCACCCGTGGACTCGCATATATCCCGCTGGCATATTCATTTATGCAAATTTCTCCCCATATTTATTGTTATTTCGGCATGACCTACGTTATGTGAGGTGTTGTTCTATTAGCATGAGTCCCAGAGACTGACTCTTCGCGTGGACCTGGATGTTTGAATTATCAAGGATCCAAGGTGGCAATAAGTGTTGCAAAGTTATTGTCGTTGTTTAAGGATTTCGGATAAATATTTTTTCCAGTTAAGGCTTCTTTTCCGAAGGAAAATGCCCCGGTGATTTTATGAACGATCGCGCCTTTGGGGGGATAATTAATTTTCTTTACGACTTGTCCTGCGAGTTGTGAAAGTACATGGGATTCAAATGGATGAAGTAGTCGGGCAATAAAAATATGAAAAAATCTTCCATCGATTGTCCCCCCTCTAATTAATGGAAGCCTCTCTCATTTTTCAAGCCGGAGCAATCACAGCATCCCAGGCGAGGGCCTGCAAATAATCACCCCCAATGCGTAATCGATTATTTTTCCATCATTTAACAAAGCTCCCTTTCAATTTCCCCGTAAGGAAACTTTTTTCTACTGGCGGTCCTCTCGATGAAGATGTTCAAACACTTTTTATAGATTATTATGCTGCCAATTAAAGAAAGTAATACATTTTTCACGTAGGAACAGTCACGTCGAAGACGTCTGTAATCCAATCTCTGAAATGGCCACGCCCTATGTGTCCTCGATTCACTCTAAGGGTAACCTGGGGAGTTTTAAAGGCCCTCAAGGGTGAAATAGACAAACAGGTACTTGTAAAAAGAATATAGGAGCGTTCTTAATCTGTTGTTCGTTTGTCAATGGACGGAACTCCCGCAGCTTTCAACTACGACCTCAATTTCTCCGCAATCATGGCGGAGTCATTCTCAATTTACCCCTGAAAATCACCACACCCAACGACCTCTTCTAAAAACAACCCTGGGAGTCTTAAAGGCTCGCAAGGGTCCTTTAAATGGAATAACAGGTCTTTTAAATAAAAGTATCTAAAAATAGTAAATCGTTCCTCCGTATTCCAATAAATGGAACCTCATTTCTCGCGTCGAGATCCGATGAAGATGGAGACAATCGTTATAGATTCACGCTCAATCTAATTTTGGAAATAATTAAAGCGTCCTCACGTTTTCATTACCTCACCTGAGGTCGATCCTAGGAGTTTCGATAGCCCTCAAGAACCTTAAGAGCCTTCAAATGTCATTTTAAACAAAATATGAAACAATAATTAACCGTTTTTTTGTACATAATTAAATAAAATGTTCTCTCTCACGTAGCAGAGGCTCGATAAAGAAAAGAAGAAAATCCGTGGGACTCTCGGCCAATCCAACCGTGGAAATAATTACGGACAACTATCGTGCTCAATCTTTCCAAATAGTCTCAAGAGCCCTTAAATCTCCTTTACTCCAAAATATTTAACAATAATTAACCGTTTTTTTGTACATAATTAAATAAAATGTTCTCTCTCACGTAGCAGAGGTTCGATAAAGAAAAGAAGAAAATTCGTGGGACTCTCGGCCAATCCAACCGTGGAAATAATTACGGACAACTCTCGTGC